CGCGTTAAATGTTGTAGAATGTTGTAGAATTATTTCCACCAGGGCTGTCAAAGTGTTGCTTGATATTGTATTGAGTATACCTATGATTTGCAAAAAAAATTATATATTTTTTATTCTGGTAATTTTGGCAAAATCTGGCAGCACTGCAAATGTGGCAATTTCGCATTATATTTGATTTTTTCCCTCCGTATATGACGTCACTTCCGTCTCGTGTCGAGGTTTCTATTTTTACTCCTGATTACGACACGTTCTCTTCCACTTAATCCTTGAAATTGAATCCTCGACTCAAGTATAGAGCATATAATATTAATTTTTACATGGCCCAAACACCTCCACGGAAATAGAATGAATAACATTCATCAGCACAAAATTTGAACGCTCGACTCAAGTGTATATATCAGAACATACAAAAACTTTGACTTTGAATACTTCAGAGAGGTATTGAGAACTTGACCTGTTGAGAAGTATTCAGCACCTTAAATTTCCTATATCAAATTCCTATTTATCACAAAATATTCAAAGACTATAAAGGTAAAAACGTCTATGTAAGATAGAATGAATAATATTTATCAGCACGAGATTTGAATGCATGGCTCAGGTGTAGAAATCAAAACATACATAAACTTTGACTGCAAATACTTCAGAGAGGTATTGAGAAACTTAACCCGTAAAGAAGTATTCAGCTCCTTGAATTTTGTATATCGGATTTCTATTCATCACAAAATATTCAATGACTATGAAGGTAAAAACGTCAACAAAGTATAAGAGCCGAAAAGTATTCGGACACATGAGCTGCAAATATAAAAGGTCAAATCTTGAATAGAACCAGATTCAGGTCCATAGAACTTGAATACAGCCAATATTTTTTTATTTGCAGTGATGCTATTAAACTTTAATAATTTAGTAATTAGGTCTGTTGGTAGACCCTGCACTATCTCCACTGGTATATGTTAGTTTTGTAATATTTAAATCTGGTTGATGAAAAAGTACACACCAGTGCAGGTTATTGTAGCATCTACGAACAAATGAATTAATGGCCCATTGGCAATTATTCCTTTAGGAAAAATATTCAACACAGCTTAATTAATTAATAAAATGAAAAAAATCACAATCATGTCGTATAGGTATAGTTTTTTTTAAGCATAAAATAATTTTTATATAAATACTAGTTCAAAAGTGAAATTACGACCTCTATACTGTGGAGAGTATTGAAACGCTCGACTGACGAATACAACTCTATACCGTAGGGAGATTTAGAAAACAATATTCAAACGTGGCATCATCCTATACACCTTTATAATTTTCCGTTTGCTGTGTGGTATACATAAAATCCACCAGCCGCCACTGATAGGTACATATTTATTTATTTTATTTAAAATGTAGAATGTGGAAGTTTGTACGGAACAAAATCAAATAAAAGTATAAAAAATACAACTTATAAAAATAATAAATCCCAATGAATAGTATCTCGATAATCACACACAAGCGATAACTCAAAAAATCAGATATATGTATATGTCTATCTATCCATAGATGGATACATTAATTATCAATACTATATATATACTATATAATATATATATATATATATATATATATATATATATATATATATATATATGGTCAATTCTCATATAACTTGTTCCGATGCTGTATCCACTTATTTTTGTGAAAACTAATTCTCGCTCAAGGTTTTTTTTTAGTGTAATAAGCATGTAGTATTTCAAGGTAATGGGAACTTAAATTATGACAACCCTAATCTATTAATTTTTTCCTAAAATGCAGGCTTTATGTTGCAAATGTCACATAAGTTACCGGTCACCAACTGCAATATCCTAACATCGATGAATATTTCAACAAAATGGCCGTTCAAACAACTAATGTTAGTGCTTGATTAACTAAAAATAGACTTAAGATTGACGAAAAATTATTTTATCCGAAATCGGCAGTAAAGTAGAACTTTACTGCCGATTTATTTTAATTTACGATTGTTGACTACTTTACTGCCTATTTCGGATAAAATAATTTTTTTGTCAATCTTAAGTCTATTTTTAGTTAATCAAGCACTAACATTACTTGTTTGAACGGCCATTTTGTTGAAATATTCATCGATGTTAGGATATTGCAGTTGGTGATCGGTAACTTATGTGACATTTGCAACATAAAGCCTGCATTTTAGGAAAAAATTAATAGATTAGGGTTGTCATAATTTAAGTTCCCATTACCTTGAAATGCTACATGCTTATTACACTAAAAAAAACCTTGAGCGAGAATTAGTTTTCACAAAAATAAGTGGATACAGCATCGGAACAAGTTATATGAGAATTGACCATATATATATATATATAATTATAATTGATGAAGGTACACAGCAAACGGAAAATTATAGAGGTGTATAGGATGACGCCACGTTTGAATATCGTTTTCTAAATCTCCCTACGGTATAGAGTTGTATTCGTCAGTCGAGCGTTTCAATACTCTCCACAGTATAGAGGTCGTAATTTCACTTTTGAACTAGTATTAATATAAAAATTATTTTATGCTTAAAAAAAACTATACCTATACGACATGATTGTGATTTTTTTCATTTTATTAATTAATTAAGCTGTGTTGAATATTTTTCCTAAGGGAATAATTGCCAATGGGCCATTAATTCATTTGTTCGTAGATGCTACAATAACCTGCACTGGTGTGTACTTTTACATCAACCAGATTTAAATATTACAAAACTAACATATACCAGTGGAGATAGTGCAGGGTCTACCAACAGACCTAATTACTAAATTATTAAAGTTTAATAGCATATCGATCATTTTTTCAACATAACCTCTGAAATTTTTAATACAAATATAGGTACTTTATATAATACATAAATATACTTAACATCATATCCTCTGTGCTTTACAAACCTGAGTTGTTACGGTAACTAAAAATCAGACAAAGGAACCAAAGAAAGGAACTATTTTCAACAAAATCATATGCAGAAAGGAGAAAATTCAAACTACTTGCATCCATCAAAAGATCAAAACTTCTTGCAATATTACACCCTCTTTTTATACTCTCAGAAATATTGACTAGAACAGTATTAGAGAGACTCCAGTTTCTATAACTTGGTAGAGTAAAGAGAAGTCGAAACCGTTGCGATATTGCATTGCGCTGTTTTTGTATAATTCTCGGGGACATAACGAAAATCATTGCCAGTAAAATTCGAAAAGCTTGAGTTTCTATGTCTCTGAGGAGAATAGGAATCCGAAGTTGCTGCACCATTGGACTGAACCCTTTTTTAATAATTTCTAGAGACATAAATGACTGCACCATTCGACAGGGTCGAGTTTCTATTCCTCTGTTGAATATAGAAAATCAAAATAATGTATCTTGTAAGACACCATTGAGTTTGACTTTAAATATAGTCGTGCATAGGTATAGAGCCGAAAAATATAAAAACAAAGCACGATTCAATACTGTTATGATAAAACTTTAAGATTTGATATTCAAACGCGGAGTCATCCTATAGGTACACTTCTATAATTTTCCGTTTGCTGTGTATGATAATAATATTATTGATGAAGGTATGAAAATGAATAAGGTTAAGTACAGCCAAATATGATTTTATGAGTCGCCATCGTCAACAGATCAACAGATTTTAAAATGATAATAATAGTTTTCCATTCTGGTGACGCTCAATAAAAACTTTCAATACTCAGCAAAGATAAATTATCAAAACGATTTTGAGTCATGGTACTTCGTAGCCAATTTATTGTCATCCTCATGGCCGAAAAAGTATCTTATAAGCTTAGCATATTAATATTGTATACAATATGCTAAGCTTATTAGCAATAAGAGTGCAATTTTAAAAATAAAACATTTTTAAGCCACCTCGATGTTTTATGGTGTTTTTAATGACGACCCTTTCAGCATTCAAAATTTCCTGCTGTATTTTAAATTTTGTAGCATAATGATTAACGAAGCGAGAACTACCATCAAAATCAAATTTTATATTATTTCTTTTAAATGGCCGATCATTGCGTCAAGTATAGCATAATACCTACTTAAGTATTTATGCGCAAAATTTTCTTAGACATTTTAGATTCCTCTTTGGGATCAGAATTATAATAGAATAGAAAAAAAAATAAAAAATAATTAATAAAATCTTGGGGGTGCTAATTTTATTTTCGGGGGTGCTTATCCCCTTAAGCCCCCTCCTAACTCCGCCTATGCTGCAACTGCAAAGATCAAAAGGGAAACTTGTCTGCGTCTCAAGGTTATAACCATGCATTGATGCCAAAGGTATACAAATAATTAAAATAATATAAAATCAAAACATTTGGGTTCAAGTTTTAATAGCTAATCGACAAAACAGTATGCTATTCATAATATAAATAAGCGTAATTATTTACCCCAATATTTGTAATAATATTTTAAACCAATCGTATATAGATATTTCATTGGCAACGTGTGCTATTTTTAACTCGAAAACAACCATCTACAGTCGCGAATAAAGCTTTTAAACAATGCAATTAAAAAATTCTTAGTCTGTGATTAATACAGTACCTACTTGAAAAGTTTATTTGTATTATATTATTACTGTTATCATATCATATTGGATTTTTAATGGAAAATACCATTGTTGATATGAATATGAGACTGATATCAGTACATAATATTTACCATAAAGAAACCATTTTGAATTTAAACCAACTTGTTTGTTGACAGAAAATAGGTGAAATCAGATGTTTATTTAGCGTTATAACCTATAGGTATTAGGTACCAATTGGTTTAATAGTTTTAATAGCTGACTTCTGTACAGGAAAAAGCGATACCGATAACAAATTCATGAGAAATTTCATTACAAGCATATCATAGGTACTCTATTCACGTAAGGCCATAGCCCTTTTTATAAATATGTGTACTTATATGTAGGTGTTGAGCTGTTTTATTTAAATTTGTATTAATATCATATAAAATATTTGGTTAATTACCTACTTAAATTATTTACTTACAATACAATTTCTATACGCCGAACTAATAGGTACACACAACACCGATAACAAGCAACACACGTCTGCGAGGAAATTTAGTCAGACAATTCAATTTATACGCTTATCGTAGGGGGTTCCCCTAAATACCAATCAGGGATGTGATTTTTAGTAAAATCGTTGAGTGAAGAAGTAGTACATGTACAAGTTTGTTATAGTTTTCGTTTATTTGTTTATTTCAGTTTATAATACCTATATACAGGGTGTATCACGGTCGATGGTAGGTTAGACGTTTATGGAGATTCTAGAACGGCAAAAGATATCGAATCGGAAATTTTTATAGCAATTATAATATCATTTAAACTATTTATCTAAATTATTTTGAACAAAATTCCTATTCCGGTTTTAACGGAAGCGATATCAACTTTGTTATTTTAAATGGATCACCACAATTTTTTTCACAATTTTAAATTCTTACTATCATTCCTTATAAAATGGCTATATCATGTCCTATACGGTATAGGCTATACCTAAACTTAATAGTTTTTGAGTTATTACTTTTTTTTGTAAAATTTGGTCAGTTCCCAAATAGCACACGACCTCCCAAGGACATCCTGATTGGGTCTTTCCGGGCCAGTTTAGGATATCCCATTTCTGACGTACCTTGGACGTCCATGGGACGTCCTGAAATTAAATTGGGTATAGTATATTGGGTATCCCATTTCTGACGTACCTTGGACGTCCATAGGACATCATAGAATTAAATTGGCAATAGTATATCTGTCATTTGCCACCTTCATTTGTCACCTGTAATATGATACAAGCCGGCAGATATCTGTCACTTTCCATCACCTGTAATTTGTCACCTATCATACCTGTCATTTGTCACCGGTCATACCTGTCATTTGCCACCTGTCATACCTGTCATTTGTTACCTGTCATTTATCGTTCTGCATAACTTTGCTTTCTGCGCATAATATCATATTTGAATTTGAATACGGCTGGCTTCGACTGTGCTGCCACCGTTTTGTCAGGGCTGGATGCTCCCGCGGACGAGTTTTGGTTCGCGCCGCGCATGACGTCACCTGATGAGTAGTTGCAGCGCGAATACGTGTACACGTATAATAGCTATATTATCAAAGAAAATAGACAAATATCTGGACATAGTGCGTTATTTTTAAACTTGATATTGAAAAAAGTGTTATAATATGGATGATAGATGATTTGGAAAAATATTTGATACTATTTAAATCTATTTTTTGTTGTAAATTTGATATTAAAAGTATTTTATTAATATAGATGCTAGTAATATTATCAAAACATAAAGAAATATCTGGACATAGTGCGTTTTTTGTGAATTTGATATTAAAGATAGTTTATTAATATGGATGCTAGATGCGTTGGAAAAATATTTGATAATATTTAAATCTATTTAAAAAAAAATTAATTAAAAAAAAACAATAGTTTTAAGTAAATCTATTTTTTATTACTTTTTATAGGTATTAATTATTAAAATAAAAAGAAAAATTAATTAAAAATGTTTATTACCATATTACCATAGTGTAATAATTATTACATTAATATAGATGCTATGTTTTGAAAACATATTTAAATCTATTAAAATGTATTTTTTATTACTAAAAGAAAATACATAATTTTAACCAAAAATATTTATTAAAATTTGAATTACCTACGAAAATAGTCCACGATAACGTTTAGGGCTGTAGTTTAAGAGTTTATGTTTCAAATTAAAGTTGTAGTCACTGTCCAGAAAATGTTTAGAGCAAACAGTAGCGCGCTTAACGTTAATTTTGTCTCTTCTTTTCGTGGCATGTAACCACTTTTTGCACAAACTTATATTTTTCGGAAGTCTATGGAATTTAATGTCTTTATTTGTAGGGTTTTTCTTGGACTGGTTGTCCGAAATGAATCCAAATATGGCACACCGCATTTTAATAAATGCAAATGGCACAACACAAACTAATACACAAACAAAACAACGAAACACAAAAACAATAATTTTAGCACAAACAGAACAGGTTAACACAAAGCAATAACAATAATTTAAACACTGAAAAGTAATTCTAACCTTACAGAACGCAAAAACAACAAGTTAAACAAAAAAACAGAGCAATTTAACATCTAACAGCTTCGCAAAAACCAGAATTTTAGCGGCAGATAATTAAAACGAACGTTAGAGATTTAAAACTACTCAAGTGACGTCATGTGACGTATTTTAGCTCCGCCCACCATGCGCACCATCCTATCTTAAGGTGTATGTATCTTGCCGTTTTGTACCGATCGTTACTCGAAGTGCTCCGACAGTTGCCGAATTTGCCAACTGTTGGGTGGCTGAAACAAATATGGATGCCAAGCCGCTAAGGGTAAAATCTATTTTCTTTTAAATGTGCTAGTGGCACTATGCCATAGTTATAACTATAGTTAATATATAATAATATATTAATTATAATTATTTCGCAAGTGATAAACATAAATTGGCGTTATTGTTTGTGATTAATTTTACCTGGTCCTGGCCGTGAAATACAATTGGTAAGTACTTTAAAATTATATATTTCTCATTTATTTCAATTTAATTTTTACAATGTTTCGTTGGAAATTGAAGAATTCTGTTAACAATCTTTTTTGTTCGTTTGTGATAAGCTTAAATTTAAAATTAATGAATTTTACTTATTTTGAGGTAAGGGTTTGAAGTGAAACCGTATTGAAATTATCGAAATACATACAGTGTTCGGAAAAGGTTAGGCCGAATTTTAAGGGGTGGTAGGCCATGCTGGGAGAAAAATTTTGATACATGGAACATATGTTCCTTGTATCAAAATTTTTTTTAGCTTGGCAAGGGGAAGTTTCCGGACATAATATATATTATGTCCGGAAACTTCCCCTTGCCAAGCTACAGGCGTTTGAATTTGGCGGGCAGTCTGGGCCGTGCGGACTGCAGCGAGGAACAATGCGCAGTGGAGCCGGCAACAGACATGTCTGCTGTCCGCCTGCAAGGTTCCTGTGCGCCATATTAAAACAAAGCGACGCTTTGAAAGCGTGCGCTTTTAAAGTCTGTAGTTCGGAAAAGGGGCGTTTCCAGACACATGTTCCTTATATCAAAATATTTGTGAATGACTGCCAACCCTTAAAAGTTGACCCAACCGTTTCCGAACACCCTGTATAGTTATCATGACAACATGCGGATTTCCAAAGAAAAGTCTCAAAAAGCCCTCACAGTACCTTAATAAGCTGTTCTGAGTATATCCCGATATAGTCCTAATCGGGACGTCCTACGGACATCTGAAAGTGTATCATTTGGCCGTCTGTAGACCTCCTAGGGACGTCAAACGGACATTGCGGGACGTCCTGAGTACTTCCGCAATGTCCCAAGCTGACGTCCCGAGGACAGCCTAAGGACGTATTTGTGCTTACTGGGTTTCACCCTGAACAAAAAAAGCTTAAGCTTATAATTATAACTTTTTTAATATTAGGTTTACTGACATTGGGTTTGATTTATTGAAATCCTAAATCACTGTTTTAAAGATTCCCTGTAAATTATTGTAATATTTTAAAAAAGATACTTGAAAACAAATAATGTGAATGTAGCTAGCTAACTTAAAACAGCAATAACTTTTTTATTCTCAATGTATATTTTTACATAATTAAATATGAAATTATAATTCATTTATATAACTATTCCCTATACCTACCCTTGCGGCCTTGAGTTTACGGTGAATTCACCGTTTGCGTGAATTCACCGTGAATACACCGTTTATGTGCAGTGAATATACCGTCCATTTGTGACATTTGTAGACGGTAATTAAACGCTGAACTCACGCTGTTTTTGCGATAAATTCACTGTGATTTCACGGTTAATTCACGGTGATTTCACGGTAAATTCACGGTGAACTCAAGTTTGCAAAATCACCGCAAATTCACTGTCAAAGTACCGTAAATTTATCGTGAATTCACCGTAAAAGTGCTGTGAGTTTACTGTGAAAACATCGTAAATTACTGTACAGTACAGGGTGGTAATGTAAATAATAAATTATTTTAATTGTTTGTAAATGGTTGTTTACTTTTTAATAAATAGTAATTTTGTTGCTAATAGGCGGTATTAATAATTAAATAAAAAATTAATAATAAATATTAAGATTTTTTTATTTATAAACATTATTAAATAAATAGTTTGTTTATACTTAAATATTGATGAAGCGCATTTATTTTACAAAAACTAAATTCACAAGTTTAACAGTAAAATTTAAAGGGTTTATAAATTAACCTGCCTACTTAAACATTATATTGTTATTCTGGAAGTTATAAACTACCAGTACATATTTAATAAACGACGACATTGAAAAGCCAAGTCCGTAGTGGTTCCATTGGCCTTGAGTTCACGGTTTATTCACGGTGAATTCACCGTGAATTCACCGTGAATAAACCGTCTGTGAAAAGTGCGTGAATTCACCGTCTAACTACCGTTTACAAATGTCACAAACAGACGGTTTATTCACGGTGAATTCACGATGAATTCACTGTGAATAAACCGTAAACTCAAGGCCGCAAGGGTCTTAATAAAAACTTAAGTTTATTCCCGAGTGACGTCATAATTTTAAGATTTGTTATATTGTTATATTTGTTATATATGTTACGATAAAACTAAAACAAACCAACCAACCCAACCCAACACTTTTTAACAAAGGATACAAAAGTTCATGACTTAAAAAAATCCAAAGTAATAACAGAAATTTTCCCATATTAAGAAAGTCAAAATAAGACGAAAATCTAAATAAATATTTTTCCTAATTACGTATGTTTAAAAGATACAGGTTGATAAAGTGTTACTTATCAAATCAGTTTTTTTTAATATAGCTTCTACTATGGTAGTCTTGGAACGGTGATATTTTGCGAACTTACTACCAAAACACATATTCACACATACCCAATAAACCAACGTTGCCGAGAAATCCGGAAGAAATATTTGCTAGATATAATTTCTTTCACATTTCCTTCAAATCGCTACAAATTTGCACTCGCAATACTTGCTGGACACTTAAAACGGCAATTTGAGCGCAATACCGCGGAAATCATTGCTGCGCATATTTCTAGATGATTGACAGATACGGTTGCAGAACTAATTTTCGGCAATTTTATAGTAATATGTTGTAAATAAATTTGTACAATTGTTTGACAGCAGGCGGAGCGCAATACGACGAAAATTGTTGCCGCATATATTTTGCAGCAACAATTGTCGTCATTTATTTTATACATATTTTTTGAAATAAATAATTTCTGGGATGTTTGACAGAAACTGTTGCAGCAATTGCAGTCCATATAAAGGGCGTCCTAAAATTGTGGCCCAAAGGGTAAACGTAAATTTCTCTTAAAATCACAAGACAAATTTGCAAATTGTGTCCACCTTTCGAAAAAATGGGAAGACATCTCGAAATTAATTAATTGTTGTAAAATATACAGGATGTCCCATTTAAAACAATGTTATTTTGTGAATAATTCTGAAACCCGACGTTTAATTGTTTTTCGATTTTTAAAATTTTAATCAGAAAAATTGTGATATAAAGGACGTTTTGTGAAGTCTAAAGTGCCACGTCACTGCGACGTCACGATTTCGTCATGTGACGTCACAAGACCATTTTGACAGCTGTCATTTTGAAGGCTGTCATTTTGACGGCTATAATTTTGACGAATGTCATTTTGACGGCTGTCATTTTAAAGGCTGCCATTTTGACATTGGACACCTGTCAATTTGACGGCTGTCAATTTGAAGGCTGCCATTTTGACATTTGACAGCTGTCAATTTGAAGGATGGCATTTCGACGGCTGTCATTTTGATGGCTGTCTTTTTGACGGTTGTTTTTTTGACAGCTGTCATTTTGATAAAGTATAGACGTTGTTCAAAATGGCAACTGGTCAAATAAAAGGTTTCAAAACGACAGGTGTCAAAACGACAGTTGTCAAAATGGCAGCTGTCAAAATGTCAGATGTCAAAATGACAGGTGCGGAAATACCAGCAGTAAAAATGGCTGATAATCAAATTACTGATGCCCAATTGACAGGTGCCAAAACTAAATCTGTCAAAATTACAGCTGTAAAAATAACTGGTGATAAAGTGACAGGGGCCCAAATAACAGCTGTCAAAATGACAGAGGCTCAAATAAAAGCTGTCAAAAAACTGTCCGTACAATAAATTAGAAAAAAAATTGACCAAAGTAATATACATATATACGGTTCTTAATAAATCTAAAATTAGATTTAATAAAAAAAAAATAGAAAATGTTAAGAAATTAAAATAGAACACATTATCAAATAATTTACCTATCTATTTCATTATTCAACTGAATATTAGCATTTCTTTATCACTTCAACATAATTTCCCAATAAATAAACATGGACCGTTTTTGGCGGTCCACACTGTCAATGTTCCAGTCGAAGCTTTTTTTGCTGGACCGGTCCAACACAAACGTTCCACAAACGGTCCGTTTACATGGACCGTTTTTGAAACTGAATCGCTGGCGAACCGGTCCATGGACCGAAATTTTGTTACGGTTTACAACCCTGTAACACATCGGAAAAGCAAATTAAACAAAAAATACGTCTTTTAATAAAAAAATAATTTTATATACCCCTTTTTGTCGCCAATTTCTGCATTAGCAGTTCTAAAATAGTTTATTTGCCGATAAATCGCCCAACCTGGCAACACTGCTGATTGATACAGAGGAAACCAAGGGTAACAAAACTTCAAAATTTGTTTATATTTTGAAGGTTCTAATTACTTTCTTCTATATTACTTTAAAATACGTATGAAAATAATTATTTTCATATTAATTGTGCTGTTTATATAAATATATGTGCTGTTTGTGCATGGACTAAACATCCCGAGTTAAGTAAGTATACTGTTTTTTATGGTCAAATGTTATTTATTGATAATTTAAAAACATCGCCTTTCGCCAACAATAGTGGGACAAGTAAAAATTAATTTTGACAATTTTAACAGTTGGGAAAATTGTCAATATGAATTGTTGTCCACACGTTCGAGCTCTACAACCCTTGAGAATCGGGTGTTTTTGTTGGGGTTGGTCGTAAATCGTAAACTGCGATGTACCTATATTGTTCAGAACAATCCGGGCATCATTTTTGTTTCAAGGGGCGATTTTTTTTTTAAATCAGTTTAATTAAATTTTGACTTAATACAAATTTTAGTTTTGCAATTTATAATTTACCAAATTTAAATTTCAAAATTTATTTAAAAAATTTAAATATAAAATATGTTATAGGTACTTGGATTTTATAAATAAATTTAGAAATTTGTCAATAAACTATGGTAAATTATAAATTGCACCACTAAAATTTGTATTATCTTTATTAGGGGGGCCAGGCTGCAGGGGAGCTGCAGCAAAAACTATCTTTTTTCGCAAACTTTTTGGCAGAACTTTATAATTTACTGTCATTATAAACTCATATAAATTTGGTGTGGATCCCAAGTCTAATAACTGAGATATGGCATATGCAAAATCCACCAGCCGCCGCACTGTGGGCGAGAAATTTCCTAAACATTGAAAAAGTCAATTTTTAATAATGATGGAACACTAAGGGTGATTCTCAAAATAACTACACTTTCGGTTTATTATTTTTTTAATACTAAAAAGTTTGGTAATATTATTACAAGAGCATTTTTGTAAAGCTTTAGTTAAATCCTAAACTAAAATAAGATTGATATTGCATGCAAACCTTAATTTTTCTATTTATGGGTAAATTATGTCCACAGAAAAGACGTCCACTGAATGGACATCTATGTATATTATTCTCTATAAGAAAGGTAAATTTTAGGTTATGCCTTCGCATTTGTCATGTGCCAAAAATAAAAACTTTGACAATAATAATGACAATAATTAGAAAATAATTCAATACTTACTGTTTGAAATATAATTGTAACAGAAAGGACAGCCTATGCTTCTACACTGGAGCCTCGTACATAAACATGAACGCTTCTTTACAACCTTTCAAAAAAGAACTGACAAGGGCGACTTAAATAACAAATGACAAGTTTTTTAATGACATAAAATTAACGGTTGACGTGAGTGGCGCGAAATACTTTTGAAATTTTGCACTTACAAATAAGTCCTCGGAATGGATCGAAACTGGTAACGTATAAATGACTAAACTACAATATTAAATTAAAAAGAATAAAAAGGAATATGAACCATATCTATGTATTTTTGGGGTATTTAATAATAATGGCAATTTTTTAGGTTTTTTTAATATGCAGGCTTTTCACTACATTAACTGAAACTTACCAACACGATATAGTCACGTTCCACGGAAAGGACAATATCTCTATTCAGATCAGTTTTTTGGGCGGTGTTTTTTTTTCTTATTTTTTTTTACTTTAAGTACTGTTAGTTAACTTTGTGTACATTAAAAATGTTACTTATTTTTACATTTTTTTTTTAATATGGGATAAAAAACACACGTCACGCAAAGATTGTAGTTATTTTGAGAATAACCCCTAAGTTTTTTATGCTAAAAACGGTCAAGTAGGCCATTAAGCTTACAAAAACACCAAAATTATGTCTGTGAGTTTTTATGTTGACACACGCGGGTTTAACAAATGTCGGTAAATTTAGTAATTATTGTCTGGTTTATTTTGTTTAAACAAATCGCTTAAGTTTAAGACATTACAGTTAAAGGTGGATTAAATTTTTAACATACACTATAAGTGGGACAGATGCAGGCAAGTTGAAGGTTTTATACTATTTAAATTTTATGGACTTCTTTGCGAATTTCCAAAAAAAATAATGATTTAGTGAACGCATGTAAAAGCAAAAATTAATATATCACATGGATATTTCACCAGAGATATATCAAGATCTACACTGAACTACACGTTTTTGTTGATGCTCTTAAACTCTCCAGTACTCAAGCAGCTTGAAAAAAAAAAACTTTTGCCGAATTTTGCCTATCCAGGAAAAAATAAAGCTCTATTTGGGTATTAGTTGAAAGGTTATTAGGCCTAGATTGTAAAAGACTTGAATATGTGATCTGTCATTTTGAAGGTTTTGACGTTTTTTTCGAAATATCATATTTAAGGCGATTTTAGTGGTTTTAATGGATTTTTTAATTTTGTTTTGTTTAATTGTTTGAACTGTGGTGCCCATAAATAGGAAGGGTAATTTTAAAATACCCTTAGAACAAGAAACATTTATAGGGCTAAATTAATATCAGTTTTACTGCCTTTTAGTCCTTTTTATTGTCGATTATACTAGTAAATAAGTTATTTTATGTATTCTTGTAAATCTGACAATAAATAAACAATTTATTATTATTATTATTATTATTAAAAATCAAAATAGTTGAGTTTTTTTTTAATATAAAAAATAATATATATATATATATACAGTGTGACCCCTTTGATTGCGACTCACCCCTGTATACAAGATTTTATAAAATCTTTATTTATTGTGCGATTTTAACTGGATTTGTTTTAAAGTGTAGATCTTGATAAACTGTATTTTTGGAGCAAAAACGCCATATTTGTACAAAATACAAGGCCTTCTATGTCACTTTTTAAGAGTAAATTTTTAAGAATTCATATTAGCGATTTTTTAAAACAAAATCTAAGCACGGCACTGGATTCACCACCCCTCAAAATGACCCTTTAGAGCGAACTATTAGATATAAATTAGAAATAAAAAATATATTTATTAATTTTGCACTGGCACTGAAATTATTGCAGTAAGCTGGTTGTTTTGACAGCAATACAAGCTTCGATAGTGATTCCGACTAAGAAAGTTGGGCAACTAAAGCTATACTTTCCTTGGTTGTTTACTTAAATGATTATTTTCCGTTATTGCAGTTCTATAGTTGTTATTAAAGACTTAAATTTAAAATATAGCATTTTAAATAATTTTTTGCATAACTCGGCTTTTTCAATCTTATACCTTCGGCTTTGTTTCGATTTTTTTAAATTTAAAATATAGCTTTTTAAATAATTTTTTCCCATAACTCAGCTTTTTTAATCTTATACCTTGGGCTTTGTTTCGATTTTTTGCGACCATAAGATGTCTTTGAAAATCTATCTTATATAATTTTTCAAAAAACTGTTGAAAAATATATACATATAATATATATATGATATATACAGGGTGTTTCATAATATATGCGCAGGACTTCAGGATGTGATAGCTCATCCAAAAAGATGAAAAAAGTCGCTATTAAGTTACGCTCTAAAATGCACAATTTTCGAGATACAGAGTGTTGAAATTTTAGAAAAAAATTCGTTTTTTTCGAATATCTACGGAACCGTTTATCGTACAAAAAACAGCTTTTGTAAGCATTTTCTACTCAAAATAAGCTATGTTTTGTGCTAGAAAAAATTTTTTTTTCCTCATAATTGGTGGAAATTTTGAAGGGGTAGCGGGTGTTTTTCTCCTCAACTTCTACGCCCCTGAAAAAAGTACGGTTTTGAGAGGCCCATTCGAACCACCAATGTTTTCTACACAAAAAAGGTACTCCTGGTCATAAGCTCTAAAGTTGACCGTTTTCGAGAAAAATCAACTTTTATGTTTAAAAACATGGTCAATTTAAAAAAAAATATTTTTTTTTACTAATTAAACAAAATTTATTTTAACGTTAGGACAAGTAACAAAACCAAACCATAATTGCAAAATAAAAAATGATTTAAGTTGTCTTTGCTTAATTCTCCAAACCGTAAGGGTAACGCATTTCGCACATTTCAGCATTTGAGTAAAAAATAATTTTTTATTTACCTTTTTTCTGTAGAAAACATTGGCGGTTCGAATGGGCCTCTCAAAACCGTACTTTTTTCAGGGGGTTGAAGTTGAGGAGAAAAACACCCGCTACCCCTTCAAAATCTCCACCAATTATGAGTAAAAAAAAATTTTTCTGGCACAAAACATAGCTTATTATGAGTAGAAAATGCTTACAAAAGCTGTTTTTTGTACGATAAACGGTTATAGAGATAATCTAAAAAAATGATTTTTTTTCTAAAATTTCAACACCCTGTATCTCGAAAATTGTGCATTTTAGAGGGTAGGTAAGTTAATAGCGACTTTTTTCATCTTTTTGGATGAAACACCCTGTATATATATATATATATATATATATAGGCTCTTAAAGTTATATTTGTTACATTATTTTCATTTTGACATCCTATATCTTCTATTACAATAAGTTCAATAAGTTTTACAATTTCGCCCTGGTGGGTAAAGTTTGCAAAATAGCAAAATATTGTTAAATTTTACTCTGGTCTAAAAATCTTTCGTTGTCTGGGCAGCTGTTGTTTATAAGTGAAATTAACTTATTTTTTTTTGTTTTTGATAATTACATTATAAAATTTGATACATTTGTTGAGTTTGATATTTTTCAATGTTTTACAAAATCCTGGCCCACAGTGCCCCCATTCCGTCAGTATTTTTATATGAATTAATCCTAGTGTTGCACTAATTGGTACTATTTTTGTTATAGATAATACATATTAGATCATTTTAAAGAAGCGTGCCATGCCAAGCAGAGAATCCAAAAAACAAATGCGAGAATCGTCTCGGTACGATGAGTATATATGGAATAGAATATATTATAATTTTTGTAACTTTGCATCTCACTGAAATAAAATCAAAAAATTTAACACCATGAAGGTAAAGCAAGTACCACAATCGAGGTCTGTGAGGGCATCTCAGCCTTTATTACAATTACTGTCGAAGAGGCAGCAAAGATCCCGCATAAAACAGCACAAAGATAAAATTAAACGGATGATGCGCAATCAAAAAGACCTTTCGAATAATTTAAATGTCAAACATTCAACAACTATAAAAACATGCACAACTCACGATTTTAATATTCGTAATTATGCTCTTCAAAATTCTGGAAATTTTGATTGCTCATTAGTTAATACTCGATCTGAAATTATGTGTAATTCCAATCACAATTCAGAGCAAGCTCCTCGACAAGAATTCGATAAAGTGTATTTTCAAAAAAATTTGGCATATTTGTTGTTAGACTCTACCCACACTTTTGGAACACGCTTACTTAAACTTTTAAAAAGTCATGCGTGTTTTTCTTTCTTGCCCAGAGACACCAGAACACTTCTTTCCACCCCCCGTTCCGCCCCTGTTTTGCATAAAGTAGATCCTGGAGAATATCTGCATATCGGAGTCAAAACCTGCATTAGCAAAGTGCTTCGAAATTATAACTTTTCAGAAATTCCCAAAACACTCCACATGGATTTTAGCACCGATGGAGCCAAATTGACAAATACTGGTAAAAAAAACTCTATTTGGCCTATACAATGTCGAATCGTAAATTTAAAAAAATCTCCCACTATGACTGTTGGAATTTTTAGAGGGAAAGTAAAACCTTACAGTTCAGAAGAATTCTTTAAGTATTTTATTGTCGATTTGCTAAAAATATTTCAAGAAGGTGGAATAAGTTACAATGATCGAAAATTTGAAATAAAATTACGTTGTTTCATCGCCGATGCTCCTGCTCGAGCTTTTATATTAGGCCACAAGGGACATCGAGCCTTTGTTCCATGTTCTAAATGCAAAGTAGAGGGCTTTTCAGCTAGTAGATTTGTTATTCTTGATGGAATTGAACACATTCGTAGAGAAAACGAGGATTATATTAATCAACATGATGAAGAACATCATAAATCGATAAGTCCTCTTACCCTATTACCGAATTTCGACTTGGTTCGTGACGTAGTTTTTGAATATATGCATCTGGCGTGTTTGGGTGCAATGAAAAAAATTTTGCTTTCGGCTTGGTTACTGGGAACGTATACCAAAAATACTAAATTGTCAGGACGTGAAATAAACATCGTTTCAGAGAGAATGCAGGTTATAGCTTTGTACTGTCCTCGGGAATTCAATCGACCCATCATTTCTTTGGAAGATCACAAGGATTTTAAAGCAACACAATGGCGTCAGATACTATTGTATACTGGGGTAGTATGTTTTAAAGATGTAGTTAAAGATTACGTTTACACCCACTTCCTACTTTTTCATGCAGCTATGCGTGTTTTTGTTTCCCAAAAATTTCAAACAGCTTCTCAATTAAACTTCGCCGAAGATGCCATGAAGCAGTTTGTCTTGCTCTGTGGTGACGTTTATGGAAAAAAAAATTTGTCGTATAATTTTCATGGGTTATTGCACCTGATTGATGATGTTCGCAGATTCGGGCCTTGCGAAGATTACTCGGCCTTTCCCTATGAGAACAGCATGCGTTTCTATCGAAAGATGTGTAGAAAACCGGGAAGTCCTTTGGTTCAAATTGCGAATAGAAATGAAGAATGGGAACAGTGCGACATTACAAGGAACGTTAGAGTACAACAGCTGCAATTGAAGAAAAAGCACTGCAAAGGCCCTTTGCCAAATGACGTTCACACTGGCGAATGTCAACAATACCAATCTTTAGAAATGTCGGAAATGAAAATAGGGTTAAATTTACGTGATAATTGTGTCATGTTAAAAAACTGGAACATATGTTGCGTGGAGAACATTTTGTCGATAAATGGAAAAATTCGTTTATTGTTAAGGAAATTCGTGAATAAAGCAGAGTTTTATAATGTTGGTGTTCCTTCATCCAAATTAGGAATTTACAAATGTTCAGTCTTGGAGAAAAATTGCGAGTTGGTTCCTGTAGAAGAAGTTGCCCATAAATGTTTTCGAATGCCTGTCTGGAGATTGCTTTCTTCAAATAATGTAAAGGTGCAAAACCAATTTGTAGTCGCGGTTCTCTTGTGATCAGTACCCTACGTAGTGCCAAAAACTTAATAGAACTATTTAACGCTAATTTTCTAAAATATATGTTGAGAGAGCTTAGAACTCTTAAAAGTACTAATTAGTACGAAAAATTTCGATTTTCGACATTTGCTTTTTATATATTTTTTGCAGTGTTGCTTGTGAATCTTATAATTTTTTGTATTGTCAAAATATTCATAAATGTTTCTTTATCTGTAACGTACATTTATTTTTACCAAGTATATTTATACAATATATTGTCGATAATTTATAGTGAATCGTCTGAGAAAGAACATACTAAAAGGCCGAGAAGATCGGTAAAAAAACCTAGGAGGTATAAAACAACTTCAAGTGAAGAAGTCACCTCAAAAAGTTGTCAACTAAAAAGTAAGGACGAACAGCGAATCAAGGTGGCTGTGGCACAACGTCTCAAAAACATGCATGTAAAACATGCTTCAGCCGCAAAATATAAAAATCACTCCACCAAAACGACGAAAACTCGCTCGATAGATGACATGGACAATTCCAGTTCGAATCGCAACCCAAATCGCAGTCCAAGACGTAGTCCTAGTCGCAGTCCAAGACACAGTCCAAGTTGCAGTCCAAGGCCCATTTCAAGATGCAGTCGAATTTGCAGTCCAAGACGTAGTCTAAGTCGCATTCCAATTCTTAGTCCAAGACGCAGTCCAGATCGTAGTCCAATTCGTAGTCCAAGACGCAGTCCAAGTCGTAGTTCAAGAAGCAGTCGATGTCGTAGTCCAAGACGCAGTCGTAGTTCGCGTTTCGATAGCAATGACAGACAAAGCCGCGAAGAAAATCACAATCGAACCAGTGGGTATTTTGACAATAGCCCAGATCCAAGAGGAAGCCGTCGTCGCAGCCTGGACACTCAGATGTCTATTCGCGATCTAAGTCCAGTTGAACCAACGATCAGAGACTTGTACAATCAGATATCCTTGCAAACACGACTAATTAGGTCAGTGATGATTATTTAGTGATACTCAAAATCCTTTGTTTAGTGTGATCTAACTGTGAGCTCCCAGGTTACCTACTATTATGTTGCAGGGAGATAAGAGATAAATTGGCCTCGTTAGAAGGAAAAATGGATAATTATATCGACGTGGACATGCCAACGCCCCCAGATTTATTTCCGATTGACACAGTTGAAAAAATGGAATCCCTCGAACGGAATTCAGCGGAGTACAATAAGATTGTAAGTGTTAAAGTATCTTATCACGATCATTTGGATTTTTAATTTATATCACTTTTCATGTCATACACAGGTGAGCTTCTTTAAGTTTCTGAGCGGAACAACGCTGAAAGATGGGGTCTACTCTTGTGTGGATGAGTCAATGACGAAAGAAATCATTTATAAATATACATGGTTTGGAGGAAACGGCAAAAACAGTTTTTATAATGCTGCCCTTTGTTCGGCCATCTATAGTAAGTTAGCACGCATGTTAAACATTACACACAAAAAAATCTTTCTGTAAATTTATGAAACATTAATATGTTGAATACCTAGTGTTTTAATCGCATATACGTTTTCATTTTTTTAGAAGCTCTTGCTGTCAGCAGAAACTACCAAAAACCAACGCGTCACGAGTTTCAGGCAACGATTGTATCGGCATTGAAAAACGCCAAGCAAAAATTAATTAACCAGAGGCGCCGGGACAGGGAGGCTCCAGCTGCGGGGATAGGCAACCGTCGACGATATGAAAATGAGGCGAACGATTTGTTTAATTAAATAAATTAATGTATAATTATAATTATATTTTTTATTAATATTATTATGTACATCTGTGTTCCCCTACGTTAGTTTCAAATAAACATATTTATTCATTTATACCGTTTAATAATTATTTAAACATTTTAAAATAAAATTTATGACAATTGTATATTAATATACGGCCAACAACGGAGATATTATTGACTGCAATCATTTCTGTCAAATTGCGTTCCAAATGCTTTCAATATCAACGAAATTATTTCCGTGGGATTGCGTTCAGGTTGCGATCTACACTTGCGGCATGAATTTCTGTCAATACCAGTGTCGAATGCGGAAGTATAAATATTAGTTATTGCTGGAAATTTTTGAGTCCGATTTCCGGCAATTTGAAGGACATTTTCCGGAATTTGGTTTATTGGGTAATTATAATTGTTTGAGTGAACACAGTGTCGTAGAAACAGGGGGTTGCTTAAGCTTATAGTCACATACAAACTTTGAGGTTAGGTTTTTATACCATTTGATGCAATTTTTCGATTACTCAGTTCGGCTACTATTAAAAAGGGTGTACCTCTCAAACTTCGATAAAATTAACCGTTTCCGAAATATTCGAGATTACAATAATTGTTATATCACATTAAATTTACCTTAAGGTATATGATAACAAATTTTTTAATTGAAAAAACTACAATTTTTTTAATTTGACGGTCAGGGCAAAAGTCCCGAGGCGCATGGAATGCCCTTTTTAGTTTTTTCAATTAAAAAATAAAATTTGTTATCATATACCTTTTAATCCTTTTAAATAATGCGATATAAGAATTATTGTAATCTAGAATATCTCGGAAACAGTTTATTTTATCGAAGTTTGAGAGGTACACCTTTTTAATGGTAGACGAACTGGGTAATCGAAAAATTGCATCAAATGTTATAAAAACCTAACCTCAAAGTTTGTATGGGACAATAAGCTTAAAGCAACCCCCGTTTCTACGACACTGTGTTCACTCAAACAATTATAATTATGTGTGAATATGTGTTTTGGTAGTAAGTGACTGTTCGCAAAATATCACCTTTCCAAGACTACCATAGTAGAAGCTATATTAAAAAAACTGATTTGATAAGTAACACTTTATCACCCTGTATCTTGGAAACATAAGTAATTAGGAAAAATATTTATTTGGGTTTTCGTCTTATTTTGACTTGCTCAATCTTTTCCTAAATTTATGCCAATAAGTTTAGGGACACCTTGTATATTAGCGTGGTCCTTATTTAGGGTGTGTTCGAATTTTTCTTCACGATTGTCCTAAATAGGTTTCAAATATTTAAAAAAAAATGTGCCAAATTGCAGCTCTTAATTTTAAAATTAAGCCGGCCCCCCCGACAGCCAAAGTTATATGTATACTATCCAATTCAGTTTGGCTAATATGAAAACCAAAATTTCTAGTAACACAAAATAGCCAAGCTTTAGCTAGTTTGTAAACTAACCAACCAATTCTCTGGCTAATTTATTAAAAAAGTGAGGTTACGGCATTGTTTTTCGTTTTGCCGGCTTAACCGGATTTGTTTTGTGCATTTTAACGTTTTTAAAATGAATCATAGGCAAAATTTTAATGCTTCCTTGTTAGAAAACTCAACAACACAACCCTACCGACCCCGCCCCATTGCCCCCCCGCCCCATTGGTCAAAAATCAGAGAAAAAAACCCAAACTAACCCAAACTCAACAACACAACCCAACCGACCCCGCCCCATTGAGCAAAAAAACCCAACTAAAATGGGCAATAGCCAGAGAATTAGTTGGTTAGTTTACAAACTAGCTAAAGCTTGGCTATTTTGTGTTACTAGAAATTTTGGTTTTCATATTAGCCAAATTGAATTGGATAGTATACACTAAACTATCCAGCTATTTTAGTTTCCCTAATAATTTCAAGTAAATTAGCCAAGATCCTTGGTTATTTTGTAAACTAGCCGCTAATTTAGTTGAAAATACATTTTCAATTAAAATAGCTGACAGTTTGGCTAGTTTATAAACTATCCAGCTAGTTTATAAACTATCCAAGTTTGCACATTAGCCGTGACATATATATTGATTTTTTTAAACACACTATTTTGTACCAAATTGATTTTTAATATATTTTTTATATTAGGCAAATAAATCCCAATTGGCAATACTTGCATTACTAACTCATAATAAAAAAGGAAATGGTTTGCAAAGTAAAGACCAGTAAATATACATACATACATACAATATGCATTTATTTTAAAATTAAAATAGTTGTTACATTGTATTTAAAAACATTTTTAGTACTATAAAAATGAAAACCTAATTTATTTATTTACAAACATGTTGATACTTGAAAAAGGAGAACTTTGCTGATATTTTAAACAAATATTAGAAATATTCCGCCAAAACAAAACACAAAGTACTTTAAGCACTTTGTGTTTCGTTTTGGTGTTGGGGAATATTTCTAATATTTGTTTACATACATATGCTTTATTTAATTAGTCATTACAGGCCTCTATGATAATTTAACAATAAGCAATAATTCCAGGTATAAAAAGTGCAAACATGACTATAATTTAAAATTCTACCTTGTTAATTCTAATTGAAATCATTCAGAAATACATATTTACTTTAAACTTATGCTTTTTCAAAATTTATTCTTGCATTTAAATAGTGCATCATAAGTTAGTTTTGATGTTTTTAACCAAAATTCAGTTATTGTGGAACAAGAAAGCCTTTTCTTTTATATGTGTATGATTTAAGTCATACCTTATCATATCTTAAGATTTAAAATATTTATAATGTATAAATAAATTATTAAAATATTCATTTACCTGAAGCAGATACTTACTTTATAAAATAACCAATTTTAGTAAGTGAAAGCAAAAAAAACTGATAGGTATTTATTTAAATTTTAATAGAAGAAACCCATATTGAAGTTGGTACATTAAAAACCAATATTTAATCTTGGATTGTTTTTTGCATACTGCTTTGAATTAATCAAATATGATCAGGTAATTAAATGACTTATAAAAAAAATTAACATTGCCTTAAATGTTCAGGAGCATGATAATGTTGTTGTGGATTTAAAGATGGATGAATTGGCGGTGGGAAGCACCTTACATGCTCCACAGATAGTTCGTCGTTTTCCCCGGATTTCAAAAACTTGTTTAAAATCGCAAATATTTGAGAATTTAATACTTGAAATCTTCTTATTCTGTCACACATTCTCTTTAAACCCTACAAGAAAAGTTTTATTATGTTTTCTTACTTTCATATTGTTTTAAACTTACTATTCCTTTGACTTTTTCGTCTTTGCTATCGACTCGTTGCACCCTTAATATGTGATAGCAAAAGTCCAAAGCTTCAAATCTTCTTTGTTGGCCCAATAAAACAATCATTGTACATCCAGCCCAATTAAGGCCTTCACCAAACATTTCTCTGTTGGCAAATTACAATAACATTAGAAATATCAGTGAAATAATACTTGCAATGTAATGCAATTTATTTACTTTTTCTGAATAAGTAAATAAATTGCACTGGTCTAGGTGGGCAGCAACTTTTCTAGATTAATTTTAGGCTCTCTAAATCCAAAAATTACATCATTTTGCTCAATCACATTTTGTTTTCGAGATATTGCAAAAATAGTTATTTATGTCATTAGGTTAAGCAAAGCACAGAAAGACACATCTCAACCAAAAGGCATACAACATTTTATTTTCAAGGCACAATTTTATTTGTTAAATAATACTTAAAACGTACAATAATAACAATAATTATTAAAAGTGGGTTAGGTAGATCCGACAATTTTTGATTAATCCAAACGGATTTTTACAGCCTAGGTTGTAGGCCCTAGGCGGTAAAAACTTCACCCCGTTGGTCTAAATTATTTTAACAGCCTAGGCGATAATCAATCACTTAAGTAGTGAGTGTTGACAATTAGGCCCAGTTGTATAAAACTCCGATTAACAACAGATTAATAAATTACGGATTAATCAATAATAGCTGGTTAAAGAAAATTTTGTTGTGCAACACTCGGTTATGTTTTAATTAGTTAATTTTCAAATTTAGGGGAATGCACTAAAAAAATCCCCAAATTTTCGTATTTGTCATGTCATAATTTTTGTAATTGTCAAATTGACCATGTCCTCCTCAAATTCATAATAATAATTTTTGTTGTTTAGCAAGATTTTAGTAAGTATATTGGTATTTATTTATTTATTGCATACATTAATGTGCAATTGTAAGTAGCTTTAATATTTTGTACAAATTATACAAAAAATGGCTTTAGCAATAGCTTGTTGGTCAAGATTGTGGTATAAAACTGTCGCTAACTTTAGTGGAAAAGAATCTTGGCTATTGCTTTGAATAAGTAGTTGAAAAATATAAAAACATTGTAGAATGCAAAAAGAACCCGTTACCAAAAATCGTAAACTTAATTCAATCATTTGCCTAAAAGAAAGCGCTTATTTTGTATTAGTTCTTAAAGAAATTATGGCTGATATTTCTTTATTTCCAAAAGTTATAATATTTTTTGAAAGACGAAATCTGTTTCTATATTCTTCTATATTTAAATCTGTAAAATATTCAGGTTTAGCACAAAAGTTTTGTTTTTCTAGGAAAACTAACAATTTCTACTAATTATAAAAAATCTTTATCATCCGTTAAATGTTCTACCATTTTAATGCTAACCACAGGTAAATACTAACAAAAAAATAATGAAACATTTTAAACGTGTGTTCTAACCCGGCGTTAACCACACAAAATTCACCGATTTGTTAATTGTATGTTGATCACTTAATTAACTTTTAATCAACGTTTATACAACTTGAAAGTTAGCTTAATCATTACATAATTATTATTAAGAGTTAACCAGCTGTTTACCAACTGTTATACAACTGGGCCTAAATTATAGACTGCAGCAAACAGAACATTTTATTTTATCAGACTGTGTTAGCATTATTGTATAGTTCATATATAAATAAGGAATAGGTATGAAGTTACCAGTCGCAGTCGACTACTGGATCAAATGTGCGAGAATTTTGTCAAGCAGGATCCTCTGTGTTTTTTTATAAGTAGTGAATAAAAATTATTGTTACTTTTTAATAGGAGTTACCCGGACAACAATCGGGATTTCTTGGTGAAGTCATGATGATATCACAACGTGATTTTTTTTATCACGCTGTGATATCCCTTGTGCATACACATGCTTCATCACAGTGATATCATGTAGAACTGTAGAATATTTGCAAAATTTGCGCATGCGTATGAGCCCTGCGAACTGCTAATTTAAAACGTAGTTTGTTATTCACATTACACCGTTATAATTTATAAAACGTTGTTTGAATATCACGAATGTATTCCGGGTTCAATTTAAAAAGATATTCCAATGTTTAACAAAACGTGAACGTTTTGTTAAACATTGTATTGTAATAATTAATTAACTATTAGTTAATTTAATTAAATTCAATTGATTCAACATATATGTATACGGCCATTCCATGCGTAACGGATGGGACAGTTGCAAGTTTTTATTTACAAAATAATATTGTTCTATTATACAGGGTGTTATGTAATTAATGTTATATATTAAAATGGGTTGTTCCTTAGGGTCCATAATGAAGCACCTGAAACTTTTTTTTTCTAAATTCCAAAGTCTAAAAATAATTTATAATAACCTTTATCCTACCAAAAAGTACGCCACTGATCGACTAGGAACTTTAGGTTAATCTGGTGGATTTATTATATTATGGTTGGTAACCACATTGTTTCCAAAATCTCTCAAAAAAGTTGACAAACATTGTTTAAATTTAGCTTAATTACAAAAATGACAAAATTAACAATGCAAATTGTCAATTTGGCGTTTTTATTAATTGATGGTTATTTCATTTTTGTACTGAAGGTAAATTCAAACAAAATCTGCCAACTTTTATGACAGAATCTAGTGCATTTCTTTTAAATTTTAGGTTATGTTTTCAAATTGTAAATATCTTAACTAAGGGAAGTGCTTTTGGATTTATTTACACAAATTAAATGTTTAAAGTTTAACCTGTGAACTGGTCCCAATTTCATCTGAGTAAACAGAGAAAAAAACTGATGAAAAAATTAATTTTGTGGTTAAGGATTTCAAATTTCAAAGGTACTAAATTTTCTAATCATTGCTTAAGCTAATAGCTGGATCAGTAAATAAATACAGAAGGGTATTAGAGCTTTAAGGGCATAAAACTTTTGTATTTATTGAGTTTTTATTTATTTTTTGCAAAAAAAATTTTTAGTAACAATTTTTTACATCTGGCAACGCATAGCTACTTTGTTGGTTGGTATTTATGTACTCACAAAATACAGGTGTGCAGAGATAAACAAGTGTGTAACCAGTGGCGTACCACAAAAAATATAAAAAACTTCTAATGCCTATTTTTTCTTTATCTTTGGAAAAATGTTTTTTTAAATATTTTTCCTTTATTCCTTATGTCAAAAGGTATTCAGTATTTTAATATATAACATTAATTACATAACACCCTGTATTACTAATGTCAAATTTTTATAAATAGTTCTAAACAAAAGTTGTTTAAAAAGGTTTTTATTTGGCAAAATTAGGTATTGTGGTTGTCTGTTCCTTAAAATTAATTTTTTTTATTCAAAAACAGTACTTTTTGTTCTTGGATGTAAATTAACTATTTTTTTTTTCATTAAGGTGCGTCGACTGCTGTGGTCATTGGCACCAAAATTAACTATTAATTTAAATCCAAAAAAATATTGAATGTATTTAACCACAAAAACTGTAGATTCAATATATATGTAGGTATACTTTTTCTCTCAATGTACGAATGTGGCGCAAAAATAAATATCCAAACACCAATGGCATAAAAAATCACGACATGATTTTTTATGCTATCGGTGTTTGGGCATAAAAAATCACGACATGATTTTTTACGCCATCGGTGCACCGACAGGTTTGGATATTAAATAAATTTTATTTTTGCGCCACATTCGTACATTGAAAGAAAAAGTATGTTAACAATTGAATTAACAGTTTTTGCGGTTAAATACATTTAATATTTTCTTGGATGTAAATTAACTATTAATTTAAATCCAAAAAAATATTGAATGTATTTAACCACAAAAACTGTTGATTCAATATATATGTAGGTATACTTTTTCTCTCAATGTACGAATGAGGCGCAAAAATAAATATCCAAACACCGATGGCATAAAAAATCACGAAATGATTTTTTATGCCATTCAACATAATTTTTCTCTGAGTGTACGAACGTGGCGCAAAAATGATTATCCAAACTCCGTTGGCATAAAAAATCACGACATGATTTTCATTTATCACGCAGTGACATCCGGATGATGTCCGTATGATAAAAATTTGTGAAAATCACGACGTGACGTTCGTATGATTTTCAATTATTACGCGGTGACTTCCGTATGATATCAGTATGAATAAAATTTGTGAAAATCACGACGTAATGAATATCACGAATGTTGTCCGGGTAATTAGTTACGAGAGTAACAGTCAATAACATTTGTGAATGACTTACTCGACAGTGTACTCATTTTCGCTGACCGGCACACAATAGACAAACTGCAGGGCCGACCAAAGCCGATGAAACTCGACGCACTCGTCAATGTTCATCACGCCATTAGCTGGAGGCGGTCCCACCCACACAGGGTCGTCTAGAAAACTCTTCAGACGGTTCAGCACCACTTCGAAAATCGAGAGACCACAGCAAAGACGCTCTCGTGTTAGCAAATCTCCCTCTTTCGATATCATGGCTTGCTAAAAAAATAAGAAAGTATACTTTGGGGAAGGTTTTAATTGACTTGTGAATTTGCGCACCTTTGCTGTTCCTAATTTTTCTATATTTGGCACAATTTGCAGGGCAGCATATTTTGCCTCAAGTCTTTTTTGTTTTACTTCCAATTTTTCACCTTCTTTGCAATAAGGGCGAGGAAGAATGTTTTGGAATGGTGCTGCTTGTAATAAATCACAAACTTCTTCTTGGGAAAGAGCTTGCTCCATTAGAAGACAGAATATAATTGTATTGCCTAAAATTTAAAAAGTAATTGCAACTATATTTCTGCTTTTATATTCATTCAAAACCTAACAATTAAAAAAAAAAGTTGGGAAAAAAAATAGGAACAAAAATAGTTTTTCTACGACCACTATGTAAAAGTCAAATTTCGTAATGGCATTGTTGCTTAGAAAATGAATCTTTTCATTGGCAAGGGAAAACACAAATGAAAAGTGACATTTAAGTGTGAAAAGTGACAGTTCTGTGTGAAAAGAAATTGAATCGTTTGACATTCGTTTCAAAATTTGTATTGTATTTGTATATGTTTGTCTAAAAATTAAAAGAATAAGATGAAAGTAATTTTACCAGCTGTCAAACACGTAGATGAGCACTGTGTGCGAGGCAATTAATAAGCTTTCGCCGCCGGGTTTCATATACTAATTTTTTTCAAGCATTTAATTAAATAATTTCTTGAGATTCTGTCACTTCATTTTTAGGTTAGGTTCAACTGACATGATGACATTTAAGCCTAATTTATAGATTGCCTTCCTTCCTTCCTCCCGTAGAAGATGAACAATACAATTATTATTAAACTCCGTACAGAAATAAAGCTTAAAGCCTTATTTATAGATTATCTTCCTTCCTTCCTCCCGTAAAAGATGAACTGAAGAGGCACTGCCTCACCTGCCTCCTCTGACGGGCCGCCACTGATTGGAAAGTTCATATTCCGTAATGGAAGTAGAAAAAAAGCATACTCAAGATAATCCGCATTATTTAATCGGATGATTTGAAAAAGGGAGGAATACGGGAATAAGGGAATTATAACTAAGGCAATGCGAATTTTCCTAAGAATCCAATAATGATTTTCTCCATTTTTATAGCATTTCAACAGCAGAGTTTTTACTTATTTTTTCTTAAAGAATGACAATTCTATATTCATTGAAAAAAAATGGCAACAAATTTAAAACATCTCTTAAGCTAGGTCTACATTGTCGGTCCTATCGCAGGAGTTGTTATGTCTGCTTTCTACAATTTTCGCGCGAAGATCATTCCCTGTCCAGTGTTGCCGTTTGCGCGTATTCATAACGTCTATCTTTAGCAGCCCTAGCGATTCCCATGTTTGTTTTTTTGTTTATCTTTGTTATCATTTTTCATTTTTGAACAGAGCAAACTTTTACTAATTTTATTAATTCTCTTTATAACCCAAAATTAGGTAATTTCAGCAAATTTAATATAAGTAAGTATTTTACCTGATAAAATAAAATAAAATAAATTTGGATTGGAAAAATAGTTAAGATAATCCTAAAATCATTTAAAATATACATAGGTATATGTATATACAATATATTTTTTCGAATACATTTTTTTTATTTTCACCACCTTATAGGAGATTTTGTTCTCTACAAAATTGCCCATATGCATTTTTTCTCTAAACTCATCAGAAACAAAGTTACATAGCGCTGAATAGAAGGAAAAAATAAAAATCGAATATTACACTCGATAAAGATAATCTTAAAATCATTTAAAATATACCCTTTTTTCGAATAATTTTTTAAAATGATAATGAAAAATTTAAGAATAACCGAGAAATAGGAAACGAAACTAATAGTCTAAGATCCCAAGTAAGGTCGACCTTCACCCATCTGCTTACCAGATGAAAATTATATTTTATCAAATAAAATATGTTTCTGAACATAAACCAATAGGGTTGCCATAAAAAATATGATCAAGGCTAGCTATAATAAATAAAAAATTAAAAAAAAATAATTAATTTTTTAAATTTCACCGACTTGCTTGCCAAATGAACGAAATTCCAATGGAAAGCATACAACATACAGAATATGTAACAGCTAGGTTGCCTACCTTTTTCTGGTCCCTATTACCTGGTTGCTTTGTACAGGGTGATCCCCTATAATGTCACCCCCCTTTAACTTTTTTCATTTAAGTGTCCCAAAAAATTTAAAAGTGTGGTGATGTAGGAACTAAAAAATACTTTTTTTCTACGTATAAAGAAAATTGGAAAATTGATAAGTATACAGGGAAAACAAAAAGTTTATTTTTTTCAATGGATCACCCTATATATGAATTTATTTTTCGATTCCTTGTAAAATTCTAAGCATATTTCATATATCATACCATATACCTAAATTCAACCGTTTCTGAAATATTTAAATTATTTTTAAGATAATAAGTTGAAATAGTTTGTTTTTCTCTGTCTGAGTACGCCATTTTTACTTATTTAACAACACTTATTGACATAATGTCACTATAGTAATTTATTTTCAATAAAAATTTTGGTATACTGAGGCTTCTTGATTTCTAACAGTTTAAAAAAACATTTAATGATGACATTTCGAATGCGAATATTTCAGAAACGGTTGAATTTAGGTATATGGTTTGTTATATAAATTATGCTCAGAATTTTACAAGGAATCGAAAAATAAATTCATATATACGGTGATCCATTGAAAAAAAGTATTTTTTAGTACCTACATAACCAAACTTTTAAATTTTTTGGGACACTTAAAATAAAAAAGTTAAAGGGGGGCGACATTATAGGGGATCACCCTGTACAAAGCAACCAGGTAATAGGGACCAGAAAAAGGTAGGCATATTACATATTCTGTATGTTGTATGCTTTCCATTGGAATTTCGTTCATTTGGCAAGCAAGTCGGTGAAATTTAAAAAATTAATTATTTTTTTTTAATTTTTTATTTTTTATTTTTTTTATTATAGCTAGCCTTGATCATATTTTTTATGGCAACCCTATTGGTTTATGTTCAGAAACATATTTTATTTGATAAAATATAATTTTCATCTGGTAAGCAGATGGGTGAAGGTCGACCTTACTTGGGATCCTCTACTATAAATAAAATAAAAGTATTGATCATTAAAAAGAGAGAGACAGATAGGTTCTAGCACTCTATTGGCTTGACATGCTGCGACGTGTGACCTCGCTCCATCGCAAAGTCGCTAGGGGCTGTGCGACGGGCTTATGTCTTATTTTCGCCCTTCTGCGACAATTGTAGGCCGGGCTTTAATGAACAAAATTGCATGAAACTTACCAAACTCTCTAAAGTTGTGAAACAATTCAGTCTTAGCGTCAGGATACTGTAAAATATCGTTCAATTGCGCGTGATAGAACGCCAAAACGCCTGGAGATCCGTAATCGTAACGGGGTAACTTGCAAATTTTAGGCATTGCTGACATCAGCGTTTTGGTGAATTGCAATAGATTTCCTTGTATGAGGCTCTTGACAATTTTCAGAAGCTCCTCCATAACGACCGCGATGCCTTGATATCCCAGCAGTTTGCACATGGTGTGGAAATGCTGGGGACCGACAAATCCGTTGTATTGGCTGTATTGCGTGCTGTAGGCAAGATTTAAGGGCTTACTACCCCAAGTGTAAGCGTGAGACATTTGGGGCGCTCGATCTCTATGCACTTGGTTGGCGAAAGATATGCCTCGGTATCTTACAAATCTAAAGAAAAAAATTATTAATACCTAATAATTTTAATATTTCACATGATACAAGAATTAAAAACAATTGAGGAGCATCCGTGCAAAACCGGCTATATCAACTTTAATAAAATGTTAGGAAAATGGCAAAAACTCTCGGTTTCCTGGCCTTTACAGATAAAAAAAAGCAATATTGAGTTTTGTAGGCTTTGTGGTACTTGATTTATAAGACATACGTTTTCAAAAACTTTATATTAAGGCCAAAATTTCAAAAAATGTTTTGGATATAGCCGGTTTTGCTTGAAAACCGAATAAAAAACGAATAAAATGTGAAAAAAAACCTTTATTATTTAAAAATATTAACAAAATAAATTTAGTGCAAACATGAAAAAACAGAAAAAATTTTAGTAGTATTATCTTTGGTAGTATCGACATATCCAAGCCACATATTATTATTTATTGGATATAGCCGGGTTTGCTATAAAAACGTGGATTTGGCCGGTTTTGCTCCAAAAGCTACATTTTAAATGTGATTTTAACATGGATTTAGTCGGAAAACAAAAACTGAATAAAATGAATTTAGCCGGTTTTGCACGGATGCACGGAATGGTCACTAGTAATACCACTAGAGGTCAAATTATTTCCGGAAATTTTTTCGAGCTCATGAATATTTTGAAAATTATCCCGAGTCGAAGACGAGGGATAATTTTCTAAAAATATTCATGAGGGAGAAAAAATTTCCGGATTTAATTTGACCTCGTGTGGTATTCGGTAAGAAAATTCCACACCAAATTGTGTTTAAATAATTAAAATTTATTTTTTGATTTAACTTGACCTTGACTTGATTATTTAGTTACCATGGCAACTAAGTCAACCCCAACCTAAAAGTTATTTCAGTTTTGAAGCTGTCAAGCGGCAAGACGTAAAAAAATGTGAAATTGTCTGCTTTAATGATCAATCATCGTGCAATGACTTATTTACCCGCAATATTGGAGGATTGTGGCTCCTACTTGAAGAAAGAAAATTTGTTTTGAATTGTTCACGAATATTTGCATCTTAACTATTCAAAACTCAAAGTGCTAAATGGAAAAAAAGGTGAATAGAATAGTGTCTAAATATTATATATATTTCATTAGACATAGACATTTAATTTATTTCAAGTCCTGCATTTTCGCCATTAAGAAGAAAGGAGGTGTCCAACGAATATAGAAAACATCTAAACTTTGTAATGGAAATGTATCAAAATTATCATGTAAACAAATAAAAACCAGATTGTCAAACAAATATTCTGTACGTCATTATAAACGTCAAAAAATTTCCAGTATAATTCGCTGTTGGGTACCCACGAGGAAAAAATTTCCACTAAAATTCAACCGTTGCCATGGTGATCTATTAAAAATACACGTTTTGATTGGTTAAAAATTAAAGGTGTGGAATTTTCACTTATAATACCACAAGAGCTTCAAAATTATCGGGTATTTTTCCCGATAGGTTCGTTGCAAACAAATGAAGGAGTCAAGTTTTTCAGGTTAAAAAATCACGAGCGCGAAGCGCGAGTGATTTTTCCTGAAAAACTTGACGACTTTATTTGTTTGCAGGGAACCTTGAGGGAAATGCCAGATAATTTTGAAGCTCGTGTGGTATTCGGGGGATTATTTTTCCGTCCCAAATGTCGGCCAATAGAATTGCACCATGAGACGAAATGTACAGTTAACAAATAAGAATTTCATAATGAATAAAACAACATTTAATTAAGATTTAATTTGTTTTTTTTATATATAGCAACTACCAGAGAAAATTTTCAAAAAATTATCGCTGTAATTCGCTGTAGGTTCCCTCAACAACAATGCCTCAACAATGTCCCAACAATACAGAGAACTGTCAAAAAAAATAATCTAATTAATTAGCTTTAGGCTTCCTTATCCTTTTTACTAGCGCTGTCTCTGCATGCTAAAACTAATAACGTCATTGGATGACGCGCGACAATTAATATTTTTTAAATTTTCATTCAATTTAATTTCAGAGGACTTCGGTTGTGTGTCTCGCAGAGTGCGGTTTGCTAGATGAAATATTGTGAAACATATGTGACAATGCGGCAATCTTCATCTAAATATATTGGGTTAAAATTGTCTCAGAAATGGGCCCAATCAATTGTTAGCACATAGAAGGAGTTCTACTACCCAAGAGCTCCTAATATATTCTGTAATATTTTTACGATTTTACTAAAAATCATGTTAAAACTGTTTATCAGTTTTAAAGAAACAATAAATATAGTTTTTATATATGAATTAGAATAGGCATAATTAGAGTTGGGGATGGTCAATTGACCGCGGTCAATTGACTGCTACCTATTTGACCGGTCAAAATATATTTAATTTTTGCAGAATTTTATTTAGGTATCAACAATTACCCGTGAATCTCAAAATTTTTGCGATCGTGCAATATCGACATCATTTACAATTTGGTGGTTCCCCGAGTCGAGGGGTTGCTAGGCCGGACTCGGCGCTTTGCCCTTAAAGCGGGACATATCTTTTTTAATAGCGAAACATAACTTTTTAAATCCGCACAAACGTTTCTAAAGATGGACATAACTTTTATAATAAAAAAAAAATTGGTAACGTATTTTAATTACCTATTTATTAAGTACAAATAAATCACAGTAATATTTATTTTGATATTTTATTTAATTTTATTTTGGTCAATTGACCAAAAACAATTTGACAGGTCAATTCCACAACCCTAGGCATAATATTTCTTAAAGAAGTCTTCTTTTTAAAAAAGGGTGTTACATGTTCGGGGAATCTCACTGAAATTTACTTAAAAATGGAGTAGTTGGTGCAGGAGTATTAGGAATGACACTATAAATAGTGCGTTTAAATGCTTTTGACAGTGCGACTTACTTATGGACTTTTGCGCTGATTGACTGCAGGAGTATTAGGAATGACACTATAAATAGTGCGTTTAAATGCTTTTGACAGTGCGACTTACTTATGGACTTTTGCGCTGATTGACTTAATTTTTAAAATTTTGAAAATTCCGTCCATTGGACGATATAATTAACGGTACAAATGGCCAGCTTGGGACTAACCTAACAAAACCTTGGATTTTGTCAAACAATTGTTGATTTAAAGGTTATCTGGTGACCTTGGGACAGCATGTATATTTTTTAAAATCAGAATAGACCATCTTAAGATATACCGGGTGTTCCATTAAAATATACCGGGTGTGCCATTTTTATAATTGCCTATTTTTGTTGTAGTGAACTAACGATTTTTACTATTGATGCTTAAATAAATAACGCTTATCAAAAAGGAACAAAGCGCCAAAAACTTTTTTTGACTTGGTAATAGTTATTTACGATATAAGTGGGATAAGAGCTTTATTAACGTACGCATGCGAAATTTGCCCAACGAGTGCGTAGCACGAGTTGGGCAATCGCAAAAGTACGTTAATAAAGCGTTATCACACGTATATTGTACAAATTTTTATCTACGCCTCTAAATGAATAAATAAACGGTAATTATTTTTGTCTAAGACTTAATTTAGGGTTATTTTGACATTTTGACTTTTTTATTTGATTGGTTAAAAGCAGAGAAAAACGCGTGCGTTAATGAACTTCTTATCTCACTCAAAATTAGTGGGATAAGAAGTTCTTATCTCACTGGCGTAGATAAAATTATTTATAAAATAACTCAATTTTAATAATGTTCAAAAGGTTGATCATCATTTAAAACTTTTCTCAAAAGGATTGAGAGGGTTTCAAAATCATTATTTTGCAAATAATTTTGTTCATCCCGGAAAAAGTTTTTGGCGGTTGGTTCCTTTTAAATAATAAACGCTATCCAAATATACTTTATTTTATTGAAATATTTAAAATCTCAGTACATAATACCCCGGATGAGAAACAACGTCGCACACTGGTCCGAATCGTGCTTGACCTTGGCCAAAACCCCAAGAATAAAGTTATTAATTATGACATTATTTTAATTCATACAGGTAGAGAAATGTTTGAAGTATTTAAAAACCAAAGCGTTTAGGTATAAAATCGCCCTACATGATCCCTAGGGCAGTTTTATTTAACACTTTTTTGCAATTGCTTGGAAACAGTTATTTTGTTGATTTTGATTGTGCAACAAAAGTGCTATTATTTCGTTAACGACTTGTTCGATTTTAACAGTTCAAAATGGAAAATGTTATTTTAAATTTTTTTCGATTTTTTCGTTTTTTTTTACTTGGAATAAGTTAAAATGTGGGCATTTGCGGAAGACGTTTTTTACGGGGAAACGTTCATTGAAGTGTCTATTATAAGGTTCTTAAAAAATTGGCTGCAGCCACTTGCGCGAAAATTAATAAAACAATAATGATTGTGCCCGGATTTGAGACAGTAGTCGCGGTTAAACGCAGTGATGCTTAGTAAATATATTTTTTAAGATTTTATAATAGGATAACAAATATACAGAAAAAATTGTTTATGCAAAGATATTCGTCAGTACCGCGAAAATTTTTCAAGAAAATCTTCTAGAGAAAAGTCAATGTCGGACGTTTTTTGTCGGCTCCTTGTATCCTCGGACCCGCTTATTATATAAGCTTATAATAAACGGGTCCGAGGTTACAAGGAGCCGACAAAAAACGTCCGACATTGACTTTTCTCTAGAAGATTTTCTTGAAAAATTTTCGCGGTACTGACGAATATCTTTGCATAAATAATTTTTTCTGTATATTTGTTAACCTATTAAAGAAAGTGCAGCTGAAGAAATAGACATTGATGACTATGACTTTTAATTTAATAGTATAATTTTAATTTAATAAACATTGAAATTTTGTACGCAAGTGTATTTTACTTTTTCATTTCCCATTTGACAATTATTACAATAATACTAAATTAGTAACCTTACAACCGAATTAGGCCGAACCTAATACTCACAATAAATTAATAATTAAAAAAAAATCCGCCATTTTTGGTACATTGGTTTGTATTACCTAAATAATTTTGATATCAAATTCAGAATTAGCGACTGCAAAAATTAAAAATTTCAGGACGATTAACAATTTTTTTAAATCCGCCATTTTTGGTCCACCATTTTAAATTTACTAATTTTGATTTTAAATTCATGATTAACGATCCCACAAACCTAAAAATAAACATTTTCAGACGATTAATTAATTATTTTAAAAAAATCTGCTATTTTGGCCCGCCATTTTAAATTTAATAATTTTGATAATAAATTCGTGATAAGCGACCCCAAAAACCTAAAAATTAACATTTTCAGGACAATTAACTAATTATTTTTAAAAAAAGTCCGCCATTTTTGGTCCGCTATTTTGAATTTAATAATTTTAATATTAAATTCGTGATGAGCGACCCCAAAAACCTAAAAAATAACATTTTTTAGGAGAATTAACTAAATATTTTTTTAAAAAGTCCGCCATTTTTGGTGCGCCATTTTGAATTTAATAATTTTGATATCAAATTTGTGATAAGCGACCCCAGAAACCTAAAACTTAACATTTTCATGACGATTAACCAATTATTTGTCAAAAAAGTCCGCCATTTTTAGTCCGCCATTTTGAGTTTAATAATTTTGATATCAATTTCGTAATCAGCGACCCCAATAACCCTAAAATACAAATTTTCACATTATTACATTCACTTTTCGAGTTTTGGCCAGAGAATAAGTCGATTCGGACCAGTGTGCGTCGGTAAGTTTGGGTACCTACTCACATATGCAGTTATAACTAATAATTTTTTTCTTCTTCTAAACTTGAATGATGTACTTTAAAATTGTTACTCACCTATTAGTGGCAGCATTGTAGACATAATTTGGAAGAAAATCGAAATTCAATTCCCAAAAAACATGCAAAGTAACTCGGCCGTAAGGCGCGAGAACGTTATGATTGGCCTCTCTATACATCGAATCAAAATCGTCCAAAGCCAGCCATTTACTTAGGAGCTTGTGGCACAATCGATTGACTTCCAGTAGCCCTTCCAATTCCATAACGTTCGTTACGTCACCGGCTTCGAACCTGCTTATTGCAAAATCCAAGGACTTCTGCATGTCTGCGTTAATTCTTTGAGTGATCAGTTTGTTCAGGTCGATCGATCGCCCGAGAAGTTGCACGTGTCTCTGTTTAAGGAGGGTTTCGTATCTGTTGGCCCTCGGATATGGCAGTAGGTATGCGCCGATGGCGGCACACTCCACTCGGAATCTTTTATCCAAAAATATGCTCGCCGCCAATTGTTTGTAGTAGCCGAATATTTGTTCGCTAAGTTTGTAAACGAACTGATCAAAGCAGAGATTAACTTCGGCCTCGACCTCGTCGTACAAAAATTGTTTGCGGAATTTCGTTAGGGCGTAGAGGGCGCTGTCGTTGTAAAGATCCAAGGGATATAACACATACCTAAATAACAATTTACAGATAATAAAAACATTTTACTTGAGGTGTTTTTACTTACTCCATCATTGATGGTTCCTTTGTTTTTAATATGTGGTCAGTAAGAATCCAAGGCATAGACATGTCAATGGGAAATTGAATTCTTTTTTCCATTGTTATTAGGTCGTTACATTCATCGTTATGTTGATGGCGAACATTGCATTTCTAAAATGAATAAATGACGTTCGATAATAAAAATTAAATCAAAAAGACTACTGGATGGCTTCAATTTTTGTCATATTGTTATTTTATAAATCAGGGCGTCAATATTTTTTTCAGACTAATGCTGTACAAAAATTTCTCACCCCATTTTCAAAAAAGTAACGTTAACATATCCAGCCCACAGGCAAAGCTCAGGTTTGGTTCTTTACAAAAAAAAATAACAATAACTTTGATAAATATAAAAATCGTTTAAAACAGACTCAAACCAAAGTTTTTTCCATATTTTGATAAAGAATTTAATTTTTGCACTCTGACCCTAATAGCAATTTGAAATTTCGGACGTAACTTTGTAAATTAAGATTTCAGATGTCCATGGGAAACTTTTTTTATATTTTTGTCCTCTACATCACCTTCGCAAAGTTTAAAAAAAATAGTTACACCCTCTTTAGTAAATACTTTTTTTTAATCAATTGAGCACTGCGCACTGTGAAGTGTGAGAAAAAATCTTAAATTGTGTACCTGAAAGTGGCTTTGTTATCGAAAATATTTTTTGATGAAATTATGGTACAAACCAATATTGTCCTTATACTCCATAATGTCGTATGTAAAAACTTTTCAGGGGAACAAAAAAACAGAATATACAGGGTGTTACTTTAATGACATACCATACATAGGTCGAAAACCAAGATTTTTAGCACATACACTTATATAAACTTTTCGCTTAAAATTAGCCCAAGAATCACCCATTAATTAATATATTAAGTATACCTATGTATAGGGGTGCTAAAGTTTTTATTTTTTTTCGGTTTTTAACAAAAATTTCGAAAACCGTTTGATATATTACATTTAATTTTAGGAGGGAATATTATGATACTTAAACACAAGCACATTAAAATAATATTAATAATTAAAAGTCTAAGCTGTTCAAATCAGGGGATCTAGGTGCCCATAATTGTGGCCTTCCACGACCTATCCAGCGACTTTAATGTACATTTAAATATTTAAGAAACTAAAATGCCCAAGTGGGCAGGGGCACCATCGCGCATGAACCATATTTGCTGACGTATGTAGGTACTAGATAAGGAATGTTCAAAATTGCATTTTTTTACGAAATTTAATTAATTAAATATTTTTGTTTAATACTCTATTTTGTCCATGTTAAGTTCAGCTAACACTTATCATACCCAACAATATTATACATATAATTGTAAAAATAAGTAATACCAAATGGGTGGGTTATTGTTGCATTGTGACCTACTTAAATGTTTATGATTTATGAAATCGCGGGCCAACATCAGGATTTCTGACTCAAAAACCATGTTTTTTATCGACTATAATTACACAAGAGCTTATTTTTAGCCGGATAAATTTTTGTTTTCCTTAATAGCTTGTTACCTAGCAATTTGACAAGAAAAAATGTCATCAATCAAAATTGCGAGACCGTAGGTCGAGCGATTTTGTCAGATGACATTTTTTCGAGTCAAATTGCTGAAAGGTAACAAGTTTGAAAGTTAGAAAACATAAATTTATCCTGCAAAAAAAAAAGCTCGAGTGTAATTCGACGAGATAATTTTGTGATTAATTTTTTTCATATTGCATGCCCAATCAAGCAAAATATTTGCTAAATCTTGCTGTGATATTGAGTCGAGTAGTTTGTAGATCCTCGCATTACAAAATGCCATATTTTGTCGCCAAATTGACGCTTTATTATTAAAGACTTACTTGGGATACTTTTTACAATTTGTTCTTTATTGTTTTTCGCCGGAAACGACACCAAAACGATTCATTTTAAAAGATTTTTTGACACCTGCTATTAAAAAATAATTATTTGCAAGGTTGTCAAGGAAATGAAATGACACGAGGTAAATAAATAATTATCCACTTGCAAAAGTTACCTTCCTTTTTATCCGTTATCAAAGTGACTTAAATGCCATTCAACTACGACGTTTTCATGTAAGAAACAAATTATCGTAAGTAATATCATAAGGGCATTTAATTTTTCCGAAAAGAATCGAAAAAACACGTTGCTAAGTAATATTTTAACAAAAAGCATGAGTGCTGGTGGCAACAAAAATCCGAGTCGAAGAGGAGGATTTTTGCACCTGCACGAATGCATTTTGTTAAAAAATATTACTTAGCATTGTGTTTTTTCGATTTTTTTCACAGGAAAAATTAGATGCCCGAATGGTATTTGACAAGACTATTTCATGAGTAACAGTTAACAATTAAAATATAAATTGCAATTTTTGGTGACAACAGCTGTCAAGTTTTGCCGCGGGTAAACTCGAATAAACTGCTGACAGGTGCTGTCACACAGTTTTTTCACCTAGAAATCATTTGTAATTCAAAATTGCGCATTTGTGATTGGTGGAAATTTAGACGAGGGAAATAGTCGTAAGTAATATCATAAGGGCATTTAATTTTTCCGAAAAGAATCGAAAAAACACGTTGCTAAGTAATATTTTAACAAAAAGCATGAGTGCTGGTGGCAACAAAAATCCGAGTCGAAGAGGAGGATTTTTGCACCTGCCCGAATGCATTTTGTTAAAAAATATTACTTAGCATTGTGTTTTTTCGATTTTTTTCACAGGAAAAATTAGATGCCCGAATGGTATTTGACAAGACTATTTCATGAGTAACAGTTAACAATTAAAATATAAATTGTAATTTTTGGTGACAACAGCTGTCAAGTTTTGCCGCGGGTAAACTCGAATAAACTGCTGACAGGTGCTGTCACACAGTTTTTTCACCTAGAAACCATTTGTAATTCAAAATTGCGCGTTTGTGATTGGTGGAAATTAAGATGAGGGAAATAGTCACATATATTTATTTGAACTTTTAGACTTAAAATTAGCCCATTTAAATAAGTACATACCATAAAGTAACCTGTATTATACTATAAGTAATAGTACAAAAAAATTTTCATGATTCTGTTTTTTGTCCTGAAAAGTTAATGATTTTTTACATACGATATTTTGCATCAACAAAGATATGTGGAATACAAAAATTGTTATAATGAGTAAAATTGAATTTGTTTTCATTGATTTTGATGACAGAAGATATGCTTGATAGATAAAAAGTTTCAATTTGAACAAAATTTCTTGAAAATTTGGATATGTTTTGCTTTAAAAATCGGTTCATCTCTCAGTTTACGTTTTAATATTTTCATATTCCCCAAAAAGGAATCACTCTTTAATTTAAATGTAAATACAAAAAATCAGTTGCATTTTTAATAAAAACAATTCACAAACAATGCAATGCATACATTGAACTTTTTGTTGTGTTGGCTTCCTGCAGCTCCATGGAGCTAATAACAAAGCAGTAAACAACCATACATTTTAAACTGACATGTCTCTGCATTGCACAGTCTTATAAGAAAACTAGCTGCATTGTTATAAATATCATTTTTGCACGGAAAAAATATTTTTTATATAAGTATAATCCACGATAATATTTTTATTTAAATTGTAAGCAAATATTAAAAAAAGGTTTTTGGGGTCATATTAAGGTTTTAATCTTTCCTTAAAGGGATTCCCTTTTAAAATTACGTAACATTTAAAATAAAAACAAACTTTGATAATTTAACTTAACATCCCTTAATGATCTCGTCATCGGCGTCCTTAACATTATTAAATGTTAAAAATAGTGTTTAAATTAAGTGACAAAAATATAAATTTAAAACTACTTACATTAATTTTTCGTCCCATTGTCATTTCAAGATAAAATTCTCTGTACCAGAGCTGTGACAGGTCGCAACAATTTTGTAATGAATCTAAAAGTTTTTAAGAATGTCATTTTACATTAAAAAACACTATAAATAATATTACCGCTGAAACTCAATAAATAGTTCCAATAGAATGATATTTTATGGAAATTATCAATTGCAACAAGGTATTGCCCATCTATGTCTTTCCTCAAGGTCCTTTTTCCGCCAGATTTATCCGCAGTTAAGGATTCCAACATGGTTCTAACCATGTATAGTTGTGTTGAAGATGGACCAACATTTCTTCTTGGAACCTTAAAGTTGTAACCACCATCAGGGTCCTTTTTACCTTTTAAAGCGGGATCCTTAAAAAAAATCAATATTAAGTATTATAGGAATACTATAATTTACTTATTTACTTGTAGGTGCTCTACACCCCTATTCCAATCTGCACAAGTCTCTCTAACAGACATAATAATACTCCTGATCAGGTCTTTTTTGTTTTTAGTTGCTTTTCTAAGGGGTTCCCTCAATCCCACTTGGGCAAACTCCTGAAGTTCGGCGTAAATGTTTCTTCGTATGGCATCGGTAAACACCGTCTCCATTCGAGCCATCAAAACTTGCAGACCTTTAATCATTGCTATCACTTCGATTAGTGCGAATTTTTCTTCTTCAGTGTAATTGTATCTTGTAGCCTTAAATATAAAGAAAACATGTAAGTAGCTAAGTTCTAATTAATAATGGTTAAAAAAAATAGGTGAACAAATAACATTTACCTTGTAATATTTTAGAATTTTTAGAAGCAAAATTAATAATATAAAAATTGAAAACTCGAATACAGGACTTTATTAACAATGGAGTTAAGTAAAAATAAAATTGTATTACAAAAAAATACAAAAAGTAAAAATAAAATTGTATTACAAAAAAATACAGAATATATACAGTTCATCAACTCCGTGGACCGTTACCAACACGGTTTACATAAATTTGTCAGGGACAAGAATGCGAACTTATTTAATAAGTGAAACATTTATCCTGGTAAGGACTTTTTAGCAGAAAACAATGTTCTAATAATAATAACAACTCTTAAATGGTTTTAGGTACTTACTCTTTCATATTCTTCTGCCTCTTTGGGACACTCCTTATTCTGATGATGATCAGTTGGATGCAACAGCTTCCAAGAATAAAGCTCAGTTACAACGCTTGTCCATTCCGAAAGCAGCTGGAGCCCTCTCAAAGCTAATTCAGCTGTTTCTTTATTTTCATCGTCGGTACCGCATTCTTTATAAGTTGTCGTGACTTCGTTACTGTACCTTGCAAGCTCGCTTATGTATTTAACGTGGTCCTCCCTTATTTGAGGAAGATGAACCATTAGATCTGCCTGAGGAGAGGGGGCTGTACCGCTTGATAATGGCCACTTGTTGGCGTCGAAGTGCTTACTCCGTTTTATGTAGTTGAATGGGGCTATTTGCATGTCTCCAAAAAGTGGAACCACTTCTAAGTTCTAAAAAATATAATCATGTAAACCATAGTGACATAAAAATTATAAGAAAATGCTTCAGGATATAATATAATCCATCCTTTAAGTAACAAAGTTTTAATGTGTATACACAGCTCTCGATCGCTCGAGCGCTGAATCACCGGTGATGACTCATCGGCGATTCAGTTATTTATGAGTGTTAAAAGTGTTTTTATTTTGTTCGAAGGGTTGGATCACTCGCTACGCTCGTTATACAATTTTAGTTCTCATAAAATAAAACTCTTGAAATCAAAAATAACTATCTAAAAATGCTACGTAAATTGTAAATAAATTGTAAATGACAGATAATAGATGTCAGCTTATTTTGTTTCGTATTTTGGTTTCATATATTATAGCTTATTTTTGACTGTCACCAGTCATTTTTGACAAGTCACCTGAATCACCATTTTGACATGTGTCACTAGAAAACCGACCAGTTTTTAGACACATGAAAGTTCAAGAATTTTTTTCTTACCTCCTAGACGGAAAGCCAAGATGATCTTTACAACATTTAAAAATTTAAAATATGTCCTGATTCTTGATTTTTTTTTAGCAAATAAAAGATACACAAATTCTGATTACTTTTTGAAATTAGCTTAAAAAATTACCTACCCTTAGAAACAAACTTTCCCTTAAATAATTTGTACAGGTTAAGGAGATTTAAGAAATTATGAAAAAATATGACGCGTCTTGCAAAAAAATAAAATATTACAACAATTAATTTCTCGGTACTTAATTATCATAGAACCTTCAAAATTGAGATTTGTGGTTATCCTAGCATAAATAATCTACACAACTTTTTCCATTATTGTGTTCGATTTGACGTGGATTGACTATAATATTAATCAACTTATTTGTCAAGCATAGTAGGTACATAATTATGATACTTTGTATAATGGTGCATATTTGGATAACACTTATCGAAAAGGAACCAAGCGCCAAAAACTTTTTCTGGGCTTAGTAAAATTATTTGTAAAATAACTCATATTTAATAATGCTCAAAAGCTTAATCATCATTTGGAACTTTTCTCAAAAGAATTGAGAAGGTTCCCAAATCATTATTAATTTATTGAGCACCATTAAAAATGAGTTATTTTGTAAATAATTTTGTTTACCCCAAAAAAAGTTTTTGAATAAACACTATCCATTTATAATTTTACAAGCTATAACGCGGACGGCCGTTTGGCTTTCTGTGCCAGGATTAATTATTAATTAATATAGAATTTTACTACAGGGTCAGACTCGTTCTTACACTTGACATAGAAAGACGTCTCGTATAGCAGCGCGGCCTCTTAAAACATAAAAGACGGAACCCACAAATAATTACTTATAATGTGCAAATAAAATATAGTGTAGCAACTACAGTGAGTAGAGACTACCCTACTGTCAAGAAAGTGTTAAGTGATAAGTGTCAGCTTCCGGGCGGTCTTGCCACCTGTCAACTGAACGTTTTTCACGCGACAAACAAGAGAGGACAACCAAGGGAGGAAGGGGCCATCTTCAATATCTGATAAGTAGCCTTAACCATCTGCATGACCTAACACATAATTTGCAACATTAAACACGTCAGTTACCTTTAAAACACTAAAAAGAGTGCATCAGTAACAATAGTAACATTATAAAGACAATAGTTAGCACACTAAAAAAAAAGACAAAATATCAAAAAACAACAACAAAATACCGCCCCTTTCCTACCGCGGTCATTCACACGAAAGCTGAGTAGGACAATAAATCTGTCAACAACAAACGCGTAAGGCACTAAACCACGGCGTTCTCTATACCAGGCTAGAGTGTAGCTCCCACTCCTGCATCGAAACTGTGACGTCAGGAGGCCGATCGGATCAACGTACGCCTATTGTATTACATTGCTTTGCAACAAAAGTTATGGATTATTATTGCTTTTAAGGAGTATTTTTTACTAAAGCAGTGGACAATCCATGAGTACATATTCTATCAGAATTAACAGAACAATATGTAAAATAACGATTTTCTGGATTTTTTTATTTGAAATAATTTAGTTAAGTTTAATTAGTTTAATTTATCTATTACTATTAAGAATAATTACTTCAATTAAATTTTCTTGTATTTAAATTTAGAAATAATAGATTTTATTTAAAAATAGACACAAGTAAACTTATATTTGATTTGAATAAAGAGAATAATATTTTTGCGTTTAAGTATATAACCATACAAATGTTGGTTATTTAATGTAAATAAATATTCTGTTGTGTATGCTCTTAAAATAGTATTTCATTTAAAACAAACCTAGAACTGTTATTAAAATAAAAAATACAACGGTAAGCTACATCAAAGTTTTTAGTTTTCGGGGCGCATTAACATCTTGTTTTCTTGCAGCTATTACATTATTTCCCAGTTTCTTGTAATTAGATAACAATACGTTACACATGTTGCTAGTTATTTTTGCAAGTGTGTCGGATAACAGCTTATTACATATGCAAGTAACTGTTTTATAAAAAATATTGTAGGTAATTTATTATATATTATTTTGGCATCAAAATTGTTTAATATATTCGTCTTTTATTAGGCTATCAGTGGCGGCTGGTGGATTTTAAGTATACCAATATCTCAGTTATTAGACATGGGACCCACACCAAATTTATAATAGTTTATATTGACATTAAATAAACAAGTTCGGCGCAAACAGAATTTAAATTGAAGTTTGCGAAAAAAAGTTAGTTTTTCCTGTCGCCTACCCTGCCTCCAGGCCCCCCTATTTGAGATAATTCAAATTAAAGTGGTGCAATTTATTATCTACTATAATTTATCGACAAATTTAAAATTTTATTCAAAAAATCCAAATATTACAGATTTTATTCGATTTTAAATTTTTATTATTTATTTTATTAAAATAAAAAAATATTTAAAATGGTATAAAAACTGTAATATTTGGATTTTTTGAATAAAATTTTAAATTTGTCGATAAATTATAGTAGATAATAAATTGCACCACTTTAATTTGAATTATCTCAAATAGGGGGGCCTGGAGGCAGGGTAGGCGACAGGAAAAACTAACTTTTTTTCGCAAACTTCAATTTAAATTCTGTTTGCGCCGAACTTGTTTATTTAATGTCAATATAAACTATTATAAATTTGGTGTGGGTCCCATGTCTAATAACTGAGATATTGGTATACTTAAAATCCACCAGCCGCCACTGTAGGCTATATATTAAATAAAATAAACATAAGCAATATGTAGACATAATTTTAATAACTGACTGTTGGGAGAATTTTTTTCTGCAAAATAAAAAAAGGGGCGGCAAGTGTTTTTTGCCCAGAGAGGCAAAAAACTTCGGGCCGGCTCTGACGATCGATAATTCATATGAAACTGTCTTGCATTACCGCGATAATATATTTATTTTCCTGTTACCTCTTAGGAACGCAACATTTTCTTGGTATTTTTTATTTATAATGTTATAAAAGCAGCAAACTAATGCAATATTTAAATCAACGTTAAATCGAGCGATATCAATAGTAAAGCAATAGGTAATTTATATTAAACTGTCTTGTATTACCGCGATTATAACATTATTACATTAATTTGCTATTGCAGTCGGCCTCCTGAAGTCACGCCACCTACTAACACACTCCCGCATGGTATAGAGAACGCCGTTACTAAACCCATTAATTAAAGAGAACGGCCCCAACAAAATAAAGTTTAAACTAAACATGACCAAATAAACATTTGACTCAGAATCTAAACAAACACACAATACATTAAGAAAACCTAAACAGAAAAAAGCACATAAACCTAATGGATTTCGTAAACACATTAGAATATACACTAAAAGTAAAAAAATACCCCCACCGGTAACTGCCTAATCGCGTTACCAAGCGGGTAAGGGTGGCCAAACTAAAATTCTGGGCACACATCACCCGTAGGCACCGGAACAACATACTACAAGTCACTCTAAAACTAGACCTTCAAGACAAAAAAGTCGGGAGACAATGCTTCACGTTTCACGACACGTTAGCACAGAATATTCACTTCTCACAAATTAACAAGAGCAGTTGGGAGCAACGGACTTTAAGCCCGCAGTCCGTTCCTACCCCTAACCCGCACAAGCCATTCAGTTGGCTTATGGGACTTCTATTACTGAATTAATACCAAGTGCAGGATTAATCCGACTTGGACACGGACACAGACAATAACGACCAAAACGTAGACCACGACTAACAGATGGGCCCCTGCAGCAAAATAACAACTCTCCAACTCCAAACAGTAAACCCAAATGTTTGGAGTAATACTAACTGCCTGGTCTAGGGGGATACCGCGTCGTACTTAGATTTGACTCGGCGTAATTGTCAACCAAACACCAAAATGTCTATCCCTCCCGTCCTACCTCCTTTAGGACCCTACTGGGTATAGCAACGGCCCGGCGAATCCGGGAAAGGCTATTAAAACTATTGGCATTTCATTCTTGAACCCTAATTAGGGGACAGTACGGGACCCAATGGACATTCGCAACCAGCAAACACGGGTGAAGCCGTGCCGTTGCTGGTGGCGAAAGAAAATCGGCGTAAGGAAACAGAGGCCTGTGCGGGGCCCGGGAGCGATGAGGCAATGGGGCCGGTTATACGTCTCTTATACTCATACTCATATAGAATTTTACTACAGGGCAACCTATCGGATCCTAGCATATATATAAACAATCGCGAGCCATCGTCTAAAAAAAACAAATATTTGGGATTATGGCTTTAATCGGTCAAGTCGTTCAGAAGTTACACGATCAGAACAGACGCACCAAAGATTATATAATATTAAGATTTTAAGCGTTTTGTTAATATTTTTCGTAACTCATGACTATGTTTAAGTCATTTTATTTTTTAAGATATAAGAACATTACTGTGTTTATTTTTAAACCATTTTTTAAAATCTAGTCCTATTTACATGAAAATCTCAAAAAAATATTTATAGGACCTTCCTACTTAAAAAAGATCAATTCCATCATCACTGCCCTGTGTAAAAAACTTTTTTTTTAATATTGGTACCTTAAAAATCCTATCAATTCTATCAATTCTAAGTTTTTTCTTCTGATCCAGCTTATTAATATTACAAAGTTCACTGTCCATTAAAAACAAACCAAAACCCATGACTTTAACAAGCATATGTTTTTCACTGGGAGTTAAATACATTTTCGATTCAAACATCTGAACAGAAATATTGACCACATCAGCCAATAATTCCTCATACCCAGTTATTTTTTCAAGGTTTTCTTTAACAGTGTCTCTGATTTTGTTTTGTGTGGCAAGAAACATTGATAAGTTTTGTGATTCTTGCAATGTTTGGGAATCGGACATCACTTTTAAGAACTGTGCAGCTCTAAAAATATTATTTTGGTAAAGGTTAATGTAACAAATTATTTACATTCTACAAACCTTCTGTATGTAGAATAATCATTTTTAACACTTGACTTCATATTCTTAAGTTCATCCAAAACTGCAAACATATTTATAAACTTTCCAAGGGTTAGTAAATATGCCTCAGAAACAAAATCTTTTCTTTTTTCCGTGTGACACAGTCTTCTTACTTCTTTGGAAAACCTTTCAATTGCTTTTCTCTAAAATACATAAATTTATCATGCAATAATTACCAATCTGACAACTTACTTGAAAATACATAAAGTTAAGCAATTTGTTAACTTCTGGAGCCAAAACCTCCACGGTTTTTTCATAAATTTCCACTCTATTGGGCTGCTCATTGGATTTTGGCTGAGGTATGGCTCTTGAGCAACAACGCCAAGTATATAGCATAACAGCATGTTCTTGGCCTTCTTCAAGAAGCTCATTCTAAAAATAATTAATACAAAGATTACATGGTGCCACAAAATAAAATTAATAATTTTTTCAAATAATTTATTGTACACTATGTAGGTAGTTTGGTTGAGCACAACACAAAACTTTTTTAAAGAAAATTTTAATTTATTATTAAAAAATCGTTTTTTGATAACTTTTTAATCGATCTTCTTAAAAGTTTTTGAATTTTTTAGTATACATTTATATACATGTTTATTAGGAAATATCTACTGTAATGGTTCGGTACTTCAATACGTTTTACAAATTTATTTTAAAGTAAAATTTGTATTTTCTAAATTATGGTGTTAAAGGCAAAAAGATTGGCAAACCGAGGTAAAAGGGACGCTAAATAAATTAGTTTTTCGAACTGTGTCTAAAAATCTGGTGGCAAGATGATGCGAGAAATTATGGTACAAGTACACGAAGCGAGTAAAGGGAAGCAAGAAAACAGGCAGATAGTTTGTAAAAGTGGTCGCTTCTTGTAAAATTTTGCTAAAACTAAATTTATTGCAAAGTTCTGTTTAAATAATTGTTTCAAGTGTTGGTGTATTACCCAAGGTTAGTTCTTAATTTAAATAGCCCAAATTATGTAGTAAAGTCCACTAAACGTAGAACGATTAAGATTTAAGTTGATCATTACTTATTTTGTAATACTCCGTTTAGCGAACTTTACTCGATATTAACGCCTTTTCTTTTAGCTATTTTTACAAAATGTTCTTAACTTTTAAGTTTACTGTTTAATGTAAAAATTTCGATTCCATTATTTTATTGCTTAACACCTAATTAAGTTGTACACTGTCCCTTTAACTTAAATATTTAGACCTTCCCTAACACGATTATGCATTTTTTGTGGTAATTTTAAAACATATCGGTTTGAATGCTCCTTTTTCTTTAGTGCACGTCCCATGCAGTAGATATTAAAAAGCTCCACACTATGAGAGATAACTGGTCCCCTATAGGTTCTCTAGTCGACTTTGCAACTTATTCCAACCTTTCATCTTAAGACGAAATGTTTCCCACAAGGCGACGTTGACAGACTGACGGTTAACTGCAAACTACCAACTTTTTTTCTATTTTTGAACCTTTGGGGTTAGATAAATAACGATCGTCGCGTCATCACATTAATTTGCATAAACTTTTAAAAGAAACAATGCCTAATCGTGTAATCCTTCGCTACTTCATAGCCGAATAGGGTTTTTTCACTAGCTCTTTTTGTTGTTAAACATTTTTAAAATAAATTAAATTGGGGTAAACTAAACAATGAATTTTATTTTTTGTATACCTAATTCTCCCAAGTATGATTCCTAAAGCAATGTATTTAAAAAAACAAGTAAGTAAACACAACGTAGAGGTCCAAATTTGAGACGATCACGAGCCAAAGACACAAAATAGTTAATTTATTAATTTTTCATTAAACGAACCTGGTGTAAGGAGAAATCTTTAAACTACACAGAAAAAAAGGTTTAGTTAGCCCAACTATTATTTGTTTCATTTAACTAAATATGTTGTTTCAATAGAGCCAACCAAACATTTAGTTATTTTAACAACCGCATTTGGTTATATTTTACAACTATATATTTGGTTGAAACAAACATTTATATAGTTCAAGTGACCTTTACCTACCAGTCCAATGTACTAAATACATTTGGTTGAATTGACTAAATATAATTTGTTACCCTAACTAGGTTAACGGCTTGGTACAACCACGATACACATAAACCGGTATGCTGATGCGCATGTTATAGCTGTCTCTCTCGCACCATGTGACGTCATGTGCGGACCAAAAGCTGGCGGGTAACTTGGTTGGAATGTTATTTGCACTACAAATTCACGTTATATTTGAAAATTTATAAATATAGGGACGGTCTCGGTGCAATTATTAATTGTAACAAATGTTTAGAGAAAGTTTAATTGGCAGCAAGCGCTTTTAAAACTAATTTTAAGCAACAATTAATTTCATAACCTTCCTATTATTATTTTTCGAAATAATTTTTATTTAATTAATTTAACATACTTACGCTAGTCCGAATTTTACATTTTTGTAATGTAAAAGGTAACAAAAAATAAAAATGCATTTATACAGAAAATAATAATGCAAGCTTTAAAAATATCTCAAAACTGCTTTTTTTAACTTGTGACACTTTTGAAGCGGGTTTTCGATACAATTGTGATTTGATTTTTATTATTAGTAAATTTAAACATTTTTTTTTCCAAATTTCTTTTGCTGTTATTAATACTAATTTGTTGATTTAATTCGCGTAATCGAATGTTCACGTTCTGCTTCGTGATATGGTCTGTAACCAGTCTGGTACTTTTTCAGTGTTTAATATTTTGATTGTAAGAATGCCAAGAGTAGGGTAATTGTTTCTAATGACTTCATCTTCTTTTTTCTAACCTCAAAGAACAACTGGTTTCAACATATTTTGTTGCTTTTGATTTACAATTCATCAGGTTTTAAGTAGCTGTTATTTTTTGGACAATACTGTAGCAGCCTTTGATTTAATGGTATTTCAAAACTACTTTCGGTAAAATGCACAGAACAGATGCAAGCTGTAAAAATTATGAGGTTAGGATGAAAATTACCATATGTACATAACAGAAAATTGGATATACAAAAAGTTGCCTTTAATTACCGTTTTTTAAATTAATTTTATCTTTCCTCTTGCATGCATTCACCCACTGCGTTGCCAGATCTTTATTTTTTGGGAAACGAAAATATTTCGTGTTACTGCCTTAGGTGTTTTTATTCAAATTTTTGCAGTCTCCTACAGCACAGCCCCGCCTATTTTAGTGTTATTAAGTCCAACAAATTAACTCAAACCTAATAAATAACCTGCTATGAGACTCCCGTATGTGGCTTGTAAATAGTTATTGCTGTTCAATAAAGCAGTAAAAACTTTACGACACACGATGCAAAGCTCACTTGCTACCTTAAGCCTCGAAAAACACAATAATTGCGGATAAAACTCAAAATAAATGGTAGTAAAGCACTTGTGCATAGTGTATTCCTATGCAAAACATTTGAATCTGGTTCGTACGTGACGTCACATGCGCGGAGTCGACGAGTTTTCGTTTCATAACCAGCACACCGGTTTATGTGTATCGTGGGTACAACTTACCCATATCGTTTGGCGCATTTATATACCTAACAATAAAAATAAGATCTTGAAATGTTTGGAGTAGAAACATTTTTTTAAGCCATTTTCTTATATTCTTCATAAAACAGGAAGTTCCTTGACGCATTACTAGTATAATACCAGAGGTATTATTCCAGATAATTAAACCTTCACCTCGCTAGAGATAATGTTTTAGTGCGTTCCACCAACTTAATAAAATACTTCAAGTATTGACAGCTGTTTCCACCTATTCAAGGTCTCTTTAGTATCGAACAACTTATAGTGTCACACCAAAGCAAAGAAGTACCTCACCTTATATACTCTTCATGTAAGTCAACAGAGGCGAGATTTAAGAACATCACGCGATCCACACCGCCTTTGCCGCGATCGGTACATACTATGCAACCAGGAATGCACGGCAAATGTTTTAATCATTTTAACAGAGTGCTTAAGGTTGAAGTAACTCTTATTTTACAAACAACATATTTAGTAAACTGAACCATACAATTTAACCAATTTAGAAAAATAAAATGACTATCTGGTTTAGTACCGTCCAACTAATCTTTGTTTATATTAACCTTCCCACGGTTGATTTAAATAAATATGGGTCAACTAAATTAATATAGTTAAATTAACCATTCCTTTTTTTCTGTGTACTATTCTTTTTTTTTTTTTGACTGCACCTCAAAAGAAGCCTAACTAAGTATGAACCCTTAATATTAATAGTAATATCCTCCGCATCGCAATTTTCCATTTTCACATTAGTCTATGAAAACAAATTATATCGCACTAACAAATGAACCTTAGATCAAAGTTTAAAATGTTTTGAAAAAACTCGCAGAATATATTCTGCGAGTTTTTTTTTTTCAAAATCCTAACTATAGTTAGGATTTTGAAATAAGTAGTACATATTTTTATTGGAAATTAACTGATGTATGTAACTAAAGCTTAACTTTACCAATTTTAGCCTTTTTTAATAACTATCGTGAACAATATTAATTGTTTTGTCGAGTGGTTAATAATGCGCCGATTGTATTCGCAATTGTTAATAATTAATGACATTCACTTCTCCCGCTGTGCACACTCTTAATCCTTCTCCTGTATATATTTTCATTCCCTGTTATCAGGTAAGAAATGTTTCATTCCCTCCCGCTACCATGACGACGCTATAGTGTGATTGAACGTCAGAAACGTCAGATTTATTTTTGACACAAGTTTTTTTTGTGGGTATACCAAATTTGTAAATGATTCCACTCGACAAAAAATTATAGTGTTACCTCGCGTGGAAACCCAATTACTCCCTCAATGAATTTCAGTCCATGTTTACTGGGACGTTTAGGCCCCTTTTCTCGGAGCGCGTCAGATAATATGTATAAATAAGAAAAATAATGTTTGTAATTTTATTTAATTAACGCCAATGATCTGTATTCTTTATAACCTAATAATTATTTTAATGAGTTATGACAGTGACAATATTCCAGATGTAGGATAATTATCGTATAAGTACGATAATTTGAACCTTCGTACGATAAACGAAAATGATGATAGTTATCGTACGCGTTTTATAGGTACAATAATTTTAAAATTATTCCAAATAAAAAAATCAAATTAATATTAAATGTTTTATGCAAGGTTACCAGATTTTGTCAAAATAAATCGGGACATGTATGAATTTATCTTAATTACAAAATTTACTTAATGATACAATACAAATTGACTTAATTATTTTTCGTGGTCCTGTCCTCAACAATTACCTAATTCACCATGTAGTACACCGTTCTGCTGCGCAAAGTTTAAAGCAACAATGATTAATTTTTTGTTGCATAGCACCTATAATTCAATCCTGTCAATATAAGTCATTCACCATTTTGCGCTCAAAGTGATCAGTTCGTTTTCACGAATTAGAACATATTAATTAATAATTTTTAAAAATTTTTAAATAAGAGCAGTGATGACTGATGAGGAAGTGTCTTTGCATACATCCAAACGAAGAAAAATTCGAAAATTGGACAAACTTCACAGAAAAATTGCTAAAATCCAGGAACAATTAAATTATGAAAGTAGCCCTAATTCTAATGGTGAGTCCATTGAACATATTTTTATGAATAAAACATTATAAACGAATATAATTTTTTCGTTGTCATTGCATGACATAAAGTTATATAGTTTAAAAAGAATAAGTATTAGTGTGGAAAAAAAATCACAGATAAGTCGAAAAGTTTATTTTAAAGGTTATCACATGATATACCATACATAACAAAAAAAAGCGATCATATGATCTGCAAAAAAAAAAAAAAAAACTGTTAGTTTAAATAACAAAAATCATTTTTTATAGATGAAAATGAAAATGTTGACCCTGTCATTACGACAGAAGCTCAAATCAATCACACCAACGACTCTATTGTAAAGGTGTTGGGCAAGGCCCCTACGGAAGAGAACGATTCAAATTCAGAATTACACGAGGAAATTGCTGTAAGATGGAGAAGTTTTTTGATTGAAGGCATCAAAAAAGAAGAAAGATCAGAAGCTCTGGAGAAATACAGCGTCCCCGAAAATTGTATTGCTTTACAGGGGCCAACTTTAAATCAAGAAATGCAAACATCCTTACCTGAGGATATAGTTAAGCAGGATAAGTTTTTCATATCATTACAAACTCAGATTGGAAAAGGTTTAATGGCACTAGCTATCCCAATCAATAAATTTATTAATGAACCCGCACCAGAAAACACTGAGATGGTAAACCACCTAGCAAATGCTGGTAAAATACTTTGTGACGTCCATCATGCCATATCTGGACACAGAAGGTACGTCATCGGACCTCAATTGAAATTCGAGATAAGAAAAGCAGTCGAAAAACAACCAATTGGAGAGAAGTTATTTCAAGCAAATCTGCAGGAAGAAATAAAAAACGCAGAAGCTTTGAAGCAAGTAGGAAACAAAATCGCCAAAACAAATTTCAGCCAGAAGGTCAATTACTCATATAAGAACAATAACTATCCAAGTCAGGGCCCTAAAAGAACCACGAATAATTTAAACTACCAGCGACCATACCAGAAATACAAATTCAAAAACAATCAATACAAAAACAAGCAGTACAACCAACAGGGGGAAGAGAGATGGAAGAAGACTTATTATTACAACAAAAATCAATAAATGTAAGCAAGTACGCTGGAAATATTTCAAATTATTATGTAAATTGGTTCGAATTTTGCAAAAATGACAACATATTACAAATAGTCAAAGGTCTAATTATACCTTTCAATATTAATCCCCATCAAACAAAGGGAATTTTGAGACAAATGCCTCAATGTAAAGAAGTTGATAAACAAATACATCAACTGTTGAAAATAGGTGCCATATCCCATTCTAAAAGCGAGGAAGGAGAATTCTTTTCCAGTTACTTTTTAAGGAAAAAACAAAATGGTCAGATGAGATTTATATTAAATCTTAAAAAACTAAATAATTTCATAACAACATTTTAAATTAGAGGATTATAGAACAGTAATTATACTAATCACACAAAAAATAAAAACTTCGGGGCCAAATAAATTACAACCTATCATTGTTCTTCCGTATTTTCATGAAAAACCAAAATTATGTGTTGCTTCTCTAATTAAATACTATATAACAAAAACAAACCATGTTAGACTTCAAAATAACACTCCTTTATTTTTTACATTCAAAAAACCACACCACCCAGCAACATCACAGACCATCAGTAGATGGATTAAAAAAGTAATGGCACTAAGCGGAATTGACATAACGGTATTTTCTGCACATAGTACCCGCCATGCGAGCACATCGAAGGCGGCAAGAAATGGAGTAAACATAGAAATTATAAAAGAGACTGCTGGATGGTCTAAAAACTCTGAAGTCTTTAACAAGTTCTACAATAAACCTTTACGAAAGAACACCTCACAATTTGCAAATTGTATAATTAATTATTAACAATTGTTAAGTTTAAGTTAATAATAATCCAGTTAAAAATAATGTTAAAAAATGAATTAGAAACTAGAATTAAGTTTGCATTTTTGAATAGTGGCAATAATATGTAATGAAAACATTTTTATATGTATTTCTCTACATCATGTTTGAACGATTTCTTTGTCACATCAAATATAAATTAAATATATAAATATAAATTTAGATCAAATATTTTATTGTCTACTTTCTTAGGACCTAAGATCGCTTTATATAAGGGATCCTTTAAACATCTACATGGTGAATTAGGTAATTGTTGAGGACAGGACCACGAAAAATAATTGAAAGATTGGTCGACTTACCTGTAAGGAAGATCGATCTTAATTATTTGAGTGGTCCTGTCTGAAAACAATTACCTCCCACCCTTCCCGAATTAACCCCAGCGCGATCGGTAGCCTTTATAATCTGTGATTAGTAGGTTGCAAAATGGGAATGACTTATATTGACAGGATTGAATTATAGGTGCTATGCAACAAAAAATTAATCATTGTTGCTTTAAACTTTGCGCAGCAGAACGGTGTACTACATGGTGAATTAGGTAATTGTTTTCAGACAGGACCACTCAAATAATTAAGATCGATCTTCCTTACAGGTAAGTCGACCAATCTTTCAATTATTGTTGATTATTTTTGCAATTAATGTACTGTCACACAAAATGTCCTGATTTTTTTGTGACAGAATCTGGTAACCACAGATTATACAACTGGTAACCCTGGTTTTATGTCATGAGGTCAATTTATCTTTAAGACACAACTTTATTTGTTAAACGATACATAAAACATACAATTATTAATAGTAAAAAGTGATATATAGATCTGAAAAAAGTCGAAAATAATGATTTTTTACAGCCTAGGCTGTAAATAACCTAACCCGATTGGTATAAATCATTTTTATGTAACTAGGCAATAATCAATCACTAATAACATAAAAATCGCTCATATGATGTGTAGTTTAAGGAAAATAATGTGCGAAATTAGTGCAGATTTACTACCTGGAGAAGAAAAGCAACCCTCAATAAGTGAATATAGTGAATAAAGACCATACAGAAACGGAATAATTATTACTAAGTGATAAGTGACAGCATACCTGGATATCTAACCCCAGGCCAATATGAATCACCTTATGTAAAGAACAAATTAGTCTAACCAAGAGTGAAAGAGGCCATTATCTGCAAAAATCTGATAAGTACTAATTAATCGCATGACCTAATACGCAAAATCGCAGCTAAATCTTACAATAATCAATTACACAAGGCAACAAATTTTAACTTAAAAAAAAGGTCCTGGTTAAAAATAGAATTTTTCGATTGTTTATGACTGAAAAAGATCCAAAATGTTTTTAAAAAAATTTTCTGAAGTAAATAAAAAATAGGAGCACAGTATTTTAGTACCATTTATTGCATAGATACACCATTTGAAAATTTTAAGATGACGTTACCTTTAACTTATATTTCAGCATTCCATGAACAACATATCTGTACATATTGTAATAATTTAAGGCTTGTTTTTTTATGTTTACTGTTTTTTATCGTTCAAATTATTTTGTTTACTAATTTTTATCGTTATTATTTAACAATTTTTCTTTGTATCATGGTGCTGCCCGTATCGTCTAAACGAGACTTTGGAAAATTTTTTGGTCGCCGGATTTGCGTCGAGCAGGTCAAAATGTATAGGAGTGTGCTATTTTTATTACCGACCTTTTTTATTTACTAATTTTTATCGGTATTATTTAACAATTTTTCTTTGTATCATGGTCCTGCCCTTAACGTCTAAACGAGACTTCAGAAAATTTTTGGGTGCCGGATTTGCGTCGAGCAGGTCAAAATCTATAAGACTGAGCTATTTTTATTACCGACCTTTTTTTATTGTTTACTAGTGTTATTACTGAAAACAGCGTGACAGTGTAAATAAACCTATCATTATGTAAGAACGCCACAAAACATAAATAAGCATTAACTTAAGAGACCAGCCCAAACAAAATTAAAATGTTTAAAACATAACGTAACTAAAATAAACAACCAGTTCCGATATTTGCCTAACATAAACATAATAAACCACTAAAAACTCTAAATTTTAGGCATTGAACAAAAGTCATATACTTAAGAATTTAAAAAAAAGAAGTTAAGAAAAATTACATAGAATAAATAATATAAATGCAACTTCTAATAGTTAGAAAAGAAAAAGAAAACTTAAACACAATTTCTACCACAAAATGTAAACAGTTCTCGACCTCTACACTGAAGAAACGGTTTTCGCACAGTGGGGCAAACAATTACACACAACGGTTTCCGAATTTCAGCAGACTACAAGACCAGCAAGGATAGGTCCTAGCAGCGTACTAACCAACCAAACCTCATTCATGAACCCCAATTGAATGGGGGCATTACTAAATCTCTGGATGAGAGGGATTCCGGATTGTACTTATTTTTGGGTCAGTCCAATGTCACCCAAAAATCAAAATGTTTTCCCTTCTGGTCCCGCACTCTACTAGCCTAAATGGAGCGCATGGCCCGGCGACAAAATTCCGGGAGGGGCTTTAACCACATTGGCGGCTGGTGGATTTTGGGTATACCGATATCTCAATTATTAGATATGGGACACACACCAAATTAATATGAGTTTATAATGACATTAAATGAAGTTTGCGAAAAAAAATTTTTGCTCGGCAGTACCGGCCCCATGTCGCCCCCAATAAATATAATATAAATTTAATTGAATTTATTATTTACCATAGTTTATCGACAAATTTCAAATTTCATTTAAAAAATATATTTCTTTTCAAAGAAAGAATAAAGATTTAAAATGATATAAAATCTGTATGATTTGGATTTTTTAAATAAAATTTGAAATTTGTCGATAAACTATGGTAAATAATAAATTTCACAAATTAAATTTATATTTATTGGGGGCGCCATTGGGCCGGTACGGCCGAGCAAAAAGTTATATTTTTTTCGAAAACTTGTTTATTTAATGTCATTATAAACTCATATAAATTTGGTTTGGGTCCCATATCTAATAAATGAGATATCAGTATACCCAAAATCCACCAGCCGCCACTGCTTAACCATCGAAACTGTCATCTTAAACCTCCTAAGAGAGATTTAACAGCCGGGGTAAATAATGCTGTGCAGTTATCAGTGTTGCCAATGACCGTGCAATTGCACGGTTTGCGTGCCTTTTCATGCCTGACCGTGCATTTTGCGAACACCGTGCGAAATCATGCCTTTTGCGTGCGTTTTAAACATACGACATTAAAACTTAAAAAAAATATTTAAAATACACTTAGAAACTTGGCAACATTAAAATTTAAAAAAATTAAAATGCAATTAGAAACTTGGCAACTTGGCATTGTGGGCGGGTCAGCCGTACAATTTTAAATTTACCGGTATTTATAGTGCGTAAGTCACAGAAAAGATGGCGTGAGCAATGCTTACTGGGTAGAATCCTTCTACACAGGCTCACTGAGCATGCGCCTAAGACACTCTAGTGGAGAAGAGGGCATATTTTTTCTACTGCAAGAACATTAAACATTAAATGTACGTAAATAGATATAGGTAGTAGTAAATAGTAGGTATAGGTAGGAGTACTACCATAGTACCATAATGATTGAACAGTGATAGTACTGATTCATCTCAAATTACACCCAAATCACACCATATTAAAAAATGGTAGAAAATTATACGTCAGTAAATTCCATCCAAGGTGTAATTATAGAAACAATATTTCAATAAAAAAATAGTACTTTTATAACACATAAACAAAAAATACTGCGTGCGAAACTTGTGCATTTTGATTCCTGGGACAGTGCAAAACCGTGCGTTTTGGAGCACTTCACCATGCAATCTAATGATCATTGGCAACACTGGCAGTTATATGTATGAGAACTGAAAGATGGTAAAAATAACCCTGGGAGATCAGTGCAGGGCAATGCCAATGGGGCCAGTTCTTATACTCATACTAGGCAATAATCAATCACTTTAGCAACGAGTGTTGACAACAGTAACATTTTAGTTATAGACCAATTGAAGATGAATATTATAATCTATATTATTTTAATATAAAGTAGTACCATCAAACAAAGTGTGGTAGTACCATTGAGTTGATCAATAGTAGTGCTTTATAAGAAATTTTTTGTTTTATTAGGTTAAAATATTAAAATTTGTTTTATTTTTTACTTTTGTTCTTTAAAAAAATATGACTGCATATTAACAATTTTTGGATTGTTGGTACCATAATTTCTCATTCAACAACTGGCAACACTGGTCAGTGATAATCTGGTTATAAGGCTTTGTTATCTATGACAGTGCTGCCAGATAAATTGCTCTTTTGAAAATTCTTCGAATTAAACTTTACTTAAAATATATCTTCAGATTGCAGCTGCCTGTACTTATAGATATTAACAGCGATCGCCACAAATAATAATCATAGATGGCATTAAAGTAGTACAAACACTTATACTTACTGGGTAGTAACATTGAGTAAGATGTTGTTCTTCACTCAACGGTAGTAAGTAAATGTGTAAAAAATGTAATTTTATATTTAGAGGTGAGTGCGGTCAAAATTTGAATTCAAGTAAAAGAAATTGAAATATGAGTTCTGATTGTACAGCTAACTTTTCCCCTTTCCATTACTGGGCTGTTGTGCAGCCAGCTTAACACTGTTAAGTTAACAGTAATAATATTAGTACAAAATATAGCCTACTAGCATTCACAATAATAATGAATAGGAACAGTTTCCATTCCTTATTATTTTGAATGCTAGTAGGCCATATTTATATTAATTTATTTTTAATAATATTAAACATTTATTTTTGTATATTTCATAAATAATAATAAAATTGTTTACTATCAAGAAAAATGTCTCTCTAAAAATCTATAAAAATATTAAAATGGTGTGTTTAAGTAATTTTAATGCATTTTGCGAATGAACTGTTACAAGAATTTCATTTTAATTTTACCAATCTTAAGTTGGCACTGATTGCAATTTTGTTAGTGCTTTAAAATATCTAGCAAGACTGATCTATGGATATTAGCAATAATATTATGGTGAATCTTTCTCTCATTCTTGTACACTTTTTATTGATTTGTAAGCTTTTTAAATAAATACAACTGTACTATGGAACTGCGATGGAACTAAACCCCCTGCCCACCCAACCTACCCCTTGTCTATGGATGAAAAAATAAACCTACATATATAAGTAAACACGCAAAAACTTACCAAGTTGGCGTGTACTGTTGCTTCCTCTATGTACTTGGCTATGCCAGTCACAAATCCATTACGATCTTCAAAATTGGTGTCAAAATTTGCTTGGTAAACAACAGAGCATGGTTGTGCTTCAATACAGGGTTGTTCATCTGGAAGGGGAAGTTCATCTAACACATCCACATTCGATAGGGCATCGTTCATAGAAACCCTATCTGTTCCAGCCATATTTTATGTTTGTTTTTAACAGGATACCATTATTATATTGTTAATATTTAATACATATTTCACTGACACATGAAGACATTAATCATATACCCATAGAGGAGATTCTTCTCTGTGCATATATTTTAGCAAAGGATGTGATTAATAAATAGGTGCGGCAAGATGTAAACAAAAATGATTACTTTAAGCGGGGAACACAACCTTAAAACACAGATTTGACATTTGAAATGACATTTACATTTAGTTCATAATTCAAACGTAGATGGCAGTATAAAAGCAAACTGAGTTGCATACTCACATGGCGGTTTTTTTCTATTATTTTTTATAAATGCAATTACAATTTCAAATTAATTGGAACCAATACAAAAAATTATTGATATAATTACAATAAATTTATTCCTAATATGTTTATAAATTATAATAATTATTAATTATTAATAATTAATGTTTACCAAGATTTGACTTTTAATATACAATTTATTCTCAAAAGTCAAATCTTAATTCAAACATTAATTATGAACATAAAGTTCATTTTTTTTTATCTGGAATGCGGCAACGTTTTAAATTTAGGGTTTTGGTTAGTAAATACAGTTGTCAAGTTGGTCGCATTGATTAAAACAAACTAAGCTAGTTATAAATCTAATTGTGGTTATGTTAAATTATTGTAGGTTACATTGTGCAGTTGTCAAGTTGAGTTGTTAAAATTCGTAGTTAAAAATGCAATTAATTTGGCTTTGGTGGTGCTTGGATGAGTAAAATCATATAAAAAAGTAGTTAAATATAGGTTGCTTTACGGCCCAGAAGAGAAAGTATTCCTAGCGGATAATAATCTTCGCTTTGAAAAGAATTTATATAAAAGAAATTAAAATTTTTTGTGAACGTAAACGTTGTCCAATGGTGAATAATGTGAAAATAATGTGTGATGTAATATTTATAAAACCAAATTCGTTACTTTTTTACTCCAAAAATGTCCATAAGGCGGTGTACTTCTTCTTCCATTGTGGCATAATTTCATCAAAATGAAGTTTTGCCTTTAAAAGGGCTTTTACATTCGAATTCGTTGCTATTATTTTTTTCATAATTATCTTTTTATTTATAATTGACAAGTTCTTAAATTATCAATAATAAACATTATTGTCAACTTGACAGTGTCAAAGTATTTAATTAAATTCTTTAGCAGAAGTACCATTTTTAAATACTTAATATACTAAGTCAAACTGGCATGTCACCAACCTAACAAAAAACACAAGTCCAGATAAAAATAAAATGAACTGTAATATTATTATGAATTAATTTATTGTAATTATATCATTAATTTTTTTGTTTTGGTTCCTTAATTTAAAATTGTTTTTGCATTTAGCAAAAATTAGTAAATACTGTTATAATTTGGGTTTCACCTTTTTTTGACTTGCTTAATAATATCCTTTTTCTTAGGGACCGTCCATAAATCTCGTGACCTTTAGAATGGAATCACCAGTTTTATAATAATATATTTTTTATCAAAAAATAAAATTTACAATAGCAGTTGTATACTTAAAAAAAATAAATAACACAAATTCATGAATAAATTTATTTAACCAGCATATCTTTACAATCAAATAAAAATCATAAAACAATAAACTTACAAAACAGGTCGGTAAGCCACTGTCTCAAACTTCTTTTATATACATTTTACATATCAGTTCATCTATAGCTATATTTAATTAGTTGATACATACTACAGAAAATAAATACTTTATACAGTAATCTCACAATCAATCTTGTTTGGCCTCATCACCGTTTTTTGAGTTTCATCACAAGTACTAAAGCAGTTTCGCATTTTTTTACCCTTTCTTCAAATTATTTAAAGATTTATATTTTTATATATATTTTTTAATTCTACCAACTTATCAAGAAACGTCTTCATATGGTACTACAAATTATTGTGGTAACATATTGTCACTGCTTTCTTAACCATTGTTTATTGTAGTATTGTATTTCTTATTAACCATTCTGAGAAAAAACTTGAGTAAATAGGGAATATTAAGTAATATTTGTGATAAAATGCAAGGACTACAATTATTAAATAATTGTATTTCCAATTCACTTTATTTACATTTACAAATAAAGAATTAAGCACCTATGACAATTTGTGCAAAAAAAGCAGATAAAATCTAATCTAAGACTGCTTTTGATCCATACTAATTTTTATAAAACATAGATTAAATAATAAAATTAATTTTTAACATAATAAGTTTTAGTGTTTATAAAAAGGCGTTCTTTCTAAATTAGGAATACCGAAAAATATCACAAGATTAAAAACCATTAACAATTATAAGCTTTTTTCTTTACATACACCAAAACGTTCAGATGAAAGTCATAACTAATTGTCAATATGCACTTAAAAATTGGCAGTTAAATAAAATGCTTTCTTGACCTTTTATATGTTTGAGTTACAACAATTACATTATTGCATTGGTATGGCCAAAATTCAGTCTTGCAACTTTTGTAACTCAAAATCTTAAAACATGCTCTTAAAAATTGTGCCCCCTAATTGGGGATATTATAAAATTAGTATAGAACTTTGAAAATAGTTTGATTTTTCAGCTAAAGTAAATTTATCATTTAAACAAATTTACATAACAATTTTTTTAAATAAATAACATTCTGCAACCAATGACGTAATTTATAGACACCCTGCTACAACTATTTTTAAAATCCTTTGTTTTAGGCACCTAGTTTAAATAACCGCTATGTCTGGAAAATTCATAACCTAAAACAATCCTCCTTTGCGACCAAACAGGAGGGAGCTAAGGGTTCCTAGTGTTGAGGTTCTTTGTTCCGGTTCCGGAGTTTTACGCGTGGCCACCGTGCCCAAATCTGGTCTTGTCATTCCCCCACCTTGTCTCCGTTGTTGCCTACTCTTGCTCAGTTGTTCGAGACGCTTATTCAGCGCTCCGCTGCCAGGTTTACCTGGCACCCCCAACCCTGAAGCTCGTTTTCCTAAAATAAAATAGAAAACAACAGTCATAATTTGTGCTATAAAAATACTAAAGTCTATTCAAATCCAAGCTGGACTAAACAAAAACGCCCAGACGCGTGATAACTCGTTTCTATTGGTCGATTCTGATGGTGTGACTCGGATTGTGAGCTCTTATTAGTCGATTCGGAGGATTGTGTTTACATTTAGTCCAGCTTGGATTTGAATAGACTTTATATATACACACATGATCAAAATTGTTGCATATTTTTGTATTTTAATTTTTGTTTTGTATAACGTTCTGTTTTTTGTTGGTTTGAAATAAATTTTCATTTTATTATTATTATTATTAATGTTCTTTATTGAAGTTTCAAAGGGCCATTGACTTACGTCCTTCAGCCAGAATATTACAGGTTTATAATATAACAATGGTATTTTAAAAATAGATATATCACATTCTTACAAAAAAAAAAACAAAAAATATGTATACAATAATAATTATATTACTAGTCATCATTAAATATTAATTCTAAGGTTGTTTTTTGCGGATATCCGTTTCTTGCATTTTCTGCTCTTGTTATACAGAATTCCCAATTTTCATTTAATTGTTATAATAAGTAAAATAAAGAAAATTTAATAGATTGAAGTATTTTTGTGGGAAAAAATAAAAATAAAAGTTTCGGAACCAATCATCCTCCTCGAAGACGATAGTTCCGACGAGGATAATGACTTTGACAACAGTATTTAGATAAATAATTTATTGACAATAAAATGCATAGTGTACATTACAATTATAAACAATTTTGAGAAAATAATCACCTTCATTCTATAAATAAAATTTATATTTAAAATGTTTTTTCACCTAAATCGTTTCAGATAATTTTTAAAAATTATATTTAGTTTTACTTTTTATATTTCCTACAAAAATATATACTTTAATATATTAAATTTTCTTTATTTTACGTAATAATAATAATAATAAATGAACTTTATTGCAAAAAAAAGTTAATACAATTTCTTACAAATGGCCATTGACCGAGGTCCTTCAGCCGGTGAACATATCCTGAATATATGTAACAAAAAAAAAAAAAAACAGTATATAATCGTGAAATTGAAATTAATTAATTAGTATGTTATCTCGTGTTTGTTTAAGATGTTCCCATATGGTCTTCTCTGGGTGCTTGAACTTCCTGTTGCCCTGTACCTCCAAACACAACTCGCTCAGAATGTTGTAGTTAGCGTCCTTGCTAATAAAGTTTGTAGATAATTTGATAAATCTTTCCATAATTGGTAAGATATTGAAGGTAGCATACAAAAGGTCGTTGGGTATTTTACGTATTATAACTATTAAATGAAAATTTATTCCAAAACAACAAAAAACAGAATGTTATACAAAGCGAAAATTAAAATACAGAAATATGCAACAATTTTGATCATGTGTGTATATTTAAGGGTACGAATCAAAAATTCGAAAAAAATTTATTCCATATTCTCAAATAATTTTTTTTTTGGGTGAACCCTGCGGATTTTTTTTTAAATGTTGTGTACTTGTCGTAAATTTTGTTTTTTTTAAGTAGGTTTTAACTAATTTGATTTTTTTTAGCTCAGTTGAGCCGTTTTCGATATATTATGGTCACCGCAAACAAGAGAAAAAAACTGTAGTTTGCACAATTTTACAAATTTTCGCATTTTTTTTAAACACATTAAAATATATACAATTTGATACGTCGTTTAAATAATAGTATGAGTACATACCTGAAAAAAAATCAATATATACTAAGTTAGAACATTGTTGACAACTATTTAATATTTTATTTACTTTAAATATGTTGTTTCCTCGTTTAAAAAAGCTTTTAATCATAAAATTGGAATTAATAAAGACCAGTGTCGTCAAAAATTACTTTCAAAATAACATATAATTTATAGGATAATAATAAAAAAAAATCTAAATTTATTATCCCAGGAATTTTCTTACTTTAAAAACATACCTTTTAGTTGTGTTGAAGAGGCTTTAGAAGATAGAATGTCACTTGTTTGACTGGGTAAAAGACATGTCAATTGTGCCATGGGGCTTGTTAAGTTGGGCCTGGCGTACATTCCGGCTACACCGGTATTTCCCATAAGATTACTGATTCCTATTTTTTCTATTTGACCAACCAAACTCTGCAATTTAAAAAAACTACATAATGTATTTGTACTTTTTAATAATAAAAAATATAAACTTATTTTATCAATACTTTCACATGTAATTTAAATTTTATTCCTATTATGTTGGCAGTTGTATCAAAGTTCAACTTCACCTAATTAAACATGCATTTATTCAATTAAAATTTGTATATCATGAATTCTAGTTAAGTAATCATAGATAAAATTTAAAAATAAAAAAAAATAATGCTTAATAGAATGTTTATTTATAAATCACTTTTATCAGTATAACCAAAGATTAAATGAGTACTGTGGTATTAAAAGCAAAAATGTCCTCTGTGGTACTAAGCAAAAAGGTGGTAACTACTGTATTACTTAATAGTTGTTAGAACATTTGTTTAGCATGGCAGAGGACATGGCTACAGGACTTAAATATACTTTTTATTTAATATTTGGTATAGCATAATAATCCTGATAAATCAGGTAGGTATAAAATTGGACCCAACATAATTTTGATTTAGCAATAGGAATAACAAATATAACAAATTAGCAAATCATAAAGAAATGGTAATAATAACTAAACATATTCAATTAAATAATATATATATAATATATATTATATAATGTATATATTAATATTCTTCTCTAAAAGTACTATGCTTAAATTTGTAAATAGAATTTTGATTTAGCAATATGAATAAGAATATAACAAATTAGCAAAACACCAACAATTTGTAATAACAAAACATTCAATTTTATAAAATATAAATTAAATAATATAATACATATTATTATTATCTTTTTCACAGAAAATATGTTTTCATTACCTATACCTCTCTAAAAATTCTTTATTTGTATGTGTAAATAGACAAATACAATCGATCTTTTCCGTACACATACAGGGTCCGTTTTTCGAGGCTAAGCAGAGGTATCCAAAGATAATATCTAGTTTATCTTTGGAGGTATCTCGCTTATCTTTAGAGATACCATAGTAAAATTTCTTTTTAGTTCATTAATTGGCATGAAAATGCGCAACTTTTTCCTTATTTAACTAACTACGTATCTAATTAATTGTTCATTTAAAATAAATCACGTAAAACTTTCTAACATAGTTATTTTTATATTTACAGTGTAATATGGAGTTTTATGAAGTAAACATCAAAACAATTAATTAGATACGTAGTTAGTTAAATAAGGAAAAAGTTGCGCATTTTCATGCCAATTAATGAACTAAAAAGAAATTTTACTAGGAAGGACCTTCAATGAAGGTAGTCTATTGTAATTCAGACATTTCTTACACTTTCTTAAGGGGAATTCAAATCTGCTAGAATATTTTTGCTAGCTTTTAGATAAGATTAGCAAGATTCCCATGCTTAGCTTCAAATACGGACACCCTGGAAAGTCCGAAAATTTTTTATGCCTCTAAAAAATGTTACATACATAAAACAAAATGGTTTTCCATAATACCCTTTTCCCCGTGCGTGGACATACAGTATGTCCAAAAAGTAAAAAAAATATGTTTTAAAATTTCATTCTTGAGTTGTTGCTTTATTTAAAACCCCAGAAAATGAGACGCATCATTTTTATTGTCTATGGTTAATTTGCATTTTTGATTTTTCTGAAAATTTTGGACTGTTTTTTTTTGTAAACATCCTTTTTAGTCAGTTTTCGTTCATTTGGATTTTCTTTCCAACAAATTAATGTTATTATCAAGGTAGGTAGAAATCTCTCAAAAATTTTTCAAGAATGTCATTAATTTTTACTTAAGTATAAAAAATGCATAAAACGGCGATGAAAAAAACATGTCAATAGAAACGATTACTTTTAAGAAATGACAAATGATCGAAAACTGACCAAATAAGATATTTATAAAAAAAGTTCAGTAAAAATTTTAAGAAAAATCAAAATTGGAAATTAACCATAGAAATAATAATAATAAAAGCAAGTAATAATAATAAAATTTTCTGAGAAATGTAAAATTTTTTTTTCCTTTTTGTTACCACATCCATGGACATACTGTATATTAGGGTTTCCGTTATTTTCCAAGTTGCCAAGCCTTTTTTTACTTGGGTATCATCTAAATTATTTGTTTAGTCGAAATTTTTTTAGAATTATTGTTTTTTAGATGTTTAACCCTGCCTACTTTTTATTTTAACGATATAAGAAAAAAAATCATAAATTGCTAATAAACATAAAACAATCCGTTCCTACCCCTAACCCGCTCCCATTTAGTTGGCTTCTGGGACTTCTTAGGATGTAAGGGTGGAACTAAAAGAGCACTTTTGTATATAAACTTTTGTAAATATAAAGGAACACTTTTGTAGAAATACAAAAAAAGTCCTACGTTTTCAATTTTGTTTCTTTGCTATTTACAGATTTATACATGGACAACCAAATTATGACGTTTAAGATTCCGTATCCGCCACTACCATTTAAACGATTCGAAAAAATATTTGTCTAAACTTAGTTTTAGTGTATACACTTATGATTTAGGGGACGTTACGATAAAAAATATAATTTTGGGAAATAACGGACATACATTATTGTATGATGATGTACATATTGGTAGGTGTCCAACATTTAAATGGATGGTTTTACGAAAAAAAACGTAAATACTTTTTTGTAGAGTAAAAGTATTTCTTGTATATTTATTAGCGAGTTATGATTTTTTTATATATACCAATAAAATGAAAAGTATGCAGGGTTAAAAAACTAAAGTCAATTTTATTCTTGTATTATTAGTATTAGGTACAGATATTACAGATAATACGGAAAAAAGTAAATTTTTCTCCAAATTTCACAATTTTTTAGTTTAAAATGTGTTTTGAAGGCTCGTTTTTTGCAAGATGCGGATGTTTTTTTTTTCGGAAAAATTGGATTAAAAAATATATGAAAGGTCTTAACATGAAAAATTAAGCATTTATTCATAAATATCATAAATAATAAAAATGATTTTATTAAAATGTGTATTATTAAATTACCCAAAAAAACACCATTTTTCCCAAGAAAGCCAAGTTTTAAAACGCTGGAAAAGTATAGGCCAGACTTTTAATAAAATATACAAAAAACAATAACAAGTTACAAAAGGTGAGGTAAAACAATAAAAATTCGGGCAAGATTTTTTAGTTTAACATTACATTGCTATTCTGCCACCGCAAACAAAAAAGTGTCGACACTATAACTGTGATCACAGTTATTACATCATGATATTTAAAGCCTCAATGTCACATAAAACCGCTTTAATGTTTTTTTTTATAAATTTGTGTTACACTAAAAAGCTTATCTTTGATTCCGACTAAGGATTTGTTAAATGTATCAATGTCTTACATACTTGGAATGGCAGAATAGAATAAGTTATGTTCCAAGAAGTTTGCAAATCGTTTTTAACTACTCATTGGCTCCTGTTGGAACAAATCTACACTAACATAAAATATTTTAACAATTAAAATTATTAAAAACAATAAAAAACATGCCTAACTAACGACTACGTGACAAACTCATTTTCACACAACAATCCAAAAAGTGCTAGATAGAATGCAAAATCATCGTTTACCTCTCGACTATCGCCGCGCTTGTTCTTCGTGAACGAGGTCTTCTTACGCGCGCCGCCGCCGCCGCCGCCCACGGTGTCCCGCAAAAACTGCGGCACCGAGCTGAAGATCAGCTGCGGCAGGCTGAACGAATCGAGGTCCGGTTCCGGCGAGCTGCACCGCGTCGAGCACGGCGAACCGTCCGGACTGTTGCACGGAGTCGCCGTGGGAGTGAAACTGTTTACTCCGCACGGGGTGTTGAATGCCGATGGAGTTGCTGCTTTAATACCTGCAAGAAATATAAAGACGTAAGGTGATTTCAGAAAACAAACTAATAAAATAAAAGGCAATTGTTATAACTGGATCCCCAATTATTTGCAACATAAAAAGCTTGAAATATGCATAAAAAATGTTTAAAATATCCATGAAAAGTTTCAAATATGCACATTAAATAAAGAGTAATTTTTGTCTTGGCATTTTTGGTCTGCCTATCTTTTTTGTGCACGCAATATTTTTCTCGCAAACTCGATAATTACGTATTGAAATGTTCCGGGATCGTCGAAAAGACACTTTTTTCTGGGGGCATTGTATACATTACACTTTGTTTTCTTTGAAGTTTGCAAGCCTTCGGAAAGGCTGTGTCCTATATAGGAATTGCAATTCAGCTGGATTTTTGCTGGATCAACATCAATCCAGCAACTTAAAACTTTTATTATTGTTTTTATTTTCATAAATAAACCTAAAATATGTACCAATTTATGGAAACTAAAAATAAATGAAATTAAATTTTAATTTGACAGGAATTAAATTAGTTATTTTAATTTATTGCTATTGATAACTAAAATTTTTCATTCATATTTTTTTAAATTTAAAACATTAATGAGTGTAGGTCACACAAAATTGACGCCAAAAACTGAATGCGCTATTGGATTAAGGACCCTTTCTTTTCAAAATTGTAGGTGATCCTTTTTTTAATTTTGGAAGTTAATTCAAATACCAACTGTAATTTAATGACTAATTTAAGATTTTTTGCGAATTTCTTTAAAACTGAGCCCTTTAGGAAAAATTTTAAATAAAGAATTAAAGACGACAAAATTATCTATTAAATGACGCTTCAACAACCGCAACCATTGGCGTAGATATATTTTTTTTAAATTACAAAATGTTTTAAAAACTTGATGTTTTTGCACAATAATCGCTATAACCATAATTCACACAAAAGGAAAGGACAACAGAAAATGGTTTATCTATTAAAAAAAACTATGTATTTAAAAAAAGCAGGACCATTAAATAAATTGAGTACCTAAGTAATGTATGTTCAGTTGACGTATTCGCCCACGCAATAATACTACCATCAGTTGCTTACATTGCCAACAAGGAGTAAATAAAGAGTTAGTCATCACCTTTGCCAGGCAACACTTTTGCCTACGTATTTTGGAACGGACTAGTGGAACTTCTAGGAATAGAACATGCATTGAGATGGCCTAAAACACTGAATTTGGTCTCTAAGAACTTCCAAGGTGTCATATTTGAGGAAAATGCTTCTGAAACATCCTGACACTCTTTTAATAAAAGATTTTTTGCAAACTGTTAGTCCTTTGGTAATTTTTCCACAAAAACGCCAAATTTGGACTAATTAAAAATGCACATACAAACATTAGTAGTTATGTTTAAAGCTGCTGATATATCTCAAACTTTAAAAATTCATGTACTAGTGAATAAATTGGAAGGATGTCCACACCGAATTTATAAAATTTTTGGAATAAATACAAGATAAACAACATGGCACATCCTAACTTCAAAGAGTCTTTAAAAAGAGCAGTTGTAGAGTTTTCATCAAAAAATATGTAATGCTTTTTCTCATGTTGATATCATCACTTTGATTAATAAATAATATTTGACAATTATTAAGTACTTACTTGTCTTTTTTGTTTTATATAGGTTATATTTCTTTAAAGAAAAATTATGCTGCAATGTTGAAAGTAACCTATGACAGGTTATTTACAAAAAATCCAGTATACCCAGTTAAACATAAAAAAATCACGACTACTTCCATGGATTTTGCAGGCCAATAGTTTAGGCATAATTATGGAGGCATGATTTAATAGATAATTAAGTCACCTTTATTTCCCAATTCAAACATTTTTTTCTAAAGGTCTATGTTTTAAAGATAATGGCAAAAAACTAAAATGAATCACCAAATGATGTTTGAAATTTGGATTATTAAGCAAAATTTCTAAAAAGGAACAGCTACAATTTTGAAAAACATATTTTTAAACTTCAGAGGACATCCTTATTCCAATACTGGAGTCAGTTTTTGGCGTCATTTTTATGTGACCTATCAGGACCACTGTGTATAGTAAATTACTATTAGTAATAAATATGGAAACCTAAATAAATAAATAATAAATATTATTTTTACAGGACTGAACAACTTTTATAAAGAAAAATATTTCACTATTTCGTATATTTAAATTTTTAGTACATTTATCCTCTTTTAAACCCCATAATATGAATATCTTCTGGACAATTAAATATTTGTAGAACATTAAACTGATTTTTACTTTAAAAGCTTGAATAAAATTAATGTAAAGATTATAAGATAATTATCTTTATTATTTTTTTATAATAATTATTATTACAAGTTTTGTGTTTTTTTTGTTCCCAATTACTGTAATGTAATGAGTATAATTAAATTAAAATTAAAATTCAGTCAAATAACTCACAATTTTCACAACAAACAACCCGACACTTATTTAGCATGAAACGGTAAGGTCGCTCCCGCCGATGAAGTTTGGGCGTTAGCGCACCTAGCAAAGCGGCAAAAAGCAGGCTAAAAAATGCGCTGGATCCAGCTGGATAGCTGGATGAGGGATACAGCAACTGCAATCCCCAGTCCTATAGCATTTGTTAACTAGGTACTCTACCGGAAAGTATTGTAAATATAGCGAAAATAGCATCATCACTGGAAACGTTTAAACATAAAATATCATATACGAATTTTTATTCTGCTTAAAAATTTTATAGTAGATATTTAAAAATTTATTTTTATTTTTATGCCAAACTGATATTTTTAATTTAGTGAATTTAAAATGTCTATTTATTATATTTGTATTTTTTAATTCGCTAAATTAAAAATATCATGGGAGAAATTTTTAAATTCATTAAAAATATCATAGGAATTATTTTTAATTTATTTTAATTTTAATTGCTTAAAATAAGCAGATATTTTTAATTGAATGTGATATTTTTAATTCAGATTGAAATTTTGACACCCTGGTATTCCAAGCTAATTCTGTCGCTAGATGGCGGTACAATTACTGGAATCTACGACGTACACTGACCCAGCGTGTGCTGAACAAGGACAGTGCACGTTAGTTTCATAGACCAAAAAGGATATATGGTTAGTTTGCTGCTGGAGTGGGTTGTGGAGTTTGGAATAACAGGGGTATTCAAACTCTCAATCAGTAGGAATTAAAAATATCACATTTAATTAAAAATATCTTATTTAATAAAATAAAAATTAAATCGAATTAAAAATATCTCCTATGATATCGCACATGGGCGACAACAGTGTCATAAGTAGTAAAACGATAATTCCGATATAAGTTAACGTAAAAGATTTTTGAATAATAAAAATCTGACATTTTTGTAAAATTATATTAACTTACACTTTAAGTTAATATAATTTTACAAAAATGTCAGAATTTTATTATTCAAAAATCTTTTACGTAAACTTATATCGGAATTTTCGTTTTACTACTTATGACACTGTTGTCGCCCATGTGCGATATATTTAATCTATTTAAAAATTTAGCGGATTAAAAATATGTGTTTATAAAAAAAATGCAAATATAAGAAGCAAATATTTAAATTAAATAAATAAAAATATCAGTTTGACATAAAAATTAAATCTAATTTTATAATATCTTCTTTGATATTATTAATTCGCAGAATAAAACTTCTTATGTGATATTTTTATCTGATTAAAATTATCACTCCAGTGTTAACACATAAAAATAATTCATGAATAAAAAATAAAAAGGCGCCGCGTAATCTTTGAATATAACAAAAAGTTATAACATTTGAAATAGATATGCAAATGCAAAAACCACTGTATACTTTTATTAAAGTACATATACAGAGCCTGGCGTGAAAATACGGTGTTAATATTTTAAAATTAATAAGATTTAGTTTATATACAAAATTTTTGCCTTTATATTTTATTAAATCATTTTGTTTAACTAGGTATTTAATTACGGCATGAACTTTTGTAAACTAAATTAAGTAATTCAAAAAATCTTGTTTATTGCTAACTAAATTTATTTTTCTAAATATCTTTAAAATGAAGGAAGATATAGAAAAAATGCAATGGATAATATATATATTTTAGAAGATATTAAAGAAAATCTAGAAAAATATTACAACTATCTCAGAAAAGAGTAATATTTGGATATGGGTTCTTAGGAACTTTTTAGTTAAAATAACTTTATATGTCTTCTGCTGGAATCCTGCTTCTAAAACCTTGTTTAAGACAATGAAAAAATACTGCTTTAAAGTTAAAAAAACTCTCGAAATCTGCGTTATAAATAATGAACCATTGTAGAAATATAATTATATTTCTATTATAATAGAACACAATTATAAATATTTATTTTGATTAGTGTTGTATTGTGTAAAGTTTTTTCTTTATTACAGCTCTTAAGATATATCCTATTTTCTTACCTCTTTCGTTAAGCATCTTAGCCAACCCGATGTTGGTGCTGAACGTGCTGCAGGAATTCCTCCTGCTGAGATTTCCTGGGGTCTGCGGCGGAGAATTTTGTATGCTCGAACACACGGAGGTGACGCGGCTGCCTCGCATGCTCGGACTGACGGACGTGCCGTCGTCCGGATGCATTATAGTGCTGTTGGTGTACGTGTACGTGTGCTGCGAATTCTCAAACATTTTACCCGGATTCGTGTATTCTTCATCTTCCTCAAGATCACTAAAAAAAAAATAGAAGTTTAAGGGACTTCTTTTTATTGTTAAGTTCAAAAATGTTATTGGATGGTCACAACAAACTAGAAAAATTTAACAAAATTTTATCTTCATAAATTACGTCACGCGTTTAAGGGGGTCGTGAGTTACGTCACACCAAACATTAAACATTAAGATGTGGAAATAATTAAAAGTAGAAAAAAACTTGTTTTAAAAAAATCTATAAAATTGAACCCATTCTTTTTTATTTTAGATAAATACATATTAATCTTTGTAATTTATTTATTTCCATTTTGATCACATAAAATTATAATTATATTAATTGAGTTTTTTTCTACTTTTTTGAAATTAGAATTAGTAAAAATAATAACTTTTTCATTTCAACTAAAACGTTTTTTAGAAATCTTTTATGTTAATACAAACAGGACCAATAAAGGAATTACACCTGGAATGAAAAGTCAACTTGTCTACAACACATTACCAATCTACGTCAAAAATTTAAGAACTCTGAGATGTTTTGTGAAAAACTTGTACCTGTACTTAAATGTAACAAACTAGCTGTGATATTTTTTAACTAAATGTGATATTTTATACTGTCCTTATTGATTGAATTGTTGTATTTATTGGATAAACTAGTTCATCATCTATATAGGAAAATATAATGTAAAAGGGCTCTGGCATCAGTCTGAATAAGACTGCTTTAGATGCCCCATAATTTAAAATAAATAAATGTATTTTAAAAAATAAAAATATTTAAGAACTCTGAGATGTTTCGTGAAAAACTTGTACCTGCACTTAAATGTAACAAACTAGCTGTGATATTTTTTAACTAAATTTGATATTTTATACTGTCCCTATTGATTGAATTGTTGTATTTATTGGATAAACTAGTTCATCATCTATATAGGAAAATATAATGTAAAAGGGATCTGGCATCAGTCTGAATAAGACTGCTTTAGATGCCTTATAATTTAAAATAAATAAATGTATTTTAAAAAATAAAAATATTTAAGAAGTCTGAGATGTTTCGTGAAAAACTTGTACCTGCACTTAAATGTAACAAACTAGCTGTGATATTTTTTAACTAAATTTGATATTTTATACTGTCCCTATTGATTGAATTGTTGTATTTATTGGATAAACTAGTTCATCATCTATATAGGAAAATATAATGTAAAAGGGCTCTGGCATCAGTCTGAATAAGACTGCTTTAGATGCCTCATAATTTAAAATAAATAAATGTATTTTTAAAAATAAAAATATTTTTATAACAATTTATACACTCACAGGCAAAATAATCGATCCACACAAATTTTCGATGAATTTCAATCGCAAATAACTTTTTTATTTGATGTCGGATTTAAACGAATATTAAAGAATATTGTAGATAAATTAATGGACAATCGCTCACATTTTAAAAAATTACCAAAAAATGGACCTATAATATACAGGTTTAAACAAAAAGATGTTTTTTACCATAAGTTTAAGACACTCTGTAGAGTGGCAAAACCGTATATTGTTCTAAATTAAGTTTTATTTATCAAGTCACATCTATTCTAGGTTGCTATGGTCCATACATAGGCTATGGAGAATGACAGTGACAGTTTTGTTGAATCATCCCATTCTTGGACATGTCATACACGGCTTTCAAAAGCTATCAAATTGTTTTTTGCAAATTAATGTTTAAATTTTGAGGTGTCTTCTTACTTTAAAAAATGGATATGTCTCCGAATGATGTTGCCAGAGCCATTAATTTAATCCAGGATGGACGGTCACAGTATTACGTGGCAAGTGTTTTAAACGTCACAAGAAGTAAAGTACAAAGGGCAACATCAGTCGGAGACATTTTTAAAAGTAAGAAGACTCCTCAAAATTAACACATTAATTTACAAAAATCAATTTGATAGCTTTTGAAAGCTGTATATGACATGTCCAAGTATGGGATGATTCAACAAAACTATCACTGTCATCCTCCATAGGCTATGGATGGCCCATAGCAACCTTAGTTCTTCATACAGGAAAATTTTTGGAAATTGCAATGTTTAAAAAAAAAATCATATTTTCCACAAAAATAAATATATTGAGGTGAACCAAAAACAAAACTGTTAAAAATAGATGTGACTTGATAATTGAAACATAATTTAGAACAATATAAAGTTTTGCCACTCTACAGAGTGTCTTAAACTTATGGTAAAAAACATCTTTTTGTTTAAACATGTATATTATAAACGTACGTGTATTTTTTAGTATTTTTAAAATGTGAGCGATTCTCCATTCTAAAATATTCTTTAATATTTGTTTAAATCCGAAATTAAATAAAAAAGTTATTTGCAATTGAAATTCATCGAAAATTTGTGTGGATCGATTATTTTGCCTGTGAGTATATTTAAAATACAACAAAATATAAAACTTCTATATTGTTGTTGAGCCAACAACTTAGATTAGGCTAAACCAAACTCAAATACTAACATTTCTTCCCAAATTGATCAATTTTGATGTGATACTGATTAAAGACCATGGTAAATTTAAATCTTATATATATTTTATAAGGGTATACGAAGGTTTAAGTCAAAATCAAGTTGGGGTCAATGATTTTATGGATTTAATTTTATTTTGCACTATAATTTTAAAAATAAAGTACATTAAAAGAAGTCTTGTTACCTTAGAGCGTATGTCTGCAATCCGATCTCCTCCAAATCTTTACCGCCTCGTATTTTGACTCCGGGTCGTTCCTCTAAAAGGCCGCCGAAAGTCGGTTGAGCCAGCTGCGCCCACTGGTGTAGCGTTTGCGAACCCTCCATGGGTTTGACGATTTGCAATTTTCCCGGCAACTTCCAGCCGTGATAGGCGCTGGAACCTGTCGACATTAGGCTGTCTGGTGTGCGACAACCAAAGGGCATGTAAGTATCTCCTTCATAACTAAAAGAAAACAAACCAACAATTAAGAAAATATTCTAAATTGTTCCTATAATCCTATATAGCCTATATATAGACGTTATTTATTTTTATTTAATAGGTAAGTAATTTTGGTTTAAGAAATCACGTGGTCATACTCATTTTGTAAATTTGACCTTGTTTTAATATTAATATATCAATATATAATAGGTAGTTAAAAAATGCTTGAGCATAAACCAGAAATTCCCGAGAATTTATTAACAACATAACCGAACGATTTTTGTCAATGTTTCTTCTCTTGTTTATTCTCAATATTCTTGAAAATATTCTGATTTTACTTAATATTCTCAAGAAGATTCTCAATTTTCCCAATGTTCTTAAGAAGATTACCAGTTTTCTCAATATTTTTACTGGTGTTTTAAATCTTTTCTTTTAATAAAAATTTGATAAAATCAATAAAAAACAAACTAATAACAAAAAATGGCATGTCAAGCGTTGCCAGTGCTTTTGTACTGAAATCAGTATGTTAGCTTTGGATTAAAATTGTAAAAAGTGAAAACTGCATGACAAATGTCAGATAAAATATGAAATAAAATTCTTTGCATTATAATTGTTTTAGTTCTTTAATTCCTTTTTACACTGCTATGTATTTCTTGCGGTAGTTGAATAAAATATTGTGAGCGAATATTGGATGAAAGAGGAGATTCCACTCGCTTGTTACCGCTATCTTCACGCACAAGAAATCTCCTTTTTCTTAAACTAGCACAATATATGTACTATTGTTTTATGAAAACTATCCAGGGCATAGAAATCTATGATTCAGGATTTGCAGTCAAGTGAAGTTTTTAATGAGCAAAATGTGATTTTTAACAGTTTATATAACTTTTTTAAACTAAACTATTTTTTTAATTTGGTTTTGCTTCTTATTTAAAGGGTAAAGTGCATAAAGGGCATATGTTTTGTGATATTGGGGTTAATTGATTAAAATTTGACAAATTGTAAATTACTAATGAAAATTATAACTGAATTGAAAACAAAAATTGATGGTTATTAAAAAAATATTTATAAATATAATTATTTTATCATTAAAAAATGATTTTTTGATTAATAAACAAAGCAAGCATTTTACGACTGTCTCATCTTTAATCAATTAAAATTATCTATTTTATTACCCTTTTTTTCTTTCCGGCGAATGAAACACCCTGTACATAAAAATATAATGATAGGTTAATTAAATTAACTTAATTTTCAAAAATACCTATGTTATATAAAGTAACATTTTAAAATATTTTGTTTGGAATTCTTACCCTCCATAAGTAGGTCCATGTTGAAGGTTAGCTCTTCTTGCAAGTACTTCACCGGGAGTTAATCTTTTTATAGCTGCCTCCAATTCAGTAGCACCTGGAGTACCAGGAACACCTTGCTTTGGTAAAGCACTGTAATAAATCAAGTTAATTTTTAATATAAATTATGAACAGATTTTAGAAAGACAAAAGTCTAAAAAGATAGTTATGCAAAATCCAACCTACAGTGACTGGATAAAAATGTTGCTATACAAGTGTCAAAACTTATGTTTTATAAGGTGTAGCTAATATTTTTACTTGCATTCAAGGATGTGTAATATCTACAAACAAAATCAAAAAAATCCTATATATTTTTTTATGTTTAAAAACAAATAGTCAAAAATGGTATTAATGATTTCCTAATGTTAAAGTAAAGTGACAAAAAATAATATTTATAGAATCCAAGTTAATGTATTTAAAAAAATACCAAAATTTGTATGCAATGCATTTAAAAAAATATTGTAGTACTTAAAAAAATGATTATTGTCCAGCAATATTTTCAAATTGAATCACTATGTTTACATATTTTTACAAATTATGCAAATAACTTACGGGTACGCTGCATCCTCCGAATCGGTCTGACTGTAGTCGGTATCGGAATGATCTGAGTGTCCTGAGGAATCCAGACTGGGATAACCGAGCGAACTGCTGCTGTAAATCGAACCCGAAGATCGACGAAGCGATTCGGCGCTGGTTGTCGCTCTCGAGCTCATTCTCGGCCCTGCGCTCGACGCCATACTGCTACTCACGAATCCGCCAGGGCCGCCAAAGCCCGAATGCAAACTGCCCAGACTGTCTGCGCTGCTCAGCGAATTTTGCGACGCGCATCGCACCGTTTCGAAGACTTTCTTGTATTGAGGTCTGAAAAAGGAGTTTATTTATTGAAGGTTTTTACCTTTTTGGTCATTTCATAATATCAATGTTTCAAAAAACTGAAAAAAAAACTAACAAGGCATATATTTAAAGTTTTATAAATCATAGGAAAATAGTTAATATAAAGTAAAAATAAATTCCAATGGAATAAAATAATATTTAAAAAATAATATTCTTAGTATTACAGTCATTCGGCAATTTTTGTAGCGTCCGTAATAATAAAAAATTGTGAGTAAAAGCTACCGTAATTAAATTATATAGTTACTATTGCAATTTGCAAACATGTTTATTATGATTTAAACAATTAAGCTCAGGCTTATAAGCATAATAGAAGCTACAAAAATTGCCGAGTAACGTAGAATGGCTGATTAAAGCATTTAGTATTTTGTAATTTGAAAACAATTGTCAAATAAAAATCATGGCAGTTAACTCTTTTCAGACAAAATTCCATATTTTTTAATAACTTTTTCAAACTTGACTTTATTATACAAGGTGTCCCTAAACTTAGTGGCATAAATTTAGAAGCAGATTAAGCAAGTCAAAATAATACGAAAATCTAAATAAATATTTTTCCTAATTAGGTATGTTAATAGATACAGGGTGATAAGGTGTTACTTATCATATCAGTTTTTTTAATATAACTTCTACTACAGTAGACTTGGAAGGGTGAAATTTTCACTTACTATCAAAACACATATTCACAAATAATTACAATTGTTCGAGTGAACGCAGTGTCGTAGAAACAGGGGTTGCTTAAGCTTATTGTCTCATACAAACTTTGAGGTTAGGTTTTTATACCATTTGATGCAATTTTTCGATAACTTATTTCGGCTACTATTAAAAAGGTGTACCTCTCAAACTTCGATAAAATAAACCGTTTCCGAGATATTCGAGATTACAATAATTGTTATATTGCATTAAAGGACTAAAAGGTATATGCTAACAAATTTTTTAATTGAAAAAACTACAATTTTTTTGAATGTGACGATCAGGGCAAAAAACTATGAGGCTCATGGAATTCCCTTTTTAGTTTTTTCAATTAAAAAATAAAATTTGTTATCATATACCTTTTAATTCTTTTAATTAATGCGATATAACAATAATTGTTATTGTAATCGCGAATTGTTATTGTAATCGCGAATATCTCGGAAACGGTTTATTTTATCGAAGTTTGAGAGTCAAATCGAAAAATTGCATCAAATGGTATAAAAACCTAACCTCAAAGATTGTACGGGACAATAAGCTTAAAGCAACCCCCGTTTCTACGACACTGTGTTTACTTAAACAATTGTAATTATGTGTGAATATGTGTTTTGGTAGTAAGTGACTGTTCGCAAAATATCACCTTACCAAGAGTACCATAGTAGAAGTTATATTAAAAAAACTGATATGATGAGTAACACTTTATCATCCTGTATCTTGGAAACATAAGTAATTAGGAAAAATATTTATTTAGATTTTCGTCTTATTTTGACTTGCTCAATGTTTTCCTAAATTTATGCCAATAAGTTTAGGGACAACTTGTATATTATTATAATGTGACCAGTATAAATATAGATCAGACCAGTATAAATATAGATCAGACAGCCCAACAAAAAAAGTACACCAAAGTGGTCACATCCTATGGTCGCTGAATTTAAATTTAGTTTTTTTCTAACCTCAAACCAGTAATGGCTGGTGGATTTTGGGTATACCAATATCTCAGTTATTAGACATGGGACCCACACCAAATTTAAAACAGTTTATAATGACATTAAATAAACAAGTTCGGCGCAAACAGAATTTAAATTGAAGTTTGCGAAAAAAAGTTAGTTTTTCCTGTCGCCTCACCCGCCTCCAGGCCCTCCTATTTGAGACAATTCAAATTAAAGTGGTGCAATTTATTATCTACTATAATTTATCGACAAATTTAAAATTTTATTTAAAAAATCCAAATATTACAGATTTTATTCGATTTTAAATTTTTATTATTTATTTTATTAAAATAAAAAAATATTTAATATGCTATAAAACCTGTAAAATTTGGATTTTTTAAATAAAATTTTAAATTTGTCGATAAATTATAGTAGATAATTAATTAATTTGAATTATCTTAAATAGGGGGGCCTGGAGGCGGGTGAGGCGACAGGAAAAACTAACTTTTTTTAGCAAACTTCAATTTAAATTCTGTTTGCGCCGAACTTTTCTATTTAATGTCATTAAAAAACTATTATAAATTTGGTGTCTAATAACTGAGATATTGGTATACCCAAAATCCACCAGCCGCCACTGCCTAAAACATGCTTTTTTCAGCTACTTTTGTATTGTAAAATTTATTAAAAAAACGCGTGTTTTTTTTAGATATCAACTAAAAATAAATTCAGATTTGCATTGGTAGGGATGCGTCAACTGAATCAATACTTTCTAGAATCGATCTGTTTTTGAACGTTTCGATTAACTAAACGATTATTTAAATGAATCGATATATTTTTAATAAAATTAATATTAAACAAAAAAACAACAACACAGATATATCCTTAGCAAAACCTGGTTGGCAGCCATGGTTGTGCATCTTTACTGTACAAAAACTTGTCCGCTGAGAAGTTTAGACTACGCTTGCCAGAGGCGCTAATGTCGCCAAAGTTGTTTTTGTCACCGAGACTACCGTTCTCATAATAATTAGACATGCAAGCGAATGTAAAAATGAACTTAAATTTGTGAAGTCTTTATAGCCTTTTAAATTTGTATTCTGTATTCATTATTATGGTTTATTCTTTTTCTACTCCTATTGCGGAATATGACCATTCTAAATAAAATAATAATTACAAAAATGTAGTTTTATTATTCCTCTTTTTACTTTCACTAGAAAAATATTAGAATTATTTATCTAGTGGAAGTAAAAAAAGGATCAGTGCCATCCATTAAAAAATTTTAAACATTAATTTGAATTTTTATTTTTGACTACACCCGCTGGAGGACGCAGTAGTCACAGAACAAACTTTAATACTAAGTTGCCCATCTAACTAACTTTTTTACAGTAAATTTTTTTGCATAAACAATTTAAAAGCAATCGATTCCGAATCGATATAAAAATCGATTTATCTAATTCTTTGGCACACCTACAGCTTGGCCCAATACTTTGCGATGGGCGAGATGTACAGAGAACAATAACCATAAAACCTCTGCAAACTATAATAATAATCTCGATAATAACATACCTAGTGTCGGGAAAGTTTAGTAGTCGATAAAACTCGCAAAAATAAGAAGACAAGTTTATATGAACTTGTATGCTTTCAAGCTTTATTTTCGAGAACAGAGTGTTATAGTTAATAAAAAAAAGTTTGCATCAATAATTTTTTCTAAGTTTGATATTATATTAAGATTAAGCAATTTGTATTTTTTTTCTATTTTGCTTAATTTTTAGGCAAAAAATTAAATTCGTTTATCTGATTGTTACCAGAAGTTTTCCAGGGGCAAGCAAATAAACGAATTTTATTTTATTCTTGAAATTAAACCATATAGCGAAAAAATGCAGAAGACAAAAATGTACTTTAAATTGCTTAATCTAAAAATAATATTAAACTTATAAAAAAGCAGTAGTGCACCCAAATTTTATTTTTAAATATGTAGTTGGGATGCCCCAGCGTCGCCTCTAGAATTACTAAATTAAATTAAATTACATTCAATTAATAAACCTGAACAGTTTCATTAAATTTTGCAAAAAAATTTCTGAAAAAATAAATATTTTTTTTTGTAGATACAAGCTTATATAAACTTTTCTAAAAGCTATAGCTTTTGTTTTCTTTATAACCTCAAAAACGACGAATGTGACTACTCTGGTCCGTCGGACATACTACTTTTTTGAGGGGCTGTGTAATTTTAGTTAAACAATAAACTGATACACTTAGTTGTAGATATTTTATTTAAATTATTAAAAGTTTAAATATTAAATAACAAAAGTTATCAATTTCAATAAAACTACTTTGTAATTATTTCTGTGCTTTATCCAGAAACTTAAAATTCACAGACTTTTTTTTATACATATAATGGAATGAAAGTATCAGTTGGCAAAACTGTTTTGATTCAAAAATAAATTAACACTTTATAGTTTTATATGCTAGCATTACCACAGGCCAGACCTTGCGAAATGCAATGCCAAACTAATGGGAAGGTGGGATCTAACGATACACGTGGCTTAGAACGAGCGTGAGAGGTGTATCGCTGGCGATACTCACGGCAGGGTGAGAATTCGTGAAACGGATCACTCTTTTCCCGACTTTGGAAATTACAAAAAACAATTATTGGGTTTTGTAGTACTCATTGATAGTAAAATATTCCCAAATTAAAAAAAATATATATAAACAATTGTAAAAGTTATTTAAAAAAGAGCGTTTTTGACGATTTTTTTTTGAAAATATCTCATGGGAATAAAGCCTTTTAATAAAATTTTACCTTTATTGAAAATTCTTCAAAACTTATCAAATTTTCATAAAAAATAAAATAAAATTAAAAAAAAAATTATTTTCATAAAAAAAAATTATTTATAATAAACAATTTGCATTTTTATAATTTTCTCAATGCTCTTTTTGAAAATCGTATTAATTTATAATTTCCTTAAAGTATTTCCAATAAAAAACTAAAAAAAAAATTGGATTCTTAATTAAACGATTACATTTGAACATTTGATTTTGTGAGCCGGCGCGACTTTTCTGGCCTTGACGCTCGAGCGCGCTCCCGACGCGACCCGTCCCATTGCGATGCGTACTTTATTATTAATAACTCTGCTATACTATACTATCAAGTACTTGTGATTTAAAAATGATTTTGTACGACCATTAAATATATATTATACGTATATATATATTTATACAGGGTGTATCACGTTCGATGGTAGGTTAGACGTTTATGGAGAACTTTAAAGTTAAAGTTAAATTTATGGAGAACGGCAAAAGATATTGAATTTAAATTTTAAATAGCATGCAATTATAATATCATTTAAACTATTTTTCTAAATTATTTTGAACAAAATTACTCTTCCGGTTTTAACAGAAGCGAAATCAACTTTGTTATTTTAAATGAATCATCACATTTTTTTACATTATCATTCCTTAATAGTGTTTGAGTAAAATTCGGTCAGTTTCACCCTCAACAAAAAAGCTTATAACTTTTTTAATATTAGGTTTACTGATATTCGGTTGGATTTATTGGAATCCTGAAGCATTGTTTTAAATATTCCATGTAATTTATTGTAATATTTCTAAAAAGATACTTAATAAAAAACAATGTGAATGTAGCTAACAGCAATAAATTTTTTATTTTCAATGGAACGCCCTGTATATTTTTACATAATTAAATATAAAATTATAATACCTTTCATTAATATAATTATTCCCTATACCTAAAGTTAATAATAACAATGATATTTTACACTTCCTATTATATAATATTTAAAATTTTTAAATATTAGTTTTAAATTAATAAACAATACAAGTGGAATCTACGAATGAGTTTTCAAAAACTGTATGCATTCATATGACAAGAAAATAATATATTAATAAAAACAATATATTTTTTAAAAGCACCAAAACAAAAAGTAAATATGTGGCTATGTAGGTATGTGTATAAACGGTTTGATTGAAAGCCCGGTACCTTCATTAAAAGTATATTATTATTTACTAAAAAGGTTAAAAATTCATTAATTAAATAAAAACAATGTTTTAAATTAATGCAAATTGTTAATAAAATAGTTAAAATGAAGGAAAATCAATATTTAAATGAAGTTTTGATGAACTTGTTCATTCTTCATGGACAATATGAAAAACTTATTGCTAACTTATAACATGCAGAAACTTGTTGTATGTTGTACCTTTAATTTGGTTATCCATTAAGAATAAATATTTTTATCTACTCCTACATTGACGAGTTGTGACTTTATGGCATTTTAGTCACGGGCTGAAGTTAATAACAGTGGCTTTTTGGCATTTTAGTCACGGGCTGAAGTTGGCTTTATTATAAATTGCGAAAAAGTGAGGTTAAATTTGTTAAATGTCAAATTTTATGAAATAAAATTGTCCCTAAATTCTTATTTCTGTTCGTCGTAGATAAAGTATAGTATGCAACTCGTTTTATAAACTTCTCTAGACATTCGTTTTTATTAAACACTCGCTCGCAAGCTTCGCTCGTGCCTAATAAAACTTGTAATTAAAATGCCGTTTATAAAACTTAATACATAATATACTATTATCAATTTTTTTTGAGTGGTTATTTTCCTTTATTTTAATAATAATAAATATCGGGAAAGTTTTGTTATTCATACCAAATTAATACACGTGAGCAACATTTTATTAGTTTTTCTTCTTATTATTAGGGTAATTGTAAAATATCTTTCTTAATATTAACTTTAGGTATCGGGAATAGTTCAATCAATCAATGAAAAGGTATTATAATTTCATATTTAATTCCATTGAGAATAAAAAATTTATTGCTGTTAGCTACATTCACATTGTTTTTTATCAAGTATCTTTTTAGAAATATTACAATAAATTACATGGAATATTTAAAACAATGCTTCAGGATTCCAATAAATCTAACCGAATATCAGTAAACCTAATATTAAAAAAGTTATAAGCTTTTTTGTTGAGGGTGAAACTGACCGAATTTTACAAAAAAAATTAATAACTCAAAAACTATTAAGTTTGGGTATAGCCATTTTATAAGGAATGATAATGTAAAAAAATGTGATGATGCATTTAAAATAACAAAAAGTTAATATTGCTTCTGTTAAAACCGGAAGAGTGATTTTGTTTAAAACAATTTAGAAAAATAGTTTAAATGATATTATAATTCCTATAAAAATTTCAATTCGATATCTTTTGCCGTTTTCCATAAAGTTCTCCATAAACGTCTAACCTACCATCGAAAGTGATACACCCTGTGTATATATATACGTATAATATATATTTAATAGCCTTACAAAATTATTTTTAAATCAAGTACTTGATAGTATAGTATAGGAGAGTTATTGATAATAAAGTACGCATCGCAATGGGACGGGTCGCGTCGGGAGCGCGCTCGAGCACCAGGGCCAGAGAAGTCGCGCCGGCTCACAAAATCAAATGTCATTAATCGTTTAATTAAGAATCCAATTTTGTTTTTTTAGTTTTTTATTGGAAATAGGTTAAGGAAAATATAAATTAATACGATTTTCAAAAAGAGCATTGAGAAAATTATAAAAATGCAAATTGTTTATTATAAATAATTTTTTTTTATGAAAATATTTTTTTTTTTAATTAAATTATATTTTTTATGAAAATTTGATAAGTTTTGAAGAATTTTCAATAAAGGTAAAATTTTATTAAAAGGCTTTATTCCCATGAGAGATTTTCGAAAAAAAATCGTCAAAAACGCTCTTTTTTAAATAACTTTTACAATTCTTTATATATATTTTTTTTAATTTGGGAATATTTTACTATCAATGAGTACTACAAAACCCAATAATTGTTTTTTGTAATTTCCAAAGTCGGGAAAACAGTGATCCGTTTCACGAATTCTCACCCGGCAGTCAAAGTCAAGCATTTGTTAAGGTCTTTCAGCAAAGTGGCCACCTGAGAATTTTAGTTTCAATTTCCGTTTCTGACATATTTAGGAATGAGTAATAATTTTGATTTTCAAGCAATGTGGTGTTTTTCTGCCGCTAGACTATTTGTTGTTATTTTTATGAATAAGATAATACAAACAACTATTTTATTTTAATTTTGCATGAAAATATGTTAATTTAACATATTTTAAGAAACCTCAATAAAAATCAGCATGATTAAATTGCTTCAGATTTTATGGAAATCATTTAATATAATACATATCGCACACCCAGTTCAAGACCACCGTAACTCAAAAAACATTGAAATGAGATAATCCAGTTTAAAGTTTTGCAAAGGTTAAAGGAATTTATTGAAGAAAGTAAGGACCGCAATAACGCCCTTTTGTAAGCTCTACATAGTAAATCCAATGGTTTTTAATCAGTATATTTTGTAAAAGTCTATATTTTTTTAAAAGATTTTATTTCAATAATTAAAAAAATATGTTGCTATTGCTCTAAATTTTGACTTTTTTTTGTTAAACTAAATAAAACAGATTTTTGGTAATATAATGTATTTTAATTAAACAAATAAATACCCAAAATAATATTTATTAAAAAATATAAAACCTAATTTCAACTTAAAAACAATTACATTGGTCTTGCACACAACATTAAGATAAATTAGAATAATTTAAGCACCATATATTTTTATATGGTGAGTGTGCACTTGGACTACACAGATATTTTAGTTCAATATAAATGTAAGTTCTTAAAAATAGGACTTAAGCTATGAAGGTTTTTTAAATCTATTCTAAGGTTGTTAGAGTATTTAAAAACCACAATAACTCAAAACTGTTAATTTTTGAGTTACGGTGTTCTTGAACTGGATGTGCGATATATTGACATATATAAAAAATAAAAACTCACATGTGTTCAGTTCCGCCAATGCCCGAATCGGCGCTCAGGTCCGAGTGCATCGACATCTCGAGCTCGCTTTGCAAACTGTCAAAGGCGCCGCCCAGATTGGTCGAGCCCGCTCCCATCGTGTGTCCCAGTGACGGGAACAACGAAATGCGGTTGCCTGGCAGCTGGCGTTTGCGCAGCTTCCGCAACTGGTCTTGCGCGTCGCGCAGCAAAGCCTCTACCTCGTAGTAGCGGGCCTTGAACTCGGACAACTCCACCGCCAGACTTCCCTGGTTGTCTTTTGTGATCTGCAGCAGGCTGTTCATTTCCTCATTATCACCAATCAACTAAAAGAAAAAAAATGTTTATATTTTATTTTCCTAAAAATGCGAAACTTTTGAATTACTGTAACAGTTCCATTAACACCATTTAATGCTCATTTATTTCATTTTCTTAATTTCTGAAAATGTTATTTGAATGGAGTTTGATATTGACCATGATGACCCCTGATTAATAATGTTAAGCTTAAAAATGTAATGTTATTTACAGTCCTTACAAAAAACTAATTTCCCAGGCAGTATGAAATAAAAAGGTAGCCAATAAAGGTACCAAACTAAATATTCTGGAGTCTTTGAAAATTAATAAAGTAAAGAAAAAATCTGATATTGTTCTTAATGACCAAATTAAAACCAACAACTCGCCTTTGTTAAATTTATTTTAGAATGTATAACTGTAGCACTAAAAAATAATATTTATTAATATTGTAAAATTATATTAGATAGGACTTTCCAAAATTGTGTTTTATTAATACTTTCAGCTATAATGTTTATACCACACTTATTTTTTCAAATACCTGCATTAGCTAATATAAATACCGCCACTTAATAAAAATATGTACTAATTCTGAAGAAGCTACTCTGTAGTGGAACAATTGTTAATTATTTAAAAAACATAAATAAAATAGTGAAACTATATAACACTGTTGTGTTTATTCATATATTAATAAAAAGGTTTAGTTATTTTTGTTTATTATAACCAAATTATAATAAATTTAATATTTTTTAAAACAAAATATATCATTTATTTAAAATGTAATGCTTAATAACTAAAAAACTAATTTTCATATATCATTTTTGTAATTTGTATATATTATAAACCTTACTTGAGGACACTCTTCACCCAAGGGTATTATACTGATGTCCATATTTTAATGATTTTTTGCGCCCTGGACTGTAATTATACTAAATAATTTAAAAAAATTAAACTTTTTACATAGTCAAAATAGACATAATTGTTCATTTGTGTTTAATTTCAATGAACTTTTTTTATTGATGCAAGCATTTTAGTTTATTTTAATAACATAGCAATATTATTCAAGATCAAGGTCGTAAAACCAACTGGTAACCTATGCACCAAAAATATAAAATAAAATTTCGTTTTAATATTCTGATTAGGATTATCTTAATGTGTATATTTCCCGATATACGAGGTGTGTTCAGAAAATAATGGGAATTTTTAAATTTCGCAGGTTTGGAGAGTCCGGTTTTCATAAAATTGTTTTTATTATGTTGGTATACATACCCCTGAAGAATGATAAATTTTTTAAATGTTTTCATTGTTTACTTTGTCTGTGGCAGCTGCTAAGGTTAGACGTGTTTTTATGAGCTGGGCGATTTTCGTTCGTTAAAAGAATTGGGATCAAAGAATTTGTATCAAATTTTGCGTAAAAAATGAAATAAAGTTTGTAAAATGTTAAGAAAGGCTTGCTATGAGTAAAACAAGAGTTTATAAGTGACATATGAGTTTCCACGATGGCCGTAAAGACGTTGAAGATGACGAACGCCCCGGAAGCCCAAGCACATTAACAACCGATAAAAACATGGAAAAAGTGGAAGAAATGGTTATGAACGATCACCGAATTACAATCAGAGAAGTCGCTGATGATGTTAGCATATCGATGAAATTGTTTCGAATATTTTGGGTATGAAACGCGTGGCAGCAAAATTTGTTCCAAAATTGTTGAATTTTAAACACAATTTTTTGCCAAAAACAATACCAGCCTACATATTCGCCAGACATGGCTCCGTCTGACTTTTTCCTATTCCCGAAAATAAAGAGAACCTTAAAGAGCCGTCGTTTTGCAAGCATATATGCAATGCGCTTTTAATGTTATTTATAAATAACATTAAAAGCGCATTGCTGAAATAACTAAAGACTATCCCAAAGATCGTGTTTGAGAAGAGTTTAGAGGATTAGAAGAAGCGCTGGGACAAGTGCATAATATGTAATGGGGACTATTTTGCAACAACTTTAATGTAGACGAATAAATAAATATTTTTTTCAGAAAACGAAAATTCCCGTTATTTTTTGAACACACCTCGTATGGGACGTCTATAGTTTATTTTAATAACAGCAATATTATTCAAGATCAAGGTCTAAAATCAACTGGTAACCTATTATAGGTATAATACACCAAAAATATAAATTAAAATTCTGTTGTAATATTTTGATTAGGATTATCTTAAAAAAATATATATTTCCTGATATTTACCACGTCAAGTGGAAAAAGTAAAATAAATGAAATAACTTATTTGTTAAATTTTTACTTAGATTATTAAATTGAGCGCTTAAAAGAATCGGATTTTTTTAGGGGGTAGGTGAGTTCGAAAATTTAAAGCATGTTAAATCTATAATTAGGACTTACTTTGGCAACTTTCATTTCTGTATCAAAAAGTTTAGATTCCAACGCCAGCATTTTCTCATGCTGAAGCCGGTTTTCCTCCTTTTGGCGGTCCAACTCGTCCTCCAACAGACCCATGCTTGAATTTGCACACGCTGTAAAAAATATACTTTAAGCTATTGTCTATTAATCCATTTAATACTCAGTTCGCAATGCACTACTTTTAAATAGCACACACAATTAAAGACTGGTGAGTTCTCACAACATGTACTTATCAGAGTTCAAAGATAAAGATGTTGTAATAGTTGCTTACTTTAGTTGCGTTTTTTTTAAAGATATTTATACAAATTATGTAAACCATAAAATTATGTAAACCATAAAATTATGTTACTACTTACTCAACTGCCCAGTTAAATCTTTTAGTAATCTAGCTTCCTGCTCCTCAATATCATCAGTATCTTTAGCCAATCTACAGTACTCTGATCGGAGAGATTTGTTTTCATCTTCTAAATTTGCTGTAAGGAAATAAATAATTTATTACTATTTTTCATGTGCTCATAACATAATTAATAAGCAAAAGCAAAGGTTACTATGCCACTCTCAGTCAGCTTTAACGCTGCCTGTATTGTAATAAATTGTTTAATGAAGATAATTTGACGGATGCTTAAAAAATCTTACTCAAACTAGTGTAAGGTATGCGTGCGTGCATTAGCCGACATATTTATCACGCTGAATTTAGATCACATGCTTATTTGTGTCGTAAAAAATTGGCACGTCTATAGGAATTGTTTTTACATTAATATATTAAGTTTTTGTTCGTAAAAATACGTAATTGTCATATTCAAAAAACTCAAAAGCATTAACATAGCTTAACTATAAAATATTTTATGCAACTACTGTTAGTTGCATTAACATATTTTATAATTAAACTTTGTTGTTTTAAAACTTTACTTCTTTTGACTTTTTTGTCAGTAATTACTGAAAGAGATGCAATAAAAAAAGAAATTTTTGAATGACAAAATATTAAGAACCTAAAAATTTCAGTAACAAATTCATTTTTATGTGTTCCCAAGAATAAGAAAAAATTGACAGATACTGTGTTTTAAAATATGATTCTGTTTAACAATTTGTTTCAAATACTATTCGTAAAAATAGTTATTTATGTCATTAGGCCGCATGTTGTATATTTTATCTTCAAGGCACAATATAGTTTGTTAAACAATACATAAAACGTAGAATTATTTAATTAATTTTGTGTTACGAAAACCCTAAGAAGTTTAGGTTCCAATTTTTCACAAAAAATATTTTTTCTTACAGATTCTTTTGTGCATCAGGTCAAGATTAATGCGTCCCGACGTGCCCGGTTCCCAGACCGGCTCGTCCACGTCATTGGTGAGGATCTGAATGAGTTCGGTCTTTTTATGCACCTCATGGCTGAGCTGCGTCAGCTTCTCGTATGCTGTTTTCAAATCGGTTTCCAAGGATGAAACGGTGTTCTCGAGTTTGTTGTTTGTTTGCAGCAATTCTTTGCCGATGCGCGCTGTCAATTCCAAATCCTTTTCTTTCTGGAAAATAGTTTTTAAAAGATGTAAGTTGTATTATTTTGTTAGCAAATATAAATTTATGTAACTATTTAAAAAGTACAAATTCTGACGATTATTATATAAATAATTTAGCGTGATTTTTTTAAATATGCAGGATGGTTTAAAAGAAACCTTTAATAATTTGAACACCAATACAATTAAAATTATATTAATTTTCTTAATAAACTTATATAGAAAACTCAACTGTTTTAGAAATACAAGGTGTTGAAGTAGCATACATTTTTTTGAAAAAAATAATTTTCTAAATAAAGAACATATTTTATTAAAATTAAATTCGTTTTCATACTACAAGCAGTGGCTTCACAATGGGGGTAATAATATCCCTTTTAAGAAAAAAAAATGAACGCCAATGATTTAAAAAAAATTTTCACATTTTTAAAATAAGCAGTCGATTTACGAAAAACAAGTCATCTTGAAGTTTTTTCGTAAAATTTATCGTTTCACATTTAAATTCACTGTAACTTGTAACTAACTATACAAATTTGCCATATTTTTAATATTTAAAAGCCACTAGATGCCTAGAATATTATAAATGGTCGTGTTGCATGGTTAAATATCACTATAGTTTATAAACTGATGGAATTGATTTATTTACTTATTTATTTTATCTTTAAGCTCAATAATAAAATGTTAGTTAGTGACTTCTTGCAGGGATATGACGATATGCCGTCTAGTTTTTTTTTCGATCTTTAAATGTAGGTTTCTGTTCTAAAATAATGTTTTTTAGTTATGTTTTTAATTGTTTCTGTTGTAAAATATTTGTTTAGTGTTAGTTTTAATATAGTTTATTTCAAAATAAGATTTGTTGCAATAAATTACTAAGGATAAATTTTACGTTTTCATAAATCAACTGTTGATTTCAGAAATGAAAAACGATTAGATCATTGGCGAAACTTTTCTTGTCTAAAAAGATCAAACTAGATGGCATATGGGAAATTTAAAAATCAGCTGATCGGGCACGGTTGTCAATGTGATGCTAAAATCATTGCATCGTGAAAGTGGTAGTGCAACTACAGGGCGATAGATGGCGTTTACATGAATAATACCATAGGGTCCCTAGATTTGGGACCTTGGAAATTCCAAGTTGGAATACCAAAATGTCAAAAGTCAGAGTTTTATAACCTATATGATGCACCGCCAAAAGTATGTTTTTAGCTATTTTTAAAGACATTTTCAGCTATAAAACCCAGAAATGTTGCCATCTAAAGTCAGTCTCTGGTGTATATATTATTATTTTATGTATCCAACATATATTTTGTTAAATATTCTAATAGGTATATAATTATATATATAATAATAATAATAATCCTATTTACCTCTCTAACAGCTGTTAAAGGTAAAAAAGGTCAATTATTATCTCGTTCTGCCTCAAAATAGCGTATTAAGGATGATACCAACTCTCGACTCCGACTATTTAAATGCCTCGGCATTTTGAATATAGGAAAAACAAAAAAACGATATATAACAAACCCAAAAACGGCAATGAAAACTTAAACGATATAAAATAACACAAACAAACAAAATAAACGAAATTATACACGAATTAAATGAAATATTCAAAAACACAACTGAAAGCTTCAAAATTCTAAAACGTTTATTTTTCTATGCGTCATTTTATTAAGCAAAATTTTAATCTAAACATGACAACATTGCAATTGCTGCCAACTAAAGTTGTTTAAAATGCATTAAAATATTCAATTACAGACTTCGTTTTATACAGTGCGCAAAATTATGACGTCATCGATGACGTGTACGTCGTTTCCTTTTAAATTTTCTGTATGATAAAATTTAATTACAGTGAATTTGAATTGCAATTGTACTGTAAAAAAATACATTTTATGAAAAAACTTAGCGTACCTTTTTTTTCTGACTAGAGATATTATCACCTCCATAGTGACACCACTGCTTGTAGAATTAAAACGAGTTTAATGCCTAACTACTTAATAAAAAACAATAGTAACCAAATTTCAATAAAATACATGTTCCTTTTTTCTGAAGAAATTTTGTTCAAAAAAATATATTTAACTTCCACACCTTATTGTAGGTATATCTGAAACTGTCCAGTTTTTGATATAAGTTTATAAAGAAAATTAATATTATTTTAACGTTTTGTATTAATTCTCAAATTTTTAAAAGTTCCTGTATATTTGTAAAAAATATTATATTATTTAAATAAATTTAGGCAAAAAATATTGATTTAAAAAATCCACAAAAGGGTTATTTATGGTGTTTTTTTTTAAACTTACCTCTTCAAGAAGCCTAGTGACTGCTTCTATGTCATCGTAGGTTTTTGTCATTTGGCTTACACGGTTGCTACATAGAACTAAAAATAAAAAAAAATTGTATTATTAAAACCCAACATTTGTAATACTAATGTTTCTATTTTTGATAAGATAGCAAAATCAAAATAAAATATTAGTATTTCACAGTACAATAGAATATAGATAATTATATTAAATTTAAATTTATCTAATTTTCGCCAGCGGCGTAGCGGACACCTCCACAGACCCCGTGCCCGCGCCGCTAGGGGGCCCGGCACTTAAGGGGGTCCAAAGCCCAAACCGATAGCAATAAAAAATAATATAAACAATATAACATGAACGCGTTGAGGGAAGAGCCGGCCTTATATTCCTCTAGCGGCGCTCGCCGCGTACACTTGAGATTTTACGACGGCCAGACCAATAGAGGAATAGGTCAAGGTCACGTCTGTTTAGTAGCATAGAGTAGCACGTTGCGATTGCCTCTTATTTAGTCTATCCGGCGAATGTTTTCCGTTGTGTCATTGAAGCGTATGGGTAACAGCACTCCATAATGGGTAAGTCGGTACTAAATTGGTGGTCAGTGTAATGTGGGTGGCCTGATTGCCGGGCATTATTGTTATAAATATCGAATTTTTGCCAGAAAGATAATGTGCCGAAATATTGAAACCAAAGGCCACGTTAATATTATTATAAAAGTACCTATTGCAATTGCATTGTTTCTCTCATATTTGCGGGTTTCTTAAGAAAAAAATATAAGAACAAATATTAAATAAACACTTTCAAAACGAAGGCCGCTGAACACGTTGCAAAAGCCGAAGCACCCCAACAAACTAACGCGCACTGTCCTTGTCTAACACACGCTGGGTGAGCGCGACATCGGACTTTCGTACGGCGTAGACTTGAGTGATTGTGCCTTCCTCTAGCAGTATAGGACATCCAGATACTTTTTTAAAAATACCTAAAGAATACCCACTTACGTATACAAAGAAAACCGCTACAAATTGTAATGTTTGTGCTTGATTCAGGGATTAATAACGCAATGGAAAACATTCACCGGATAGAAGCGGTACGCGGTAGGAGGAGCAGCTTCATCTCCAAAATTCCAATTCCAATTTATTATATACCATTATAACTACTTAATGAGTGGTACTCATCGCTTCATTACAAAAGTGATAAAATTTGGCTAATTATACTTACGAAAATAGTTTAGTGTTTCTCGGATTTGATCCGGGGACAATTTCAAGTCAGCTTCGTCAATTTGCAAAGCTGGTGAAGGAATAAACCAGTCCTGGTTTTCGTATCCTAAAATTAAAAATCAAATTTAATAAATAAATATGGCTAAAGATATATCGAAAAACAATTATTTTAAATTTTCTTCTTGTTTTTAGAAAAATATAATTGATAACAGGTTTATGTAAAATCTTTTGCTAGTCAAAAGGTGTTTCTAAATTTTGACGTCGATTACGCATCAGCAGCCCGTTTTTTTTGGTATTAGGTTTTTAAAATAAATGATTTAGCAATGTTTGCAATTTTTTTACAATTCATTCCAATTTTATTTTAAATATAAACTACACTTTTTAGCTATAATTGCTATTAGGTCGTGAATCATAATAATGGGGACAGAAGATGCCCGAAGACACGGATAGTGTACCTACTTTTTGTTAACCACAGATTATGGTTTGGAATGACCCCTATGCAAATTTATCAAACTACTAACACATTTCACATAATATATTATATGCATATATCGAAAACTGCATATCTCAACCTGTTTAGCATTAAAAACAATGTAAAAATCTGCGAGTCACATAATATTCAGCATATTTTAGTTATCATACGATAGAGTACCTAACTTTTTATGCACATTTTTACAAAAATTATTCCTAATAAACTATTCCCACCGACAAATTCACTATACTGTTGTGAAGCATGCGAGTTTTAAAATAAATTGAAAAGTAGGTATTAATAGCATTTTTCCGTGAATTTAGGAATTTTGCAACACGACAGTAATTTTAATTTGGAAATGATACATATATATGCTACAAAGGTACTACAAGTACTACTGAACCTTATAAAATTTTAAATTTAATAAATTATCTAGTGTAAGGCCCCAAGGCTCAAAATGTATAAAAATATATAGAAATATTTATAGATTATTTATTTATTTTATGGTTTATTTTTGGATATAAAATTGTTGTGGCACATTAAATATATGTGCCGGATTACCCTATAGGCTAAGTAGGATATAGCCTAGGGGCCACAACAAAAAAATAAAAGCGGTTTTGTTAAGGCAAATACCTAGGTATCTAGGTTTGGCTGATCAAAAAATAAACATTTTTTTAGTTATACAACAGTTGTTTCATGGAATTTTTAAATTTAAATATTTAAATTCAGTGGCGTTTACCGAAAAATACAGTGCCCTCTTGCGGATTTTCTTTTTATCCTGATTTGACTTAAATTAGATTTTTTTTCAAGCGTTTAACAATTTTCATATTATAACACTCATAAGCCTATATAATATAGAACAACTTCATGTACAGTAATTATTACATAGCAAGAGTGGTTTCATCTATCGCGTTTAGCTCGAAATCAGCAAAGAAAATGTCTCTGTAGAATAAATTTATTTACAAAACTTATAGTATAACATAATATTTTAAACATATAAAGGGGTAGCAAAAGGGTACAAGTGCATTTTAGCATGAAATAAGTTAAGTGCAGAATTGGGTAGTTTAGGGTCTAATTTATTTAAACAAAATTTCATAACCTGAAAATTGTACGTGTTCTGCATGTTGATTAATGCAAACATTAAAACAAGTATCCAGATTTTTGTATAGGTAAAGCAAAAACTTTAGTTAATTACCCAACTTCTCTTTTTTGCACTTGTACCCTTTTGCTTCTTACCCCTTCATATGTCAAACGTCAAACCTGGCATAATGTCGCAACCTCGATAATTTCAATGCAAGTAAGCACAGAATGATTAAGTCTTGAAAAAAATAGTATACACAACACGGCGGAGGAAGCATATTATCTGTCTCCCTCAGATATGCAGCTTCGGCTAAGGCCTCGGCAGCGAACACTGAGCTCGGCTTTAAAAATAAGGGCTTTCTTCGCCTTATAATGTACTATTTTTTTTTGATAATGAAGCATAGGTAGGTATATGCTTACAAGTATATAAATAGGTACATGGTTTATAGTTGTCAGTAAAAGTATATTGTTAAAATAAGTAACGTTAAAAATGGTGCAAAAAATTGCTAAAGAAAATATTAAAATAAATACTTAAAAATAACAAATGATAATAGTATGCCATCGCAGACGTCTGATTTCCCACATGACAACTTAAGAAAATCTTCAAGAACAAATTTGAATAAATAAATAAGCATGCGCAGTTGAAGAAACCGACATTTTTTTTAACTGCGCATACCTACTTTGACATACAATAAAAAAGTCAGGTTAGGAAAAACATAAAATTAATAATATAAAGTCAAAGTTACTACTTAAGCATTGACCATTTTTCGAGAATAAGCCTTTTGATCAGTGGGTAGACCTATGTTCTACAATATACGCAAAGTCTAACCAAACCTACCGGAAGCCATTTCCCATATAGGTAGTGTAGGGTCCTTTTTAAACCTACCATTCTTTATTAAAAATTACTACGTTTTTCAAAATATAACTTCTTCATTGGTCTAAAAAGCCTAGGGCCCTAGACACTTAATCCGGCCCTGTGTTATTTTAATATTTTGTAGCTATTTTTTCGACTAAATTTACGATTGTGTTTGATTATGGTTTTTCAAAGTATTACGTTGTTTTTTTATCTTAATATAAAGTCATAAACTTTATTTAGTATAAAATTGCTGTTAATCATAATTAAAATTGCAATTTAATGTGACGATCAATTTTAAACATGTTTAATTGTAAGAAAGCTATAGCTTTATAACAATGTATTTACAATTGTTATCAAAAAATGGAAAAACAAAGATAAAGTGTTAATTTGCATGCTTTAAAAATAAATTTACACAGTGCATAATAATAAAACGAGTAGTATTTTTATATTTCATTTATTGATGGTTTAAAATATCCATGATACCTAGGTATTATAACGATAATGAAACCGCAAGGACGTTATACTCAAAAAAATTTCTTTGAATCCAATTATTATTTTAGCAAATATCATTAAACGGTCCAACAAATTTAATTAAATTTTTTGTAGATAATTAAATTTTAAAACTTGCTACAGCCATACCAAGCCTTTTTATTTAAGAATAAAATTGTATATATTGAAAATGAAGAATGTGATTCCTTGACTAATTCCAGGAAAAAAATGTCCTATTAACATGTGTCCGCAAACGCACCGTTTTCGAGATGCAGGGTGTCGAAAAATCGAATTTTTTTGTTTTTTTAACAATATCTCAGAAAACGTTTGAGATATAAAACTTTCTTTTCTACAGATCTTATCAAATAATATTAGCTACTTTTTTAGTCCCAATTAATTTTTTTATGTGTCAGTGGCGGAGATCTAAGGGTTGTGTGAGCTTTTTTTACCCTAATTTCTTTAAAACTGTTGATATTGGTATTTTGAAAGCACTTTTTAAACTGCAAGTATTTTTCACACAAAAAGGTACTCTTGGTCAAAAGCTCTAGCGTGAACCATTTAAGAGAAAAACAGCATTTTATGTTAAAAAAAAGTAGCAACAAAAGTTTTATTTTACATAACTAAGATTCTTAGTCTAAGAACATAACATAAAAACAAGAAAAATTACAATTGTTGAAAATACCCTCCTTCTACAGTAATACAAGCTTCCAACGTCTTATTGACTGACGTAACCGTTAAAAAATGCCTGGAGTGTTTCGTATTGTATTGCAGGATGCAATAATTCGATTTCTTAGTTCTTTAACAGTATTAACCGGTGTTGTATAAACTAAACTTAAAAAAAATATCCAAAACATTTAGCTCTGAAAACCGCGGAGACCAAGCCTGTGGGCTCCTTCTGCCTATCCAGCGGTTCCTATACCGTTCAAGACAACAATCATTTTTCGACACCCTGTATCTCGAAAACGGTGCGTTTGCGGATACATGCGGACATTTTTTTCCTGGAACTAGTCAAGGAATCACATCCTTCATTTTCCGACACATGTTTTGAAATACCCTGTATACTATATTTCATTTTTTTGGAGTTTTAAAACGCTGTATTCTTACTGTGCTGTATATATACCATATATGGTTATATTTTTTTTTAACTGGCCAAAATTTTTTTTTAACTGGCCAAAATCACTGTCTTTGGCATTTAAAACGGCAAATGATATTAATTTATACATTTATATTTACTTTTTAATAAATCGAGATTTATTTGTAATAAAATATATCTTTGCTCAACACAAGCACGATATTAAGTTTTCATTTGCAAAATATTTGAACAAAATGTCCACGACCGCACCTATTGGTTACATATCAGGAAGTACAAAAAAATCATCTCAAAGTTAAAATATTAGTTGCGCGACAGGTGCGGACATGGACGAATATTTTGCAAATGAATACTTAATATCGTGCTTGTGTTTAGCAAAGATATATTTTATTACAAATAAATATCGATTTATTAAAAAGTAAATATAAATGTATAAAGAAATATAATTCGCCGTTTTAAATGCCAAAGACAGTGATTTTTTTATTTTGGCCAGTTAAAAAAAATATCACCATATCACATATTTAAAAAGGGTTGATTTATTATCTATGGTTGAGATCATAGAGAAACAAACAGTGTGTTTGTTTCTCCATGGTTCAGATAAAATTAACTACGGATATGTTGCGATCTTTTATCTTTTACATAAGGAAAATTGACAAAATGGGAAGTACCACAAAAAATTTAAAGCCAATTTTATTTGATACTTTATCTAAAATCAAGCAACTTACTTGCTAAATTTGTACTCACAATCAATTTAAAATATTTAGTTTTATAAGAAATTCAGATGCTCTTTAATAAAATAATAAATATAAAAGTTATAATAAAACTAATAAAAATATTACTTTTAAAAAGTTATAGTTTTTTTAATTTTAAAATATCTTTATTGTCTTCAAAAGCATTGAGTAGGTAATTAAGTTTTATTTGTAATACACTAAAAAACACAGAAAATTGTATTACTCACCTCCAAACGTAGTTAACGTATCAGCTCTTAGCTTGTACTTGGGTATCTGCTCCTCCAGCAGGCTTATTATCTCTACCTCTGGAAGCGACTCACCACTGCACAGTTCTGCAACAAAACACAATCCGTTTAAAATAAACATAAACAAACAATAAGAACAACGCAAAGCCAAATGATGGACGCGTAACGCGGCAGCAGCCAAACAGCTCGATGAGATAAATGAAATTAACACATAAGAAGGCAGAAGAAATTGTATGCTAATTATCGCGCGCCGTGGAAAATTCACACGTGAAAAGTAAGCATTAAGTCGCCATTCGGTGGCTTTAGTGGCCAAATGTATATACCTATAGGTAAATGATAATTTATTATTATTTATTTAAATAACAGAGTAAATTTAAAGTAATTTGAAATATATTAAGATCCAAGTCCAGTCAATTTTAAGTCAAAAGGCATAAACAGTAACAGTAACAGAATTTCCACTTAATTTTTACCACTTTGGTTTTTGACAAATGGTAAGATTTTCACAAAAACTAATAATGATCCGCAAAATAGTTATAGTTATATATTATCTAACAGGCGGAGAAAGCGCTTATATTATAGCTGAGCTCAGTTTTCGCTGATCTGATCAAGCCAGTTAATAATGCTTTCTCGGCCTTGTTGTATACAATGTATAGTGTATAGCTTATATAAGCTATAATAAGCTATAATTGTTTAAATTTTTAAACACAGAATAATAATATTAATATTATTATGTATTATAAAGTAGTAAGTCCCCTTAATACACTGCAACTTTAACGATTGTCTTAAGTGGGAAAAAATCTCACGTGAAAATCCTGTGTGAAGCGCGAGCAAGAATAAAGAAACGCGTGCGGTACCAGGCCTAATGATTTACAGTAAACACGACAGTATCGCTAAAGAGAAAAAATATGGGTTAAATGTACAATCAAGACGACAAGGTGGCCTCTTTTTTTGGCATTCACCATTGTTGTGTTAAAGAACGGAGAATTTATTTATCAAGTGGAAACGGTCGTAGAAAATACCTTACCTACTGTTTACAATTAAATAATGTTTTATACATAAATAAAACTTTTTATTTACTCCTACATTGACGAGTTGTGACTTTATGGCATTTTAGTCAAGGGCTAAAGTTAGCTTTATTATAAATTGCGAAAAAGTGAGGTTAAATTCGTCAATGTCAAATATTGATAAATTCAAATTGGCTTTTAATTCTTATTCCTGTTCGTCGTGGATAAAGTATAGTATGCAACTCGTTTTATAAACTTCTCTAGACACTCGTTTTTATTAAACACTCGCTCGTAAGCTTCGCTCGTGCCTAATAAAACTAGTAACTTAAATGGCGTTTATAAAACTTGTTACATACCTATGTAATATACTATTACACATTTCATATGTATGGAATTTTAAGAAAAACCTATTAAACTTTTAATGCATTATTTTGGAAACCAAGGGTAAATTTACCTCCCAAATTGTTTTAAAATATAATAAAATGCTCATTTAAGATTTGGAAAATAAAAACTATTAATTTTAATTGGAAACATTTAGTACCTAGTCGATAGAACTCGCAAAAATAGGAAAAAGTTTATAATTTAAACTTGTATGTTTTAAAGCTTCTTTTTATAGATAGTAAAGCTATTAAAAAATGGTTATAATTTTAAAAAAATTGAAAAACTCCTTGGTCTCATTTAATAAAACTTTTTCGTATACACTTTCAAAATGAAGTGATTGATTATGGCCTAGGCTCATATAAATCAACAGTAAACAGATACAAACTTGTATAAGGCTATAGTAATTAGTTGTTAGGCGTCAGTGATTGGCCAATTACATTATTCATTTTAATTTGGACCAATTTAGTAACTCGCCCCTCGTATCCCATCATAAAATTCGAGATCTGTCGGAAGGTTTTAACCCCACTTTTAACAAATAAAATTGTAAAAACATTGCAACTCAGAAGGTATTTTTGTCTTCGCTTAAACAAAAAGACTCACTTCTTGACCTAATGGCATAAATAAAGATTTTAACTAAAAAAACATATTTAAAAATATTTATTTGTTTATAAATAAGATTTTTTTTTAGTTAGGGTTCTACATTAGCAAGTTTTTGTTTAATTCTTCAAATAAAAAATGATTGTTTAGCAGAAATGTTGAGAATTTCGGTCACTTTACTTCTAGTTTGTTATACAAGATAATAAACTTTTATTTCCACATTTATTTTAATATTTTAATATGTTCTATTGTAACTAGTTTAATTTGTGTAATTTGTTAAAAAAAGGTTTTAATAATGTGAATTTTATATAGGTACGGGAACATACAATAAATTACCATTAATTGTTAGTCACACATTCTTTAACAATGAAAATTCTAAAAGATAGTGCCGTAATCATTTTAAAATTGTCGAATTTATAAAAACATTTGGGAACATACTAAAGATTTTAACTTTATATCTATTTGTATTAAAATACTCATATATTATATATAATAACAAAGTTTGAACAGTTTTAGATATTAAGTTTAAAAATTTCAAAGACAAACATAATGTATTGTAAAATTAACCTATAGATGCACTCCTAAAACATTTATATAATAAATTACAATTTATCCAAGGCTAAAATGAACAAACTTTCTTAAAATAGTTTAAAGGCACAACTTACCGTATATTGAAATAAAATTGTGTTTATCCAATAATAATTCCAGTAAAACTTATCACGAGACATTTTACTACAGCAATGATTCAGACTTTAATGTTAAATTACATTTACAATCGGATATACTCGACTATGATCGTCAATTTTAAATAATTATTATAATTTAGTACCTGCTACCTGTAGTTATTTATATATCCAATTTAATTTAATTCAAAATAGTTAGATAAAATCCTGAAAATCAAAATAAAAAATATAGGATTTCTGTATTGATACAGTTAACTTGAAATGTATCATTAAAATTTAATTAAAGAAAAAGCATCAATTTTGAATAATATTTAGAACGTAAAAAGTAAAGGCCTTAAATTTATTTCAATAAGTTAATTAAATAATTTAACCTAGGTTTTTTATTTTATTATTATTATTTTTATAATAATTAAAATTGTAAATAACAATTTTAATTTTTTTAAAACCATTACGTTTGAAACAAAAATAAGATTAGGCATTATAACATTTGTGAACAAAAAATCACATGTCAAATTACAATTTTTTTTTAATTTCTTGAATTTGCATTAAAAAAAAATTCAAAATTAAAGTGTTTTGACACGATGCATCGCGATGTATTAAAATAATAATAAAGCAGTTTAAAAACTAAAATTCTTCTTTTATAAGAGGTGGTATTTACAATACACGCCTAGTTAACTTCTTGCCTATTTAAGCCCTTTTATCATCATCCCTACCATTTTTTTGGATTTAAACATTTTTAAGAAATTTTATGCTTTTTTGTAAAAATTGAAATTATTTTTTGTTTGTACATTATTCCGGACTCTCTTAAATAATATTTGGTTGTTATGTATAAAAAGTTAAACCACAGTTCAATAGGTGCATGGAAATATTTGCAAAAGTTAAGTAAATACCAAAAGGAAATTTCTCTTTTATAACTAGAAAATTTGTTAATTAAACATTATTAAATTATTATTTAATTAAATTTAAAATGTTTATTCAATGTAACTTTAAACTATTAACCTATTTAAAAGCATTTAAATTTAAAGTAGAATAACTAACCTAAAATTAAATGCAGAATACTATAGTATATAAACAAAGTCTTCTTAAAACACTCAAAATTAAATTTTGCACACATTTTACCTGAATCCAAAGATAATTTTCCAAAAACTGAAAACAAAATATTACAAAATTATGTAATATAAGAGGTTGCATAATTAATATTAATGCACCGTGCAACCTATTTTAATAAAGAATAAATATTACATGATATGAGAATTTAAAATAACTTGCGCAAATAAGACCCACCACTCAGACAAAAACGAAAATAGTAGCTGCTGAGTTGTGCCAAACGTTAATTTTGTAACGATTTGTGTCTTAACCTAACATAATTTGTTTGATATTGTTAAATATAAAAAAACAACGCCTAATTAGACATGTCTAATTTGCTATTCCGTTTCCAAAATTCGCTGTTTGGTGAACTAATTCATGATGTTTGAAAACGTATGTTTAAGAACGCTTGCCTGAGAGGTGCTGTTAGCCAATATTTGAGGGTTTTTTTTATGAGTATGAGTATGAGTATGGGAACGTATGGCAAGCCCCAGATATATTGTCATCCACTGATCTCCCGGGGTTATATTACCCCCTTTCCGTTCTCCTGCGTATCCCGCCAAATCACAGCATTACCTGTGTTTGTTGGATCCGAAGTTTTTACGCCGGCTGGTAGATCCACCCTAGGAGTTCGTGGATGACAGTGTCAAAGGTTAAGGCAGCTCCCGGGATTTTTGTCAGCCGGGTCGGGCCATACGTCCAGTTTAGGAAGGGTTTTTGGAGGACATTGAACTGACCCAAAACTAAGTACAATCCGGAATCCTCCTCAACCTAGGCCTTAGTAGTATCCCCATTCAATTGGTATTCGTGAATGGGGGTGGGTATGTTAGTTTTTTGCTTACTCCGGCTACCAACCTTGTATATTCTTTATTTATTTTATTGCTATATTAGTGTTCATACCGTTTTCATTTATTTATATCTTTGCCTTCTTACTTATTTTTTTTCAAATTAATTTAAAAATAAAAATATTAATATACAAAATAGATAAAGCCGGCCCTGTGGTGTATCGCATCAATATTTGAAACCCGGCCCCTATGTCAGGCGTGCAACGCATGCCTCAATAGATGGCCTACCACTTCATTTTCACGTGGGGGCTTTGCCCATTTACTTTCTCCATCCTCCAAGCTTTGCTTGCGTGAGCTTATGTGTATATTATATAATATATATAATACAATAATATAATATTGCGACGCACCCACTTGATTTCCCTTCACACACTTACGCTGCCCTCTGCAATGATCAATTGTTGCCTGGTTTCCTGTTAAATTAGTATCTATATAAATTCAATATAAATTTCAATTAGTCAATACCAATACTAATACCAAATAATACAAAT